CAGGTTTCGCCCCATCGTTCATCGAAAAGCCCCGCATCATTCCGAACGAAACTGGCACCCTCATTACAATGAAATGTAAATGTCGAGCGAAACCAAAACCGGAAGTCACTTGGTATCGTGGCACGACCGTCGTCAAAGAATCATCGAAAATTAAAATTAAGTCCAAGGATGCCGAGGAAGATGTTTATGAACTAATTCTTGAAATTAAGGTTCGTCAATTTTACCTTGTCTTGTTTCTTTCGTTTATTTCTCTTTCGTTTTTCTATTTTTTTAATCTATTTCATTTACAAAAATAACGGGACGACAAACCCTTTCGAACATTTATTTTATTTTTCTATTTTTTTTATTATTCTATTTATTTACTTTTACAAAAATAAAAGAACAAATCCTTTCGTAAAATTAGTATATTTCTGAATTTATTTATTTATTTAAATATAATTACAAAAATATTGGATTTGGTCTGAAAAATTGTAGAATAATTTCCTTAAAAGTTTTTAATTATAATTATCTGTAATTATCTCAGAAATAACAGTCGTTAAAAACAGTTGAAATTTCCAAACAATAATTGAATTTCAGAAGATTTGAAATTAAAATTTTCCAAAATATCAATTGCTATGAGATAATTAATTATAATCAAATATACTTTAATTTAAAATTCTAAAAAAGGATAAGGTGTTACAAAAAATTTTTAATTCAAATTTTTAAAGATAAATAACTGAAAATTTGTGAAATTGAATGTAAATAACTTAAATTTGTTAAAGAATTTCATTAAAAATATCTACAAAAATTGAATTTTCAAAGAATTTTAATTTAATTATTAATAAATAATTCAATTTTAGAGTTACAATCCGAATATAATTATTAATTAGTGTAAAAATCATCATTAAAGAGTCAAAATTCTTCTAAAATTATGAATTACATTAATTAATTAAATTTTAAAATATTTAAATCAAAGAAAAATTTTATTTAAAATTCTGAAAAATTAGGATTTTAAAATATTTTAGTTCTATTTTTTAAAAATAATTTAGTTTTTATAAACAAGTAATTTAAATCTTTTGAAATAATTGAAATTTTCTTAAAAATTCCAAAAATAATTGAGTTTTGTGAGAGTTACGTTTGCAATTTTTGTAATTAATTGAATTTCAAAATGATTTGAATGGAAATTTTAGAGAATTCGAATTTTAAATGATTTTAATTGAAAATTCTGAAAAATTTTAGTATTGAAAAATTTTTATTTTAATGTTTTGGAAATTAGTTGAATTTAAAAATTTTAAAAATTTAATTTAATTTAATTGAGAAATTTCCGTATAATCAAAAAGAACTTTCTCAAAAATTATAAAAAATAATTTATTTAATGATGAATTTTAGATAAAAATTAAAAAAATAATTTAATTTTATGAGTTGCATTTACAATTTTTATAAATAATAGAATTTCAGGATGTTTCAAATTAAAATTTTAGAAAATTTGAATTTCAAATAATTTTAATTGAAAATTCTGAAAAATTTAGTTTTTGAAAACTTTTTATTTAAATTTTTTGGTAATTAGTTGAATTTTTAAATTTGAAAAATTTTCGTACAATCAAAATTTCGTAGAATTAAATTTCAAAAGGTTGATTTTGGACTTATTTTAGGTAAACTTTCTTTTTTTCTTTCTTTAAATAATGGGATATTCAAAGAACTTTTTCAAAAATTACTAAAAATAATTAGTTAAAAATTAATATAAATTTATAGAATTTTATGAGTTGAGTTTGAAAATATTTATTGAATTTCAAAAGGTTTAAAATTTATGATTTATAAAATTTGTGTATATTATTAAATAATTTTAATTGAAAATTCTGAAAATGTTAGTTTTTGAAAACTTTTCATTCAAAATTCTGAAAAGTTAGCATTTGAAAAATTTTGTTTAAATTAAAAAATTCAAAAAACTTTATCTAAAATTATTCAAAATAATTGATAACTGATTGAAAGAAGAATTCTGGTTAAGAGTTCTAGAAAATAATTGAAAATGATTGAATTAACATGTGGAAATTAAATCATTTTTAGAGTGAATCAGTATATTCTTTAGAGTCAGAAAAAAAGTCAAAATTCTGTTTGGAAAATAAGGGAAAAACAAAATCAAATTTTTGTAGTAAACCTACTTTGAAATAATTGCATAAAATAATAATTGAATGTTTTAATGATTAAAAATTTACTGAGTTTTTGCTTTTCTTTTTCATTAAACAGGATCCAGGAGCACCTGACGGTGGGACGTACAGGTGTCACGTGAAAAATGAATTTGGCGAAAGTAATGCAAATCTTAATTTGAATATCGAAGCCGAACAGGAGCCTGAGGGTGATGGTCCAACATTCGTCGACAAACCGCGTATTCAATCACAAAATCAAGGCAAATTGGTCATTATGGATTGTAAAGTTAAAGCATCACCGAAACCCGATATTGTTTGGACCCATGCTGGCAAAGTGGTCCAAGAATCATCGAAAATCAATCTCAGTGTCGTTAAAGAAAAGGAGGATGTCTATTATATTAAACTCATATTAAACGATCCCGGAGCTGACGACTCTGGATTATACAAATGTAACATCAAAAATGCTTTGGGAGAACTCAACGCCAATCTTACTTTGAACGTTGAAAGTGAGTTTTCATTTTTATCAGAATTTTTCATACTAATTTAAAATTAAAATTCGAAAAGGGAGTCAATTTTTTTATATAAATTTTTTATTATTTTGAGTTTGAGATCTCAATAATTGTTGAATAAATAAATTTACTTTAAATTTAAAGTTAAAATTTAAAATTTACTTACAATTTAAAATTAACTTTAAGTTAAAAATTACTATTAATTGTAATGAATTATATTTGACTTGTTTAGTTATACCTGTTATTAAGGAGAAACCAAAGGTAATCAAAATCGTTAAGAAGAAGACTGTAATAGTGGAATGTCACGTTTTATCTAAATTCGCACCAGATTGCACATGGTTCAAAGAAACGAGTGCAGTAAAAGAAGATGATAGACACAAATTGCATGTTGAGAAAGTGAAGGAGGTAATGTTGAATTACTTCTATAATTACTTTTAAAGTTCATAAGTTTTCTGATAAAAAGAATTTTCATTTCTTTATAATTAAATAAACTAAATAAAAAATTAAATAAATTAAATAAAATAAGTTAATAAAATTAAATAAATCAAATTAAATTCTGTGAATTGTAATTATATTTTTCTTTTTAGGGAGAATTCGCCGTCAAATTGGAGATCGAACAAATATCAACGTCCGACAAAGGCACCTACAAATTAGTCGCTCGTAATGAAAAGGGTGAAGCTACTTCTCAAGTTGTTGAAGTAACAGAAATTCCCGAAGAAATTGAACGACCAAGAATTAATTCTGGTTTGAAATCAACGGTACGTGATTCAGTTAAATTTCTTCGTTCTTATTTTTCTAAACTATAAACTTTCAATTGTTTTTAAAAAATTTTTTGGTGTCTTTTTCAATTTTTAAATCGTTTCTTTTTCTTCCTCAGACGGTCACGGAAGAAAAGAGTGCAGAATTCTCAGCCACTTTAGTACAAATGGACAAAAAAGTTACTGTCAAATGGTACAAGTAAGTATTTTCTTTTAGTTTTTCAATAATTCTCCCACAAAATATTATTATTTATTGTAATTAATAAACTTTTTTGTTCATTATAATTTAATAATTATAATTCATAATTTATACATTTTGTTAATGACCGTCAAATAGTAATTATTTTTTTAATAATTGTAATTGTCAATAATTTTTTAAATTGTCAATTTTATTCATCAATTTTATTTTTTCAGAGACTCGACAGAAATCACATCGTCTAGTGAATTTAATACAACATTCGATGGCAAGACAATGACGCTCGTCATAAAAACAACAAAATTAGAATACACTGGCACTATCAAAGTGGTTGTCAGTAATGAGGGAGGAAAGGACGAGTCATCTGCTCAACTGACGGTTGAGGTGAGTCATTGTTTACATAATTTACAATTTCTTTTACAAATTAATCGCGAAATTAAAAGTTTTACATTTCATTTCTCATTTTTATTTTCTAAACAAAGTTCACTTGTTGAATTGAATTTGAGTAAAGAAAATTTGCTAAATTTATTTAGCAGAATATTATTCAATAATAAACTTCGAAAAATTAAGTAATTTTATTCAATAATAAACTTTGAAAAATTAAGTATTAAAAAAATAAACTTAATTGTTTAAAATTTCGAAACAAATTTTTAAAGAGAGTTTAACAGACGATGGTTAAGTATCTTCAAATTTTAAAATAATCTTCTATATACCGAGTTTTTATTATTAACTTAACCATTTCGTCCAAATGCATCTATTTTTAATCCCTGAATTTGTTCATATTTTTCTTGTAATTACCCTTTGTTTCTGTTTTTTTTCTAATGTTTGCCCCTAGTTTTCAATATTTAATTCTCAACATAATGAAAAGATCTTTTTTTTTTTGTAATTACCCCTTGTTTCTGTTCCTTTTTTCGAATTTCACCCCCTAGTTTTCAATATTTTAATTCTCAACACAATGAGAAGATCGTTTTCTCCTTTTTAAAAACCGAATCTCCCGTTTTTAACCCTTGCGTTCAATTTCCAAAAAAGAGCCCCTCTCTGAAATGTTGCATGCAATCCATTGTGTCGGCCTTTTTTTTAGAAAAAGAAGGAAGAAAAGAAGAAGGAAGAGGAGGAGGAGAAGAAAAAGAAGAAGGTAGAGAAAAAGGAAGAGAAGAAAGAGGAGGAGAAGATCGAGGAGAAGAAAATCGAGGAGAAGAAAATTGAAGAGAAGAAAATTGAGGAGAAGAAAAAGATTGAAAAGAAGGAGGAGATTGAGAAGAAGGTAGAGAAGATGAAAAATTACTTCTTCGCCCAAGGACTAACTCAAAATGATTCGAGATTCAATTCAGCTATTAATCTAAAGCCAATTATTATTTTTAACTCGAGAAAAATGCTGCTTCAAAAATTTACAAAATTTGGATCTAAAAGAAAATTGCATAAATTTTTAACTAACATCGATTTTTCAAAAATTATCGCTCAACAAGCTTCTCTTTATATCGTAACGCGTAAAGGTACAAAGTCAGGTGACGAGTTATGAATCCGAGGAGGAATATGAGGAGGAAGAGGAAACGGTTAGTATTATGGAGTCGAGCATTGCAGAACCAATCGTCGAAGAATTTGATTCTGATTTTTCGCAGGTCGAGGTACACGCACACTTCAAAAAAACACAATTTTTCTCTTTCTTTCGTTTCTACATTTTGGAATCTCTCATTTTGATTCTTTATAATATTTTTATTCTTCAAACTAAATTGTTTTAATTTTTTCTTTTACTTGCATTTTTTAAAAAACTAAAAGTGTTTAATTGATAACTTTTTGGAAATTTGAACATTTATTGATCTAATTGGCTTATAGATTACAATTCTTATAAATTCAGGCCTCGAATACTTTCGACTTTTTCGACTATTTTCCAATAAATTTTCTCTATCAATTTCTATGTGAAAATGACTTACGATTTTCAGAGTTTGAGTCCTTTCTGAAATTCAAGATTCAATTTATTTTTTGAAAAAATTTCATTAAAGTTTTTAAAAATCAAATTTTTGAAGAATTTTACTTGCAAATTTTGAAAATAATTTAATTTTAAAAAATTTGAATAAAAAATGTTCAAATAAAAATTTATGAGAGTTAACTTAAAAGAATAATATTAAAATATTTTTAAAAAAAAGTAATTCTTAGAATTTTTTCATTACAATTTTTTAAAATTCAAATATTTCCCTTCTTTTCAATTGTATTTCTTTGAAAGTTCAAATATATGCAAAAATTTATTACTATTAAATAAAAAAAATAAGTTTTTTAGAATTGTTATTAAAATTTTGAAAAATCGAACATTTTCAAAATTCTTCAAAAAAAGAAATTGATTAGATTTTTAAATTCTCTAAAAATTTTTTTAAAAACCTTGATTATTTTTTTGGGTTTTCCAAAAAATTTGGTGTTTTTCAAAAACTTTTATTAAATTTTAATTATTATTATTGTGTAATAAATTTAATTTTTATTTTTAAATAATAGAATTCTCGAAGAACTTTTGGAAAATTATTGAAAATAATTCAATTTAGTATAGAAATCGAAAAAAATACAAAAAAAGTCTGATTTTTTTGTATTTTTGAACAACTAAAGTGACTTTTCTGGAGCGTAAAGTCGATTCGAGGCCTGTAAATTATTTCTATTATTTTAAATAATATCTATTTTTTATTATCAAAATTTTCTTACTCTTTTTTTCACTACTTCTGGGTTTAATTAACTTTTAGTTTTTTTTATATGAAATACTTTTTTAATTTTTATTACTTTCCATTTATTCTTTTTTCAATTCCTTTTTCATTCCTTTTTTCATTCTTTTTTTATTTATTTTTATTCTTTTTCATTAGTTTTTTTTATTAGTTTTTATTTTTTTTATTTTGTTCTTTATTTTTTAATTCTGTTTTCAATTCTTTTTCTTCTTCGTTTTATTCTTTTCACTATTTTTCATTAAACATTTTCGATCACCTTTCGTAACATTCTTCTTTCACAAACAAAAAAAAAACTTTCGACACTTACTTTTTTTCTAGGAAACATTTTGTCGCACTATAATTCGAAACTATTGGAACGGCTTTGGCTTTTTTTCGCAACATTTGAATATATTTCGTTTTTCATAAAAAATTCTCATGATAATTATTTTTTTTTTTCGCAATTTTGTACTCATAGCACATTGTTTTTTTTCATTTCAAGGAAATTCCGGAATCAAAAACAAACGGTATCGACAAACCAGATACAAAGAAGGTAAAAAAAATTATTAATTTAAAGTCTCTTTCTCTTCTTCTCTTTCTATACAGATTTTTTCTCTATAAATTTCGTTGAAAAAAAAATTGTTTGTTTAAATTTATAATAATTTTTTACGTTCTGTTCAAAAAAACACATCAACATCAACTTTTGTTACACTGTTCAAAATTCAAACATATACCTCGATCTCGAAGATATATTAGAATGTTATCAAATTTTGTGATACTATTCCTATATATCGTTTTATGATCCATTTTATGTTTCCTCTATATATATTGATGTCTTGCTCGTGATTTTGCTCTCCATTTATTTCCATTTACTTTACTTGGCATGAATCCAATTTTGTAATGTAATTTTACGAACAACAAAATTTGCTCTGAATTTAGAAAAGTTAATTTACACTTAAGAATTTTTAATAAGAAAACTTTGCAATTTCTCTGTTTCAGGTGAGTGAAAAATTCCTAATGCCAGGCTTTTGGTAATGTATGCAAAACGTAAAAATATTTATCTTTCTGTAAATAGATACTGAATACTACCGTAGACATACTTTTTTTCTCTATTAATTATTAATTATGAATTATTAATTATTAATTCATTTGCTACTTATAATTTACTATTAATTAATAATTAAATTAATAATTGAATATAGTTTATAGTTAAATTAATAATTAAATAATTACTTCTCTACTGTTTAATAATTAAACAGTAAACATTTGTTTACTTATTAATTTAATTAGTAAATATAATTATGTAATTTTTAAAAATTGCTTCTTAATAAGGCGAATAATTCATTACTATTCTTCATCATTAATGATAATAAATTATTTATTCAATCGTAATAACGATTAATAGATTAATAGATCATTACATTAATAGAGCAAATAATTTTAATATATTAAAATTTTTTTAATAAAGCAGATAATAAATTTGGTCGCTTCTTTAGTTGCTTAATAGTTATTAATGCTAGATTCTCTATTTCAGCTTCTGATAATAATAATAATAATAATTTCAGTTTTAAAATATACTTCATCAATGGATTCCCCTTCTGTGGCTTTTGGTTAATAATTCGCACTTTGTAAATTCCCCGTGGTTTTAAAATAGAATAGTTTTTCAATTGAAGTCACGGCTTTCAATTGAAGGCTTTTAATTAGACATTAGAATTAGAAATAATAATATTCTGAACAATAGATGAGTAATAATACGTTTTAATCCCATAGGAAAAAATAGGTATATTAATCTCTCGAGATATTCTCTAATAAATAATAATGTTTTGGGTATATTTTTAGTTTCAGCTTCCTGCCAGCGAATTTTAAAGTACCTTTAATGCTTTTATCGCTGGTATGCAAATTTAACATATAAGAGAAGAAGGTGGTCTAGTGCTTCAAGCTTTCAGAAAAAAACAAACAAAATAGACGCTTAAGAAAATTAGAAAAAAATATTGTGCATGACTTTTGTGCTTTGGATACGTTTTTTTTATGGCTTTTTGCATGCTTCAGAATGATTTGTATATTTTTTCGATAATTTATATTTTTATTTTCTTATTTTTGTTCACCAGTGAAAATATTCCTTTCTCTAAAATTGTTTTACTTTTATGTTCGCTGTATAGAAGGAGGAAACATTCAACAATGTAGAAAAGATCGAGGAGAAAAAAGTTATCAAGGTACTAATACATTTTTCTTTGAAAACATATTTTGGAAAAATTGAAATATTTTAGACAAAAAGAAATTAACTTAAATATTTTTTTTGACTTTTAATTATTATTTCACATAAAAATTAATATTATTGTATGTGGAAAATTTTTAATGTTTCAGAAAAAGGTAGAAGAGAAAATCGAGGAAAAAGACCAAGAAAAGGTAAGAATTTTTATCACTTTATTTTATAAAAAAAAAAATTTGCGAAATATTTGAATGAAATTTGAAAAAACATTTGAAAAAATATTTTATTCGCTAATAATATTTTATGAATGTTGCAGAAAAAGACTTTGAAGAAAAAGGAACCAGATTCCAAACCAGAGTCCAAAGATGTGAGTATTTCACTTTTGTGTATAAAATAATAATTTAGAAATTTACGAAAAAAATGATGAAATAAAATAAGAATAAAAATTGAATGAATTAATTAATTAAACAAATATTAATTTTCTAATTAAAGGTCTCTCGGGAAACTACACCAAAGCCTGAGAAAAAGACGACCACTCGAAAACAATCAGTTTCGAGGGTAAGAATTTTTTTTCACTATCAAATTAATCAAAAATCAACAAGTTTACAATTTTGACAAATAACTGAATTTCAAAATGTTTGAAATTGAAATTTTAGAAAATTCGAGTTTAAATAATTTTAATTAAATATAAGAAAGAATTTTTATAGAAGTTAGACTTTTAAAAAATTTTGATTCAAACTTTTTTGTAATTTGTTGAATTATAAAAATAAATATTCTCAAAAATTATTAAAAATAATTTGAAAATTTTTAATAGTTTTAATTCAATTCGAATAATTGAAATTTTGTAAAATTGAATTGTAAACAAGTGGATTTCAGAAATATTTTAGGTGAACTTTTTTTTCCTTCAATAATTTAATTAATTTTTTAAATAATTACTTAATTAATTTTCTCCAAAAATTATTAAAAATAATTGGTTTAGATAAGAATTTTAGTTAAAAATTGTAGAAAAAAATTGAATTGAACACTTAAAAAAAATAATTTTGAAGAAATTGGCAAATTTTGTAGTAATTTTGAATAAATTATTGAATTCTGAAAAAGTTTGAAATTTAAAAAATTTGAAAAACTTTATTCTTATGGAGAAATAATAAATAAATAAATAAATAAATATTTACCGATAAAAATAAATAATGAATCATTTTTAGAGCAAATGAAAATATTCTGTAAGTTCAGGGAAAAAGTGAAAATTCTGTCTAGAAATCAGGAAAAAACAAAATCAAATTTTTGCCGAAATCTTAATTATTAATTTTAATTAAATTCATAAAATCTGTAAATATTTGGAATTTTTATAATTAATTTAAACAACTTTTTCTTTGTTCTCTTTCAGGTGGAAGAACTTCGCACAGAAAGTCGACGAAGCTCTATTTCCAAATCTGAAGAAACGGTATGAGACACTAATTTAAAATTAATTTTTCCATTGCATTTTGGAAAATAATTGTTGTGTTAACATGAAACTAAAAGAAAACACATTTTCCACGCTTTCCTTCTGCATAGATCTCCCGAGAAGGTTCAAAAACACCCGAGAGACGCGTTTCAATGCAACAGGTAAACGCGTTATTCCTTTTAGTTCGCTTTTTTCCATATACAAATTTTATTATTGTCTAATAACATTGTTTTCAGACTAATTAGAAATCGTAATTTTTATAAATTTATAAAACTTGTTGTCGTTTGGAAATATTTTACTAATTTTATTAACAATATCGATCTTTGTATTAGAATTAACGTGAAATTACTAATTTTGTTTGCATGCAATTTTTATCATTTGATTTGAAAATAATAATTATTAATATCAACAATTTATTAACTTATTAATTATTAATAATAAATATTAGTTCATTTTATACGGAAATAATAATTTTTATAATAAATGTTATAAATTCAATAAGGAAATAATTATTAATATTAATAGTTTATTAATAATAATTATTAAGTAAATAATAAATTACCTACAATTACGAAATTTTTATGTTGCTACAGGTTGAAGAAGAAGTCAAGACCGAAAGTAGACGTTCCTCAATAAAAACAGTTGAAAAGGTAAATTTTTTTATTTTCCAATTTAAAATTTAATGATTTATGAATTTTAATTTTTTATTGTACAATTATTACACAAAGTTTCAATTGATACTTTTTTGAAGTTTTTTTTATCTTTTTTTTAAATGACTTGATTATTTTTTATTTTCACGTCATAGAGATAAAAAAATGCATTGAAGAACTTTATAAGTGTAAAGAAATGTAAAATTCAACATAATTTTTAATGAACTGAAAAAACTTTAATTTAATTAGTATTTCACTAAGCAAATATTTTTTTATAGAAAAAGGAACTTCCAAGGAGACTCAGTGACACTAAGGTACACACAACAATTGGCATTACATTTACATTCACATTCACAAAAATTACACTTTATTAAATGACTAACGCAATTCAGATTTTTTTTTAATAGAAAAATTGGCTTTTTTTAATTTACGAAATTTTTTAGGGAAAACCAAATCATAAATCCTTGAAGATAGAACCTGATGAATTAAAGGTAGAAAAGAAAAATTTTTAATTTACGATTGTTTTTCTAATTAAAAAGAGAATTGTTGTTTTCAAATCTTCTATCAATTTTTAGGTGCAACTTATTAAAAAAACAAAATCTGTAGAAGATGGAGATATTGAGGTAGAGTTTTTTTGTTCTCTTTTTTTAAATCTATTTTTCATTTCCACTAAATTTGAATTTAAATACATAACTAAATTAATAACTAAATTTAAATTACGATTTAGAATTTAAATTTCTATTTTCAATATTGTTTTTATAAATTTTTCTGATTCAAATATATTTCTAGGAGTCACCCAATGAATATATAATTGTTATTGAGAATCCCGACACTGAAAATGAGGTACAAAATTTACTCTTTCTTCGAAAGGGAAATATTTTCTCTAAAAAGAAACTAATAAAAAGTAATAAGTAATTAAAAGTAATGAGAAAAAGAAATAATTAAAATTAATGTTCAAATTATTTAGTGGCAAAATTTAAATATTATTTTTCAATTTTTCCCAAATTTAGGCTGATGATTCAATTCGATCAGAACCGAAAAGAAAAACCTCATTAGATAAACGACCAGTACCACAGGTACAAAAAAAAGAACTCAATACAATTTAAATAACTGAAATTTTTCAAATTAAAATTTTTTTTGTTTTGTAAAATTGGGTTATTTTCTTATTTTTTAATTAGAGTGGAAATATTAAGGATTTTCTTTTTTTTTAATTAGTGGGAAGCTTACACAAGACACGAAACATCTGTTGAAACCTCAATAGCCGAAGATTCAGAGGTACACAATAAGAAATGGTTAAAAAAAAAATTCTAGAGGATAAAATTAATTTTCTTACTAAAATTTCGTTTTTTTTTCAAAATTATCGTAGGATACTTTGAGTCGTCGCACATCTATTGACACACTTATCGATGAGGTACAAATATAAACATTAAAAATGCACATTTATTAGACGAAATTCTCATTATTATTTTTTTAAACTTTGTTTTTTAATTATAAACTTTTGCAGGACGATATGAAACCTGAAAGGAGAATTTCGATAGATAAAATTCAAACTCCTAAGGAAAAAAATAATTTCATTAAGGTACAAACTACAAATAACATTTTACATCGACACTCAACTCACACTTTTCTACTTTTATACTCTCCTTTTGTTAATAATAATAATAATTTTCATAATGTGAAAATCGTTTTTAAAAAGTTCTTCAAAGCATCGGAAATAAATTTTTTCAGCTAAATAACATTTCCTCTCAATGTATTTCGTTTTATTTAATTTCTATTGCTCTTTCAATCTTTTATGTTAATAATTAAAAGGGAAATTATTAATCTGATAATAATGAATTATTATATAACTATTTAATAGTGATTCTATTTTATTTAATTTCTATTTCTCTTTTAATCTTTAAATTAATAATTATAAAAGAAATTATTAATGTAATTATTTAATTGTTTTATACAGTTATTAACAATCAATTGTTATTAATATTATAATATAATATTATCATAATATTATGTTATATAAATATTATTATTTTATTAATTCATAACAAGTAATTATAATAATAATAATTTCCATTTCTTTAAGGAAAATTTTCTCTTATCTCTTTAATGTCTTTCAGCTTTTCAGGAAAACTCACAACTTTATTCTCCGACTATTTACATTCTTTTTACGTTCTAAAACTTTGTTAATATATTTTATTATAATGAACGAATAATTTTTATTGCAACACAAATAAAAAAATATTTGATTCCTTTCAGGATGAACCAATCACTAAACGTAAACCAAGTCTTCAGAAACCACAAGAAGAAAAGGTACACTTTTTATACACTCAACATTCACACATTGACACAATTTTCTATTGTTTTTTATTTATATTTATTTATATTATTTTGTTATTCATATTTATTTCTATTGTATTTTATTCATATTTATTTATATTTTTTTTTCTTTAAATTTACTTCAATAATTTTTATCTATATTTATTTCTATTTATTTATTTCATTTATTTTATTTGTATTATTTTTATTTAGTGTTAAATGTTTTTTTTTACTTATTTTGTAGGAGGAAACTTCAGTAAAGACTAAAACAACAACAACACGAGAATCTATAGATGAAAAGGTACAAAATAGAAACAACACAAACAGTAAAAGTTTGTAGTACACGAAATTAAAATTTTTTTCGTTAATGTTAACTTATATTTTTATACGTTTTCGTCTTGCAGAAACGAGATTCTGTCAAAAAGACCAAACCGGAAGAAACGAAGGTACATTCTGAAATATTTATTTTATTTTATTCATTTTAATTTTAAATTTTACTAATTTTATTGTTTCGATATAATTATTTTGATTAATATTTGTTGCTGTTCTTCAGCATCAAACTAACAACAAATATTTTTTTATAATATTGTTTTCGATAATATAAAATCTTTTCAATTTTATAGTTTAAAAATTAACGTTAATTAATATTCAAATTACTTAAAATTTTCAAATTAAAGTATTTTAATTGTTTAAAATTTTCAAATTCAAAATATTTTAATTGTTTAAAAATTATCAAATATTCAAAATATTTTAATTGTTCAAAAATTATCAAATATTCAAAATATTTTAATTATTTAAAAATTTTTAAATTATTTTTCAAATATAATTTACACAAATGAGTTAAGAAAATACTATATTAAAATTAATCTTCTAGAAAGACGAAGTAAAGCCAAAAGACAAACTTACGGTTGATGGTACAAACGGAGTAATTGAGGTACACAGACAAACATTTTGTTTATTATTTATTTTAAAATTAATTATTAATGAGGAATTATTTTTACTTTTTATACTTTTTTTCTCAAAATTGACAATAAGAATATTATAGATATTTGACATTTTTAGGACCAAGCACCAACTAAACGAAAAACATCTATTGGCAAACCGACTGAAGCCAAGGTACTTACCAATTTTCCAAATTAAAAACTTTTTCTAATCTCGACAAACTTTCGATTAACTTGAAAAAATATAACAGAGAACTAACAATAATTAATTTCGAATCTTTCAATAACTTTTGAAATTTAATATTAACAGGCTAAAATATTTCGCTAAATATTTTGCTAAATATTTGTCTAAAATAATTTGCTAAATATTTGTACAAAAATATTTTGCTAAATATTCTGTTAAAATATTTGCTTTATATTTTGCTAAATATTCTGTCAAAATATTTTCTAAATATTTTGCTAAATATTTGCTATATATTTGTCTAAAATATTTTAATTTAATAATATTAACTATTAGGTAATAATAATATTTTATAATATAAGCTAAAATATTTTTTTAAATATTTGCTAATTATTATGCAAAATATTTGCTAAATATTAAATGGTAAAATGTGATAATTCAGTAATATTAATAATTAATTACAATAATATTAATTAATCATTTGTAAATCTACCAAATTACTTAAATTTACCGTCATGAATAATTATATATTTCGAATTTCTGTCTAAAAATTTTCTATTCTACTTGAAACTTTATAAATTTTTCTACACGGTGGTGGTTATGCCTGACTTTCGAATTCTTTTTCAATTCTTAATTTTTCAACACTACTTTTCGATTGCGTCTGATCAAGGTACTTTTATTCTACTTGAAACTTGTGGTCTCTATGTCTGACATTTCATACTTTCTCTACTTGATTCTCTACAGTCGCCTCTTTCTCTTTTCTCGAAATCTCTTCTTCTTCTTCTTCTTCTGTACTGGAATTATTTTATTTTGTTCTCGAAAAAAAATTAAATTCTCACACTAATTGGTACTTTTAGGATACACCTACACCTTCCCGACGAACATCAACACACACTTCTGCTGACGATAAGGTATCAAAATTTACAAATCAATTGCAAGTACCTACAAAAAACTCAATTTTCCAAATTCAATTCAATTTTTTTTATTTTTATTAATTTTGTTAAAATTATTTAATTGTATAATGTAAAAAATATGTCAATTCGATTGACTTACAACTTAAATAGGTACTTTTTAATTTTCTTCAACATTTTTTTTCTGTTTTACAATTAATTATTTAGTTAATTAAATTTACATTCAATTTATAATATTTAAATTACCATATTTGGTATCGTTGAATATTTTCAATATTTTTACTTTTCTTCGACATATTTTTTACATTTTACAATTATGTAATTTTAATTCAATCTTAATTTAATTTTAATTTATTTTTTAGTAAATTAAATTTAATTTATAAATATTTTTTCCTAATTTATCAAAACTTGAAATATGTAAATTGTAATTTATTTTTTATTCTTTAGTAAATTCAACTTAATTTATAAATATTTTTTTCTTAATTTATCAAAACTTGAAAGATGTAAATTTCAAATACAATTTTTAGGAAAACTGTGATCTGTCCCGTAAATCGTCAATTACTCTAGTGACAGAAACTGAGGTACTTAATCTACATTTACACAAAACTAAAATTTTTAATTCTCTTTATTAATATTATTTTTGAATTTGGGATTATTATCGAATTTCTATTATAGGGATCACGCGCTTCTTCTTGTAAATCTTCATTCAATTGGCCTGAAGAAGAGGTATACACTCAATTTTTTTTACATTTTTTAAAGTATTTTAATTTTATTTTTTTTTTCTTTTACAGTAAAAATTCTTTCCGAAAACATTTTTTTAAATAGAAAATTACAAATGCAAAATTACTTTCTTTGTAGGATATTTACGTACCGACAGCTAAACGTGGAATAATAGAGGTACAAATATTTTGTGTTTTTATTATTTTTTTTTATTTGAATTTTCAAAATTATGTAATTTTTAATTTATTTTATTTATATACAAAATTTTGATTTTAGGATGTAAATGATGTATCGCGTAAATCGTCGATTACTCAAGTAACAATAACAGAGGTAGATAATATTATTAAATTATATTTTTTTTAAATAATAATTATTCTTGGCAACTTATTATATTTTCTTAGCAATTTTATTTACTGATTTATTTTTATTTAACTAGTTTTTGTTTTTAATTCGGAGATAGAGATAATGGGGTATTTTTTTACGTTTATAGGATACTCGCGATTCTTCTCGAAAATCGTCATTTAGTTGGCCGGAAGAAAATGAGGTACAGACAATTTTTGTTTTAAAGAAGAATTTTTTTTTAGAAATATTTTTCTCGACTGTTTTTTAAAAATGGAATATTAATATTTATAGGACGTGTACGTGCCACCACGAAAACTTGAACACAAAGAGGTACACATAACATTGCAGATTATTTTTTAAAAATATTTTTATACACATTTTTATATTCATTTTCATATACATTTTTTACACATTTTTATATACATTTTTACACATTTTTAATTAAGAATTTATTTTGTATATAATTAATTTTTTTTCTTTTCTCATTTATAGGAAAATCTTTTAAAGCCACGTAAAGATTCGTTAGCAAAGGATGAGAAACCGAACGATAAAGAGGTAGACAATGTTATTAGAGAAATATTAATTGAAATTGGCAAAAGTTAAATAATTCTTTGAGTTAAAGGAAAATTTTTGAAATTTTAGAAAACACCTTCGCGAAAAACTTCTGTTGCAAATGAAGTAGTAACAAAAGAGGAAGAGGTAAAAAATTTTCTATTTGTATTTTTTTACATTAAATCGTTAAGTAAAAAAAATATTCGTATTATAAAAAGAGAAAGGTTCAAGTTTGGAAATTAATTTTTTTGTAGGATAAACCAAAAACTAAGAAATCGTCTCTTACGTCTTCGGATGATAAAAAGGTACACTTTTGGGATTTGTAAATTCATTTTTATAATTCTTTAATTTTATTATTTTTTATATTTTATTTATTTATTATTAATATTTATTTATTTATTATTATAAAAGCGATGATTAATTTATTTATTTGTAATTTTTATTTATTTATTATATTTTGTATTTTTTTTAACTAATAAGAAACGTACTTTGCTGACATAGGTAAAGAAAAAGGTTGTTAAGAGAACGTCCGTCAAGAAGAAAAAGGAAGAGGTACAAAAATTTATTTCTTTTTTTTTAATAGATTTATATTAAAATAATGATATGAATAATAATATTAAATTTTTACATAGGATAAAGATAAAATTACAAACGGTTCTTCTCCTCTACAACCGGAAAATGAGAAGGTAGTTAAAAAATTAATTCAATTTCAATTACAATTGGCAAACACTTGGAAACAAAATAAATTGGTTAAATTTTTAGGAAAATGACAAACCACAAGAATCTTCTCTTAATCTTACGGAAAAAATTGAGGTACACTATTTTTCTATTGTATTTTTCATATATTTTTTCTACTATATTTTTCATAAATATTTTTATAGTATTCAATTTTTTAATAAGAAAAAAGAAACGATTGTAAAGAATTTTTTTAATTTTCGCAAAAAATTATTGAGTAAATGATTCGTAACTTGAGAAAAGGAAAATATGAAATGTCAGATCGTAGGCCCTGGGTAATAAAAATAGAGTGAAAGAACCAAATATTTTTATGGTGTCTTTTAATTAATATATGATTACATAAGAGGTATAAATTAAATTAAATAATCCGATTAATCCGTAATGTAGTAAACTAATCAGATAATCAATAAATAATAAATTATTTAATTATTCACAAAATATATCAATGGTTCATACAAAACTTACTATTTTAGAAAGATGAACCAGTTAAACCAAAGACAGACCTTGCCAAAAAGGATGAGCTAAAGGTACAAAAAAATTCTAGTAAAAGAATTTTCAAAACTTATTAAATTTTCTAGAACTAAAAATGGTAAATTTAGGTAGTAAAACTAAAAATAGTAAATTTAATAAAAACTAAATATTAAATTTAATAAAACTCAGAATTATTAAATTAATGAAAACTGAAAAAATTAATGAAACTGAAAATGTTAAATTTAGTAAAAACTAAAAATATTAAATTTAATAAAACTGAAAATAATAAATTTAATAAAACTAAAAAAATTAAATTTGACAAAACTTTAAATCTAATAAAACAGAAAGTTTAAATCTACAAAAAGAAATTTTAAAATTAAAAGTACATTAAGGAAAATTTGCTAATATATCATAGAAAAAAAACATTAGATAATTTTGATTTTAAACTAAAATTAAATATAAATTTTAATTAAATTAATATTTGACACTGAATAATTTTAGGTTGAACCTACACCTAAACCTAAAACAACTCTGGGTAAACCGGAAGAACCCAAGGTAGTTAAAAGTTTTTACGTACAATTAAAAATACAATTTTTTTGCTATTATTCTGTGAAACAATACTTTAGAAAATTAGAAATTTTATTTAAATGCACAGGGATTTTTTTTTTTAATATTTAATTAATTTTTAGACGGCAGAACCGGTACCAAAACAAAAGGCTACACTCGGCAAACCCGAAGTACCAAAGGTACATGAACACAAAACAAAATTCTCATAAACAATGCTAACTAATAATCTCATTATTTTTTAGATACATAAACACTTTTCACATATTCTGTTTCTGATTATTAAAAATACTCATTTAAGAAACTCATTTTCAGCATTAATTTGTATTTTTCATTTTTAATTCAAATTTTTTATTTTTATTTCTAGTGTTTATTTTTTAATGTTAATTTTTTATTTTAATTTTAAATTTTAAATTCTACTTTTTAATTCTATTTTTAATTTTAATTTTTAATTTTAATTTTTAATTTTTATTTTTTAATTCTATTTTTTAATTTTAGTTTTCAATTTTAATTTTTAATGTTAATTTTCAATTTTAATTTTTAATGTTAATTTTGAATTCCAACTTTTAACTCTAATTTTTAATTTCGTTTTTTAATTTAAATTTTCAATTTTTATTTTCAATTTTAATCTTCATTTAATTTGCAGGAAAGTTTTGAAATAATTCACAAGCAGTAGCAGAATGCAACTAATTTTTTCTTTTATTTCGATCTATTAACAGCACTGGACAAATTAATTTTCAACTTCCACATCTTTTCTATAGTTAATAATTCTTGCAAAAATCAGAAAATAAAATAGTTTTTAATTATATGCTAGATATGCTGAAATTAATCGATTCACAAATTGCAGGCATCTAGAAACATCATTTTTATTAATATTTTTCATCTCATTCTTTTATTGTATTAATATTGATCATTTTTTCTTTTCATCACTAGGTCCACTTGGCATGATAAAAAATAACTAAAAATATTTTCATAACTAAACGGAACTTTTTCTTTATTTTTTACAGAAAGATGACGAAAGTAGAAGAACTAGTCTTAAACCCACAAAGGTAATTTTTAACCTTTATTTTTATTATTTTAATTATTATTCTTATTATTCTTATTATTATTTTATTATTTATTATTTTTTTTATTATTTTATTATTTTACTATTTATTATTTACTTAAAAATTTTATTCATTTAGTACATTTAATTTTTAATACATTCCTTAAAACTAAGAATAATTATTAATTAGGCAAAATAATTATTTCGTCCAGTTATAAATACTTTATATTAATTAAAAAATTTCTTTTTCAGACCCTCGAGGAGGAGAAGAAGGGCCTCAACAAAGTGGAAATGAAAGTGAGTCGTTATTCCAAAAATAATTCAAATCTTGACAATTATCCATTGAATTTCACTTTGTATTGTAAAGTAGTTTTTTGTGATAGTTATCTCAATGTTGTCTCGTCTTTTATTTAATTTTAAGTATAATTACACTTTTACTCGAAAAATACCGCACAAACAAATTTATCGTTTCAAAATAATTGCTCTTCAAATATCCTGTGTTCTATTCAAGAAAGAAACAAAGAAACAAAGAAAAAATTCGGTCTTTTTTTTGCAAATATACACATAATAATTATGAATATAATTAAAATACAGAAGGAAAACAACGCCGAAGAAAAACGAAAGCCAGCCAGACCACCTAAACAGGAATTAAAAGTTGAAAGCTTTCAGGCAATTCAACTGAAACCTGTTAAAAAATCTGTGAAAGAACCTGAAAAAGTTGAAAATGGCACTATTGAACTGAAGGTATCCTGTAAAATTGGGGTTGCAATACATTTTTTTAAAAATTTCTTTCTTCTCTGTGAAAAAAAAATTCTCTGTTCTACTGACCTTTTTTGATGATCATCTTTTCTCATAAACTCAATTTCTTCGTTTCTGTCACTAAAGCGATTTTTCTCTCATTTTCTGTTCTACAAGAGACTCTTATCAACAATGTCTCCTTTCTTTCTTTTTCTCTAAATTGTTTCTTTTACCACATTTCTTCTTTCAAGAATTTTATTAATTTTTAATTTTACAATTAATTATATTAATTTTTTCCTTAAAATTCCTCTATTGCATCAATTTACAATTAAAAAAAAAAAAAAAAATGGAAAACTTTCTGTGCTTTGACTCTTTTTTCTGTTTCTGATTTTTAATAATTTTCGATTCAATTCTAATTTCTTTCTTGTATTTAAAACTTTCTTCTTGTACTTAAAACTTCATTCTTGTACTTAAAACTTTTTTCTTGTACTTAAAACTTCTTTCCTTGTACTTAAAACATTTTTGCGTAATGTACAAAATGTTGTACATTGGGAAAATGTAATTTGGGATTCTGCTCACTTTTTTTACGAAACTTTCTTCAGGAGCTGGTTTTTCATTCTAATTTTCACCCTCTGGACACTACTTTCCACACACAGTGTACATAATTTACTTAAAAACTAATTTTCGTGTTCTAAAAAGTAACACGAAAGCTGTAAAAAAAATCCTCGATCTGAAACTGTACAAAAAACATTTCTGCGTTTAATATTTTCATTATAAAATTGATACTTCGATTTTGAACTAATAATTATACTACATTTCTACACTATTTTTAACTCATAAAATATGTGATAAGCTCAGCAAAAATAATATTTATTAAAAACTTACTAGTCACTCATAAATTTCGAGAAAAATAAAAAGATAATTTTTGTATTATTTACTTTATTATTATTTATTTTATTTATCTATTTTTATTATTTATATAAATCGTAAATTAAATATTAGTTGTAAAATAAAAATAAATAAGTAAATAATTATTTCCTTTTTAATTTAATTCAAGTACTTTGGCAACAAAAATAAATACAAAATAGTATGGAAAATAAATAGTTGATAAAAGGAAAGAAAAAAAGGAATTATCTTTTTATTTTCAGTTGTAAAATATCTTCTTGATCCTTAATTAAAAATACTCACTGAACTTCTTAAAATAAAAAACTTAAAACTCACTGACTCAATAAAATTCTACTCGAAAATAATTTTCAAGCTTTTCCCCTATTTGACAATAAAATAATCTTATTAATTATTAATAATTAATAATAAAGAAATATTAACTTTTCGATAAACTCTAAGTATGATAACGATAAATAATCTTTACAAAAATTAATTCAAACCATTTTTTCCAATTAATAATTAAATTAATTCTCGATTTTCAAAATTGATATTTTATATTAACGATTTAATTTTTCTTCGCAGAAAGTGGAAAAACCGGAGAAACAAGAGATTAAGAGGGTGAAAGCGCCGAAAGCATCGAAACAAAAGGATTATGAACTTCCAGAGATACCTGATTATGAGAGACCTGTTCTTGAAAAACCGCAAGAATTTGAATTTGCTGACTATGCTGGAAGAGATAAGACGAAACTTGAAAGACCCACGACTCAGGTGACAATTAATAATTATTTTTTTTGTATTCTTTTTGCACGGAAAATAGTTTCCTATTGTATAGAATTGTGATTTTTAGAAGTTTTCTTCTTCTTCTTCTTTTAGAATGTTCTTTTCAATGTTTAGAATGTTTTTTCAAGGTAAATGATGAACTGATACCTGAAAAATTAGACACCAATGTATAGACAATAGTCATAATAAGAGTATAGTTTATAAAGGAAGGTTGCCACTATTTGGATATGATTCAAAAATTCAACTTTGAGATTTTCAAATACTGAAAAGATTGATTAAATGAATTTTACATTTTGCAAGGGATTAAAAATTGTCATTGAAAATTTTTAATGATACTTTCTATATATATACTTTTATATATTTTATTTATTATTTTTTTTTACTTTTCTTTGCTGTTTTTGGGTATTTTTTATTATTTTTACTTTTGTAATTTTTTATTTTACTTTTAATTTCACTAGTTTTATATATTTTTTAAATATTTTTACTTTTTTCACTTTTTATTTTACTATTTTTTGATATTTTTTATTTTTTCTTTATTTTTTACTTTTAATTTTACTATTTTTTGATATTTTTTATTAATTTTACTATTTTCACTTTTTATTTTACTATTTTTGTATATTTTCTGTATTTTTTACTTTAAATTTTACTATTTTTTGATTTTTTTATTAATTTTACTTTTTTCACTTTTTATTTTACTGTTTTCAGATATTTTTTATTAGTTTTACTTTTCTTACTTTTCATTTTTACTATTTTTTCTGTATTCTTTTACTTCTTTTTTTAACATTTTAGGAGATTTTTTAATATTTTTATTTTTTTTCCTTTTTATTTTACTTTTTTTGGATATTTTTTCTTTATTTTTTACTTTTAATTTTACTATTTTTTGATATTTTTTATTATTTTTACTTTTTTCACTTTGTATTTTACTATTATTGAATATTTTGTATTAGTTTTACTTTTCTTACTTTTCATTTTACTATTTTTTTACTATTTGCTTTACTATTTTTGGATATTTTTCTACTTTTCATTTTTACTGTTTTTTGATATTTTTTATTTTTTCTGTATTCTTTTATTTCCATTTTACTATTTTAGGAGATTTTTTGATTTTTTTTACTTTTTTCACTTTGTATTTTACTATTTTTGGATATTTAAATTTTTTGTTTTATTTTTTAACTACTGTTTAATTGACAATTTTTTGAATATTTTCTTTATTTTTTCAAGTTGATTTTTCCAAATAGTGGAAATTTGTCCTTTACTTAAAATTTGTTTTATTATTAGCATTTTTTTTTGTCCGATTGTGTGTAATTTAGTAATAGATATTTGTGATAATATGAGAAAAATTTTTGTTGTTTATTGTCAGATGTTTACTGGCAAGTGATAATTGTGAATTTAATGCTATTTTTCCGAAATAGTGTTTTTTGTTTCTTACAAATTTGTTTTTCACTCATTTTCTCATCGTACGTTGAGAATTTTTTTTTTTGCGAAAGATTTAGAATTTTCTTTTCAAAAGTTTATCCATAATTTATTGATTTATTTCATACGGAATTAAAATTAAAGGCATTGAAAATTTATTTTCGGAGAATAATGATTAATACAAATAAATTATTTGCAATTTTAATATTTTATTTCAAATTTTCAAATAAAAAATTGAAAAATAATTAAAATTGGTACATAATATTTTAAAGGAATCAAAAGTTTATTTTTTAGGTCTTTAGAAAAATTATGTTATTAGTAATTTTATCTTTTTTATTTCGAATTCAAAATAAAAAATGAAATTTATTTTTCGATTGATTTACAAGTTTAAAAAAGTCATGGTAGGGAATATTTTCCGGGCAGAATATTTTCGAAATAGAAACCATTATAATGAAGACTTTCTTCTTTTTACATGTCAACGAACAGAAATTCGATTCAAAGGTGAGTTGAAGTGTTCGTTTATTGCTGGAATCAAATTAAAACCATAAATGTCGCTTCTGTGACCGATGAGAGAAATCGACGAGGAAAGAAAAATTTTTTTCCAGTTTTTCTTTAAAGAGGATGATTTTTTTTTGGCACAATCGCTGCTTAGAAGTGCAACTAATTCTCTTGAGGTGCTTCATTCAATGATCGTGTGTCAATGACGATTCACTATTTTGAACATTGATTCCTTTCTGGTTAATCAATCTTTTCACTTCGTTTTAGAATTTTAATTTTCGATTTCTCTTTTTCGTTTCTTTTTTTCCTTTCTTCTCTTCTTTTCTTTTTTCTCTTTTTTTATTTCCTTTTCTTTTTCTCTTTTTTAATTTATTTTCTTTTTTTTCCTTTTTTTTCTTTTCTTTTTCTCTTTTTTAATTTATTTTCTCTTTTTCCTTCTTTTCTCTTTTCGAATTCTGTCCGATTTTGTCTTCTTTTCTTTTCGACAAAGATTTTTCGAGAAAATAAGAATTACATATACACAAACAAGATAAATTTTCTCGTGAAAGCCAAAATAATCATCAATTAAGTTATCTTCACGAGAAAATTATCCGGACGATCGCAGAAACGAGAATGATTGGCCGGCCCCAAAATCTTTCGAATAATTTGGCACACGTGTAAATGATGCTTCGCGTGGAAAACTATTTTTGCAAATATCTCGCCATATCTCTCGTTTTACCCCCTTTTGATTGCAATTTCCCCCCCGCGGTGGGGAATGATCATCTAATACGAGAGGTTTGCAAAAAGAGAAGAGGGACAAAATGTTGAAAATGGCCTTCGCTATTTTTGGAAATATTACGACCACTTTTAGTCGGGACATGAAAACTGGCAGGTCACTTATCGTACCTCTCTTCTGTTCTGTCTCATTGGTCTCAGTTTAATTTCCATCGCGATTGCCATCGAATCATCGAATCCTCGAGTTCGTCGATCGATTTTCTCTCGAGGTCACACGCCACACAACAAGCTTTTTGAGTCGCTCTTTATTGCCAAAGAAAAAAAAAAATTTTTTTTTTTTGTTTTGATAATTTCTGGAAATTTTTTTTTTAATTTGTATTTTTTTTTTTAATGTAGCCAAAAGTACCGGAAATCAAGACACCTGAAATTAAAGCACCTGAGATTAAAACACCGGAAGCGCCTAAAATCGAGGTCAGCAAAAACGTATCGCCTGTCGCTAGTCGAAGGGGTTCGATTATTATTCCACCGGGAAGTGGTTCTGGCAGTCGGCGAGGATCTCTTATTCCTCCGGAAGAATTAGGACGCAGACCCAGTCTTATCATCAGTGACGAGGTATGTTTTTATTTTTTGGAATTTATCTCAGCAAGATTTCACAGTGTGTGGATCATTCGAACACAGAGGCTCAAGGGTTTTTTTCCGAAAAAACAAAATTTTCAGTGGTATTTTTTGTAGATAAATTTTATTTCTTAATGAACTTTAATTTTAGTATTCTTTTATAGTCTTTAGTATTTTTTTATAGTCAGTGAATTTTAATGTTAATTGATTTTAACATACCTATTTAACAATTTAATTTTATACTATAAAAATTATCTTTTTTTATGGTTTTTTTCGAAAAAAAATTTTCAGAAGTATTTTTATGGATAAATTTTATTTTTTAATGAGTAATTTTTTTTTAGTATTTTTTTTTATAGTTTTATGTTTTTTTTCTTCGATTTTATAATTTTTTTCTAAACCTTTCTAAATTTCTAAAACCTTTCTAAATTTTTACAAAATTTTTTGATCATAATTTTTAGTAATTTAGTTTTCAATTTTTTCATTCAATTCTTTACTTTCTGACTATAAAATTTATTTTTTTTTTGTTTTTCATTCGGTTTTGTTCATTTTTATAATTTTTTTCTAATCATTTCGAAATTTTAAAGTAAAATTTTGTCAAAATTCCTAAATCATATTTTTCTTAGTAATTTCATTTTTAATTTCTTCTTTTAATTCTTTCCTTTCTGATTATAAAATTGTTTTTTGTTTTTTTGTTTGGTTTTTTATTTTTTTTATTCATTTTTATGATTTTTTTCAAACATTTCGAAATTTTAAAGTCCAATTTTGACAAAATTCTTTAATCATATTTTTTTTAGTAATTTCAATTTCAATTTCTTCTTTCAATTAATTATTTTCTTATCATAAAATTTATTTATTTTTGTTTTTTATTCGTTTTGTTCATTTTAATGATTTCTTTCTAAACATTTCCAAATTTTAAAGACAAATTTTGACAAAATTCTTGAATCATATTTTTTTAGTAATTTCAATTTCAATTTCTTCTTTCAATTCTTTACTTTCTGATTATAAAATTGTTTTTGGTTTTCTATTTGTTTTATTGATTTTTATGATTTTTTTCCGAACATTTCGAAATTTTAAAGTCAAATTTTGAAAAAATTCATCAATCATTTTTTTAGTTAATTTAGTTATCAATTTCTTTCTTCAATTAATTACTTTCTTATCATAAAATTTATATTTTTTTATTTTTATTAACATTTTTTTCATTTTTATAATTATTTCTAAACATTCCGAAATTTTGAAGTCATTTACTAACCAAATTCTTTGGTCATAATTTTTTCTATTAATTTGGTTTTCAATTTTCTTTTTATTTATTTTGTATTTTTTATTTATTTATTTATTTTAATCGTAGCCCATATTTATTTTTTGTTTATTTTTTATTTATTTCAATTACTATTTTCTTATTATCGGAAACAAAATTTCGTCCTTTAGCCTCTGGTTCGAAAATAACCGTCAGATGATCGATCTCGTTGAAAGATTCTGAAAATATTTAAAATAATTTCGTACAATCAAATAAAAGGAGATTAATCAACTGATTTTGCACTTGGTACTCGATTGTAATTCAAATTCTCGATTTCAGTTAATTAGTCTCATATTTAAAATAAAAAATGATTTTAATTAATTTAAGAAAATTAAGACTAAAAAAATATTTTTTTATTTACTTAAAAATAGTAGTTTGAAGTTGAATTAGTAGTTTAAAGAAATGCAAGTTAGAAATGCTTAACAAAAGCGTGTCTTTTGAAGGAATTTTTTGACACTGAATTTTTGAATGATACTGAATAGATTTAGCAGTTTTTTATTACATTACTTTAGTACAATTTTTCTCTAGTTTACTAATAAATAATTATTAATTACTAATTGTAAAATTAAATACTGATAGTAAACTAAACGTATGGACAATGCATTATTGAAAAAGTAGAAATTTGTTTACAAAAAAAAAAAATTGTTTGTAAAATCGAGTGATGCTTTCGAGTGCCAAGTACAATTAATTTATTAATTAAATTAAGTAATACTAAGTAGAAAGTGGAGATAGTCGTAGGGGGTTTTCCGTAGTTCAGTGATCTACTCTCGTTCAAGTCTCAATTAGTCAGCAATTAATAATTATAAATAATTTAGAGATTGTCCCTTTTTTTTCTCTAAAACAAAGAAAAATTGTCTTTTTATGTGTCACATTCCCGTTAAGCAATGTCTCTAAGTGTCTAGAAATTTTAGATTAGAATTTACGTTTGTGTATATTTTACACTACCTCTTTGTATACGTTATTGTCTTGTTTATTTGTTTTTCGTCTTCAACGTTAATCCCTCTGTGCAATATTGTTATTCCAAAGAAAGAGAAACATAAATATTCCAATTTTGTCCAATTTGCAAAAAAAAAGAAACATTTCGCGGTCTCAGGTAATTTTATAACAGGTCCCAACGCAGGATACCGGGAAAGAAGAGGATAAATGGAGAAATGAAGATAGATCTTTTTTTTCTTATTTTCTCGACAATCACGAAATTAATCGCTCAATTTGCAAATTTAATTGTTAAAAAAATTAATGCTTTCTTAAAAATATTTAAATCGATATTTAAATTTTTTTCCTAGTCAATCTTTTTATTTTTTTAAATAGAAAATATTTTTCCAAGTCTATCTTTTTATTTTTCTAAATAGTAAATTTTTCTCTACTTTATTTTATTTTCAATTTTTGTAAATAGGAAATTTTTTTCCTAGTCGATTGATTTATTTTCTATTTCTTTAAATAGTGAATTTTTATATTACAGAATTTTTTTGTTTTTTGTTTTTTTTTTGGCAAATTGAGCGATTGATTTTCATTAATTAATTGATTAATTTTTAAAATTGATAAAATGAATATATTCTTTATACACAAGTACACATAACACGCAGCGTTTGCTCATAACGATTTGGTTCATAGGAGAATAGAAAGCTGCGCCCTGGTGAGGTGGTCGATGAGCGCATGAAGGTGAGAAACTTCTTCAATTTGAAGAAGAAGAGAATGATGATGCCTCGTCTGCAACCTTCTTCAAACTACTCCACTTATCGAGCATTGCACTTTTTCTTGACACTTACTTGCCTTCTCACTCATAGACACTTACAATTTTTTTTTCTTTTCTATCTCTTCCACATTCACACTCACTCATGCCAAGAGATTATTTAATCTTCTTCCACTTATTTTTTTTTCTTATTATTCAATTTAATTTAATTCAAATTATTTAATTTAATTCTTTATTCAATTATTTTATTCAACAGAAATTATTATATTGAATTATTTTGTCCAATTAAAATTATTTTATTCAATTATTTTTTGTCAAATTAAAATTATTTTGTTCAATTACTTTTTGTTGAATTAAAATTATTTTGTTCAATTATTTTATTCAACTCAAATTATTGTATTCAATTATTTTGTTCAATTAAAATTATTTCATTATTTTGTTTAATTATTTTATTCAATTAAAATTGTATTTTTGTAAAGTAATTTTTTTTTTGTTCATTTTCTGATATTTTAACATGTTTTGATTTTTTCAAATTGATTTTTGGAATAATTTAATTTTACGTTTTTATTTTGTGTTGCGTTTAGTTTTTATTAAAATTAACTTCTGAGTTTATGGGAAAATTTTGTATTTTTGTAAGAAAGAATTTTTAAATTTAATTAGAATTTTTTTTCTGTGAAAAGAAAAAATTTACTAATGTTGATTTTTGAATTCGAATAAAAAATTTTGTTTTATTTTTAAAAAAACAAAATTATTATTTATGGAAAGATAAATGATCTCTTCGGTTGTGCCTGCTCGTTACTACCACTACCAGTATTATTCATCGAACAATTTTTAACAATTTATGCACGAGCTCGCACGTTAATTATACAATATCATCACGGGAAAAGTGAATATCAAGTGTAAAATTTCCTTACTTATCAAAAAAAAAAAAATCAGCATTTTTCTCCGTTACATCTCTCACTATAGTTACGAGCACTAATTTATCTGTGAACAATTTTTTATTGTATTTTTTTTCATTTAGTTCTGAATTTATTCGTCTTCTTAAGATTTCTCTGACAATTTTGATAAATTATTACAAAAAAAATATTTTTAATTTCTTTTCTTGTTTTTATTTTATTTTTTTTTCATTTAGTTTAATATTTGACAGAGGAAATAAATTGAAAAGTGACTCAAAATGTAATATTAGTTCATTTAATAAAATTTATTCGGGTCTTGTTCGGATTTTTTTTGTTTCTGTAAAAAAAATATTTTAAATTGCTTTTCTAAGTTTTATTTTATTTATTTTAATTTCTAGTTCAGTATTTGATGGAAAAAATTGGTTAAAAAGTGATTTAAAATGAAATATTAGTTCACGAAATAAAATTTATTGGAGTCTTGATCGAATTTGTATTTTTTTATTTTTTTATTGTATTGTATTTTGTATTGTATTTTTTTACTTTAATTTTTTACACATTAATTTATAATATTAAAATTACTTAATATTTTTAAAAGATTTAAATTGAAATATTACTTACTACAAAGATTAAGTTTACTTAAAATTTTTTTGAACATTTACTTTGAATATTTTTTACACGACAATTTTATAATTAAGATCGAAGAAAATCGGTGATTATTTTTGGTGTTGCCGGATGGCAATAAATTGGCGTTAAGTGATGAGATTCAACAGTATTTATTGCTCGTAACTATAGATCCAATTTCTGTTTACCAAAACAAGACAAGCACAAATTTACTAGTTTCAAAATGAGAAATGCCAAACAGTGCCCCCGCAACTAGCGCACGGAATTCAAAGTCAATTCGGGCTCTGCATGTCGACATTTTTTATTAGACGCTCGTCACTAGATTTTAATTTCATTTATTAATCAAAACACCACAAAAAAAAATAAAAATGAAAAAATAAAAATTGATCTGAACTCGAAAAGTATATTCTCGAATATATATAAGTAACGTTGCAGTTAAACTGGAACAAATTCAAGAATCAATGCGTGGATAAGAAATAGTCACCAATTTATTAAATTTTATAATATAGAAAACTATTTTCGTCGTTATTTTTTACTCTCATTTGGCACCTGTGGGTTATTCAATATCTCTGATTATATTTCGAAAATTTTTTATTATTTTTTCCCTTCTATTTAATTCTTCTGCAGTTGGTTTTAATTCTACTTTTTTTTTATTTTTTAAAGAAAGGAGAATATTATCGAAAATTATTTTTTTCATATATTTTTTACCCTTTGATTTAATTCTTGTGTAATTGATTTTTTCTTATTTTTCAAGGAGAGGAGAATATTAGCGATAATTGGAGTTTATTTTCAAAATTAAGGGAGAAAAAATACCGAAACACGACTTAGATTGGAAAATTCAATACACAGCGTTAAATGATAATATATCGTCGTGTCTGCAAATTGCTTCGTGAAAATAAAGCCGTAATGCAAAATGTTGGCCAAGTTTATCCCGCAAATCGTATAGTATAGAAAATATCTGGAGTACGGCTATGTTTTCCGAAATGCATGTTGGCCTGTCTGATTTGTCAAACTAATTAGATTTAATTTATCTCGCTTTTAATAAGGCACATTTTTCACATTGAAATCCAAAATGTAAATATAATTGCATCACAATTTTGCTGATATTTTCCTTTTTGCCAAAAAAAAACAATTTATAAGTCTTTTTATTCTTTGTTTTTTTTTTTTATTCTTTATTCCTCTCATTCAGGTAAAATCATCAAATTTTCTAGATTTGCAGTAAATTTGTTTCAAATTGTCAAAAATAGGAAAAGAATTATTCAGACATTGAAATTAAACAAATTTTATAGGGATCAAGGAAAAAGTCAAAATTCTATATGAAAATCAGGGAAAAATATTGAATTTTTGTTTATTTAAAAACAAAACAGAAAATAATTTTGAAGCAGTTTTTTTGTAATTCGAAAATATTTTTCAAACCGTTTTTTTTTTTTATTCAAGAGCAAAATTTGTTTTGCGAAAAATTTTCTTAATTCATTTTTCGGAAGAAATTTGCCGAGTGAATCACTGAACAAGAAATTCAATCTGAAATTGGCAATGACACGGATCGTTTTTAATGTTCACGGGCGATTTGGCAAACGTTGTTTGTTGGACAATGCTGTTTGAGTCGCTGGTTGACATTAACAAGTGATTAAAGTAAAGTTAACAATGTGTAGACAATTTATCGAACATATATAACAATTTTCTTGTTGATACTCTTGTTGAAGTAATTTATCACTCGTTATTAAAATTCATAAATTTACAAAAGGGAAATGTCGTGAAATTTTTTTATTTTCCGCAAATTCGACTGATGATACTTTTCGAGTTCATGACCAAAAAAATTAATCACTAAAAAAGAAACAATTAATTCTAATAATCATTTATAATCATTTAATCGGAATGGTTCCATTTTAATAAAGAATGAGAATGAATTGGGTTAAACAAAAGTGCAATCTTGACCACTAAATGCATATATGTACAGTTACCACCATACAAATTACAATTACATCACAAGACAAATATTTTTTTTTCTTGAATCATAAACAAGTATTTTTTTTAATTAAAAAACGTTTCAATGGAAAATAAAAATTCTCGAAAGAAGAAGCAATTTTTCGATCGTATTTTTCATATTTTTTTTAAATATTTGCATTAGATGCAATAATAATTTTTTCTTAATTAGAGAATTTTTATTTTTTATTGTAACGTTCTGAAATCGCATTGTAGAAATTGATTTAAATTTAGCGCAATAATTTTATTAGTAATAATAATAGTAATCATCAATCATTTCGTAGATTTGACTATTATCTTTGATCATCGTCATCGAATTCCTGCGAATCATCGGATCATTCTTTTGGGTGTCGTTTGTGACATTTCTTTTATTTTCTTTTGTAATGTCAATCGATATCTTCAAAATCGCTATATTCAAAATCGAGAGCAGATTTTTCAATTTTTTACTTATATATTTTTAATTAATTAATTTCATTGCAAAAAATTTATGTATGAATATTTTTAATTGCAAAAAAATTTATAATTGAATATTTCTAATTGTAAACAAAATTTTAAATTGAATATTTTCAAGTGTAAAAAATTTATTATTGGATATTTTCAATTGTAAAAAATTTATAATTGAATATTTTCAATTGCAAAAAATTTATAATTCAAAATATTGAATGAAAAAATTTTTGACAATAGAATTGAATAATTTAAAATAAAAAATTGTAAGTATGTAAATTGTAGCAAAATTGAAGAATAGAAATCGTAAGAAATTTATTTAAAATTGTTAATTATTTTCTATGTTTTTATTTATTGGCTGATAAATTTTTTCTTTTATTAAAATAGAAATTGTCTGTATTGTGAAAAATTATATTTTTTATTTCTCGTCGTGATTTTGAATTAGCGATTGAGGGCCTTTTTAAAAAAATTGTGGAAGGTTTTTTCTTTAGATGAAAACAAAAATTTAGATAAAAATCCACTAATTGTTTATTCTCGTCTCTGTGATTTTCCACAGGCGGGAAAGTTACGTCCCGGCGAGGTGTTAGATACAAAGGTGAGATTTGTGTTCGCTATAACACAAAGCTTACCAAATCATGTCCTGCAATTTTTTTTTATCTCATCCACTCATTGTCATTTATTTCCAATTGATCATATTCGCAAATATTAATAAAAAAAAACAAATTTTTTTTATCATTATGCAAAAAGGAGAAGAAAAATTTTACTAGAACAAAAAAAGTATTCTCACATTTTGTATCGATTTTCTTTTTGCCGCTACAAGAAAATTTTTAGAGTCTAAAAAGTATCTTAATTCTTTTCTTTTTAATTTTCTTTTAATATTTTCTTTTAATATTTTAATTTTAATTTTAATTTTAATTTCATTATTTAAAATAGTGATTTTAATTTTAAAAAATTCAAATTTTAAATAACTATCTAATTTAATTTTAAATGTTTTTTTAGATTTTTGTTTTACTTTTGTCAGCAATTAATTATTATTTACAACATTATTCTTAATAATATTCTAATCACAATAATTATCATCAACATCCGTCAACATTATTTGCAGTTAATTAAACATTCATCATTTATTTTATTATTTTATTTATTTATTTATTCATTTAATTATTTTTGAGTATCACATTTTATGCAACATATTATATTTAAAGAAAACAGGGTCAGAATAAAAATAAAATCGCTGCTGCGAATAATCATATTAATAATAATTGAAAAATTATAATTTTAGCCTTCTTTCGAAGCTGATGCTGAAATATTGCTGCTATCAACGCTAATTCGCTACTTAATTCGCCTTTTTTCTCAGGAACTATTTATAAACGTTTCAATGAAACGGTAACATTTACTACATATTAATTTTTTTTCGACATAAGCAAAAAAAAAAAAAAATAGCTAACAGTTTCTTTTTATCAAATTTCCTATCATTTTTTTTCTGTTTTGAAAACATCATTTATTTTTTTCATCACTAAATTTTTCTTTTTTCCGGAAAACAGTCCCGCGGACGTCCTGGCGAGCTTCAAGATAAGGTTAGCCTAAGCAGAGGTTTTTCATTGTTTTTTTTTATTTTGAACCTTCATGTACTTTTTGGAATTCACTTGTTTTTGCGCTGAACTTTTTTTTGATATATTCCAACAGTGAAGGACAATTTTTTTATTTTTTACACTGAAATTCAATTTTTACGAATAGAAGGAAAGTTAATATTCGTTTGGAAGTAAATTATTTATTGAAACAATTTTCTATGTTTTTTGTTATTTATTTTTTTTTAGAATTTATTATTTTGTTTCTATCATTTTCCGAAACTTCGAAAACAGATTTTAAAATCGAAACTATTTCGATATTTTTCTGTAACTATTTGGCTTTGAAAAAATTATTCAAAAATGTTTTTGAGTTAAGAGGAGTAATTATTAAAATATTATTAATATAATTAAATATAATAGTTGATTTATTATAGTAAAAAATAATTCAAGAATAATATAATTTTTTGTCTAGATTCAATATTTGTTGTCATGAAAATTCGAAATATTTTCCGATCCTTGAAAATTAGACAAATTTTTATTTTATTTATTTTTTATTTATTTTAATTTGTTAAATTTGCCTAAATTTAAATTTAATTTCAATAAATTCTATTTAATTCAGTATTAAAATTCAGAATTTCAATATAAAATTCAGTGTTGATTAAAAAAGAAAAAAAATTGAATTTCACTGATGAAAAATTGAAAACTGAAGTTTTTTGCATATCGTGATTAATATTTTTCATCTGAGACGAAAATATTTACTGTATATATTTTCTTGTGTAGATTGATACCTTTCGTGTTTTTATAATTTGTGTTGATATTTGTATTTTAGAATTGAATGTCGCCGCTTTTATGGGACATAAGACGACTCTTGTAATCTAATTATTTTTTCGATTTATGTAAAAATATGTATTTTTTTTTTTTAGAAAAATCATATTTGTGTTTTAACTTTTGATATCAAGTTATTAATGTGTTCAATTTTTTTCTATCTTGTATATAATCTCCTTCTTTGTACATTTTTCTCTTTTGTAAATAATCTCAGAATTTTATTTTTTTTATTCTCTGAAATCGAAGTTCACCGATTTAATTTTTTCTGTTCGAAGAAATTATAGAATTGTGGTTTAGAAAAATCTAAGAATTACAAAAATTTACTTTTAATTTCATATTTAACATTTTATTTCGATTTTATTTTTATTTTATTTTTATTTCATTTTAAATTAATTTAATTTCTTTTTTCTTTAAATTTTAGTTAATTTTGATTTTATTTTGATTTCACTTGTGTTTCATTTAATTTTCATTTAATTTTTATTGAATCTTCTTTTTATTCTCGTTAAGATTAAAATTTGAAATAAAAATTATGATATTTTTTTTCTTATTTCTCGAGAATGTAATTCGTGAGCCCTTTATGTAATTTAGCCTTGAAACGTGAAATTATTACTAGAATCAACTATTTTTACACCTCCTGCCCAATCGTTATTATTATTATTATTTTTTTTTTTCTATAATTTAATTTTTGCTCCTTCCTGAATTACTAAATCGTTTTTATTTAAAAACCCCGAATTTAAAGTTATTCTCTCTCTTTCATACCTGTACTATAATTCTTTTTAATTGGAAAATTGCAGTGTGGTGTGGGTGTAATATGGCATTAGAAGAGAAAATATTATTATTCCACTAATCACAGAGACTTCATCTGACTGGCTTCGATCCAGAATCCAATTTGCAGCTGATCATAAAATCAGAGCATGGGAAACATTAATTAATACACCTTTCTGTTACACAAGTCACGGATTTTAGTAAAATTTCAATTTTCAAAAATTGTCATTTTAACACTGGAAAAAAAATTTGTGAAAAAAAAAATTGTGGTAGAAAAAAAAATTCTCATCGTAATTTAGAGATAAATTTTAGTATAAATTCGCAAATTAGAAAAAAACAAACAATTCGATTTTAATTATAAAGAAAAAGGATGATTCATTATTTTAAATTGGATAAATTATATTTAATTCGTATTGCTGAGAATAAATCCTTGATTCTCGAAAATAGAAAAGAGAATAGACTCGACGAATATTCTCATAAATTGAATATAATTTATCTTCTTTGTGTAGAAAGCAAAAAAAAAAAAAAAAAAAGTTTTGTAAATTATTTCAACGATGATAAAATGGAATTTTGTATGTAATATGAAAAGTGTATTTACAATTATTGTATAAATTTTTGTTCGCCCACACTGCATTTCGTTTTACCGCACTATGTAATTAATTCGTAATAATTTATTAAATTTCACTTCTATATTTTAATCTATTTTCAAATTTTCTAATTTAAAAGAGTCGAAAAATTGAAAAAAATTAAAAATAATTTTAAATTTGGAATCGTAATTTTATTATTCTAAATAATTATTTAGAATTAACTAAATAAAAAATGAAAATGAAATAAAAATCAAAATTTGTTAATAAAAAATTTCCCGGCTCTTGAGGATTGGAAATATTTGTAACTAAAAAACGCTTCAGTATTAAAATATGTGCTTTTTTAAATATTTACTCTATTGGTAAAAAAATGGAATATTAAAAATTAGTTAGAAATTTTTGTGTTTACCATGGTCATATCTCTAAATGTTGCACTTTATGTATACATCTTCATAATATCATTTATTCATTTTTTCACTTTATTATGTAAGACGAAAGTGATTTATATGTTTCATATAAATATAAATACATGTATCTTCACAAGGTACCATTCATCCATCATCTATGTTATAATGTAGAAGTAGATATTGTAATATTATTATATGTATTTTCACTATGGCGTACACATGTACACGACCGTCCACAATACGACTGTACAACGCATTCCTCATTATTATATGTGTCCATTTCCAATTATATGTTAATTAACAATGTCCAAAAAAAAGAGAAAAAAAACATTTTTTATTGGCCACGATCTCTCAAGTTTCTGTATTTTCATTTTTTAATTTTAATTCATGTTTTAGAAAAGTTAATGGTACGCTGAAAAAAAATTTGATTGATTCAAATAAATAATTACTTGTCTATTGTCAAATAAATATTGAGACAAATACTGTAATTGTTAAATAATTTGTAGCAAATAATTTTTATTAAAGTCAATGAAATGGTACACCCAGAAAAAAGATACATTTGACTCAGAACAAACTGAATTTTTTATTCGTAATTTTATTCGGTTCAATTAAATTTTCTTTGATTCAAATAAAATTTTATTTGGTTCAAATGAAATTTTATTTAGTTTAAATAAAATTTTTATTCAGAATAAATAATTTAGTAGCCTCTGAGACAAATATACTTTTATTTAGTTCAAATAAATGTTATTTGGTTGAAATAAAATTTTTCTCTGTGTATTTGCTTCAAATACAGAAATTATTGATTCAAATAAAACTTATTCGAGTAAAAAAAATTTATTTGAGACAAAAAAATTCATTTGAGTCAAAAAAATTTATTTGATACGAATAAAAATTTATTTGGTAATAAACAGACGGTTATTTGAATCATTTAATTTTTTTCAGTCTGTAAAAATTTATGAACTTTATAAACTACATTGAAAATTTATAAACTTCATAAAGTAAATGTAAATTTATGATTATATGTAAATGTAAATTTATAATTATACGTAAATGTAAATTTATAATTATATGAAAATGAAATTTTATAAACTTTATAAAGAAAATTATAAATTACGAGAATAATTAAAATGAAAAATGAAAAATTGATCCTTGATATTGTTCGTGGTTTCAATAGTTTCAAAAAAAAAAAAAAAAAAAAAATACTGATCTCCCCTGTTGTGGTAACGGAAGCACCTTGATAATATTTGTAACTAACGTTATCAGCTACATCATAGTGGTTAACAAAAAGTAACTGACAAAATTTATTAAAAATAATTAACAAAATGGCAACCCTAACCCGGGAGAGTGATTAACCCGATCGATGAGACGATCAATAAAAAAAATGTCCTTGAGACAAAACTAATTATATTGTATTATATCTATTTAAAAAAAAACTCTATTTACAATGACTTTTGCGATATCGACAATTTCTCTCGTCTACTGTACAATAAATTTTCCGATCTCTAATAATTTAATCTTATGCCTATTTTATTCTCTAAGCTTTTTTTCTTACTCTGTACTTAATTTTTCTTATTAATTTTAATAATTAATGCGACTATTGTTAGTTAATTATTTAATTTATTGTTTAATTAATTAGTCGATTAATTACTTAATCAATTAATTAGTTAGTTGATTATTCAATTGATTAGTTAATTAATTATTTAATTAAATAGTTCAATAGTTACTTAATTGAATAGTTCAATAGTTAATTTGTTAGTCAATCGATTAATTGATTAGATAATTAATTAATTAATTGATTAGTCAATTGATTAATTGATTAGCTAATGGATTAGTTAATTGGCTAGTTAATCGATAAATTAAACTAATTAGTGAACCGATTGGTTAATTAGCTAGTTAATCGATAAATTAACTAATTAGTTATCGGATTAGCTAATTGGCTAGTTAATCGATAAATTAACTAATTAGTTAATTTGATAGTTAATCGATTAATTGATTCGTGAATTAATTAGTCAAATTAGCGAATTGATTAGTCAATTAAATAATTGGCTAATTTTGTAAAAAAAACATTTTTTGTTAAAAAAATTCAGGTAAGTCTTGATTTTCTTTGTCAGGTCGCAAAAGTCATTTGTTTTCTTGCTTAAGGCTTCTTGTAGAGAAGCTTTTCTTTTATTTGGAAAAAAGGGGAAAATATTTGACTAATTATTCATTTTCGTGATTAAAATAGCGACGTCGTCCCAGTGCGGACGTTAGAAGACCAAGCGTGGCGGACCTTGAGAGTAAAATCAACAAGCCAAGCACACCCCTTCGAGATGTTGGAAAACCAGGACCACCTCAAATTGTCGACTATCAAGAGTCTTATGCTGCCACCGAAGGTATTTTTTTACACTTTTTTAATTTTTTTTCTCTAATAAAATACCCTTTTTTAAATATAAAAAATATTCTTGTTAATAAATTACATAAAATGCTTTTCTTAGAAAATACTTTTTTTTTTAAGAAGAAAATAATAAAATGAGTTGAATTAATTTTTTAAGATCAAACGGCAGTCCTCACAGTCGAAGTTGAAGGATCACCGGCACCAACATTCAAATTCTACAAAGGAATCACTGAAATTGTCGAAGGAGGTCGATTTAAATTCTTCACCGAAACTGAAACCAATACCATTTCTCTTTGCATTAAAAAAGCAAAGCCCAACGATGAAGGCACTTACAAAATTGTTATCAGCAACATCCACGGAGAGGATTCGGCAGATTTACAACTTTACGTCTCCGGTATGAACTCATTTTTTTTAATAGGGATCAGAGAAAAAGTTAAAATTCCCTCTTTAAAAAAATTAATAAAAATTAAATTTATTTACCTATTTCTTTCAATTTTTCGTTAAAAAATAAATTTCTTTTTATTTTTTGTTAAAAAATCAATTTATTTTCATGTTTTGTTAAAAAAAATCAATTACTATTGTTAAAAAACTATTGTCATTTCCAGACTCCAGTGGAATGGACTTCCGAACAATGCTCAAAAAGAGAAAATACCAAAAGTGGGGAATACAAGATCCAGATAAGGAGCAAGTTGACCTCAAGGAAGTCGAGAAACCATTGCCTGCTCTCAAGAAAGTTGAGAGGGTGAGTTTCAATTTTCATCTGAAGTATCTGAATATTAATTTTCTCCCTTCAACAGTGAAATTCCAATGTAGTTTTTGAATATTTGCTTTTAAATCAGGTAGGAAGTTAAAGTAAGTGAAAAATAGTTTGAAGAGAAAATAGATAAATATTCTGCAGAAAAAGATTTTAGAGAAATTTTTTCCGAGTGATAATTGCGTCCCTGTTATCGTTGTTTTTGAAGTCTTCGATTTTTCCAGTGGATTTTTATAGTGTTTATTTATTTTTCAAATTTTCGTGTAGCACGAAATTTTATGCATTTGAATTTTTTTTGAAGACTCCTTTACTAACTCATTTAAAAAAAATTCTTTTTTTCAGATAATAGGACTTTATGTAAGAGAAAGTCAATGCAAATTTTATTTTTTCTGTAATTAATGTTATTCAATGGTTGAATAATTGTAATGACAATCATTTTAATGACAGTTATTGTTATATACGATTAATAACAATTAATAACGATTATTGAAATAACAATTATTGTCATACCAATTAATAACAATGATTGTTATACAAATTAATAACAATAATTGAAATAACAATAATTGTAATAACAACTATTGTAATAAAAATTATTACAGGTTGCATAAATTTACAGGTACAAAATATTATTGTAGGTGATAGAAAAATATTTAGGTCTCAGAGAATAATTAATTTTAAGGAATTAAGTTACAAGCATGCGTTAGAATTTAATTTTTTTATCAAGTGTACACATGTTGCAAGTATTTTGTATTTTCGTGTTATTTTTTTGTGCATTTCTTTTTCTGACAATGTTTTGTTAGTTTTTCTCGAATTCATGTCTATGTGTTACAATTTTTTGTCCCCTGTCCATTTTTTATTTCAATTGAGTGTCAAATGTCTTATAAATAAAACAAAAAAAAACAGGAAAGAAGAAATGAGATAAAGCACAAAGACCACCTTGCTTGTAGGTATTCTACAAAAAAAATTTAAGGACCAAGCGAGAATTTATATTTACCTCTATTAAAAGTTTCAAATATTTCTTACTCCCATTCTTCGAAAACTTATTTTTATATTTTTATTTTTTAATTAATATAAATGAATAATTTTAAGTTAATTTTTGTATAATTTTTTTATATTTGTAAATAAGTTCCAAATTCAAAACTTCCGTTTTGAATATTTTTTTTTTATTTTAATTAATTTGTTTTAAATTAAAACTTTGAGAATTAAAATACAAATTTTTTATGTTAAATACATTTAAACTTAATTTTTAATGTAATATTAATGCAGGTACGAAATATTAATTAGAGTTTAGAAGAAAAAACTGATTTGACCAGAAAATGTTACGAAAATATTGCAAGAAAATTTTAAAGTATAGAAAAAAATGAAAATGATTTTTTTTTATTCGAGTATGAATGGGTTTATTCTTTCTAGAATAGTGGATATCGTAGGCTATCATTGGCCGAAATAATTCCCGACTGGCCCGTTCTGCACCACTTCATCAAGACGGAGGTTGGACACAACGGTCAAATTTATCTGAGAATGTGATAATTATCTAATTAATTGCATTTTATGCATTTTATGCATCTCTCAACTTATCGAAGTTTATCATTCAATTAAAGAATTAATTAATTCATATATTATTATTTCGTCTTCATAAATTTCAGCTCATGCCCTCGTTTAGAAAATAACTCTTATTCAAGTTTCACAACATTTTCAAGGACCACCACCACATATCATTTGAATGAAAAACAAATTCTTTTGGTAATCTTCAGTTTTTCATTTCATTATCTAATATTTTCTGTTTAAATTGTCATATATCACACGTTAATAATTTCAATAATCAGTAAACATTAATTTCAATAATCTTCATTCCCATGTGATGATGATAATAATATTTCATAAAATAGAGATCCTGGTTTTTTTCGAAAAAAAATCTCACCCTGGGATCTCAGCAAAAAAAAATGGATGTATTGCATCAGCAAATTAATTTGGCTGATTGGCTGTTGAATGAAATTTCTTTCTCTATCATCTATTATCGATGCTCGTTTATAATCTTCTTTCTGAAAATTTCCGAAAATAATCTGCTGTTACTCTTCGATCTACAGATTGCTTTATGTGCCTTTGTACATAAGAAAATTTACTATAGTTATTTTTATACTTATAAATAAATATTTATATTTACCTATTTTTTCATTGTATAAAATTTTTTTTCTATTTATGTCTAGTTTTTTTTTCTTTATAGAATTTTATTTTATTTACCTTTTATCATCGTTTATTTTTTTTTCGCCTTTTATCGAATTTTATTTTTTTTATTACAATTTGAAAAGTTTATTTTTTATTTTACTTTTAATGTTGTCTACTATAATCGTTTTTTTTCTCTCAGGAGAAATAAAAAAATCACTTCTTTTAAGGTAAAAAGAGGTTTCTTATTCACTTTAAAAGCGACCACTTTTATTATTCTGAAGAATCGAAAAAAAATTTCATTTTATTGATTTTTTTTTATTAAAATTATTTAGGAGACGTTTTTCAATTTCTAATAGTAAATTTTTATTTATTGCAAATCTAGAAACAAGATTCCTTCTTGAAACCACTTGTGGACAGACATGCGAAGGAAGGAAAAGACAAAAAGGTCGTTTTCGAGGCCAATTTCTCAAAACCAAATTGCAAACCCAAATGGTTCTTCCGTAAAGATGTGAGTATTTTAGAGAGTATTATCGATTATGAATTAAAATACAAGAAAATAATTAGGTGTTGATTTCTTAACTAATCGACCGAATTTTTCCTACAGGAATTATTCCCTTCATCAAGATATAAATTCAAGAACGAGGAAGATCTCTATCAACTTATCATCTCGGGTCCTAAAGTCGACGATACTGGAAAATACACAATCGAAATTGGCGGAATTTCCTCGACTGCTTTCCTTACAGTTGATGGTAAAATGAATTTTAAATTTTAAATTTTTTATTTTTAATTTAACAATTTTTAAAATTGACATTAAAAAACAGTTTTTAAATTAACTTTTGTTTATTTTTCTTATTTATTAGTTATTAATTATTATTTATTTTATTTATTTCTTATTTGTTTTTTAGTTTAATTTATTTTTCTGAATTATTAAATTAAATTTCAATTAAATTAAATTAAATTGATTTGAGTTAAATTGAACTAGATTGAATTAAATTGAATTTTAATTCAATTAAACTAATTTTAAATATTTAAAAGTAAATTCTGAAATCAATAAAGCAAATTACATAAAATCGAACTTAAGTTCTTTAATTATTGTCAAATTAATAAAAACAAATTCTTATTGTTTAGAACCTGATCCTACTTACAATTTCGTGAAACCATTGGCGAAGAAGACGAGTGGATTCACAAAGCACGAGGCTTATATTGAATGTACTGTCAATTCTAATATGGCCAAAGTTGAGTGGTTCAAAGGAGAAAAGAAATTGGAGGTAAACAAAATTTTTAATAATTTCAACAAAAAAAAATACAATTTTAATTGATTTCTTCGAAAATTTCAATTATTTTTAAAAATCTTGTAAAAATTCTCCGAGAAAATTTAATTATTTTTAAAGATAATTTAATTTTTTACAGGAGTTCAATTTTAAAAAAAAACTTGTAATAAAATCCAATTCAAAAATTCAATTATTTTTAAAAATAATTAAATGTTTGCTGGAATTGAATTATTTTAAATACAATTTTAATTGAATTCTAGGGAAAATTCAATTATTTTTAAACATTTTTTTAAAATTCTTTGAAAAAATTCAATAATATCAATGAATAGTAAATTTTTCATAGGAATTCAATTATTTTTAATACAATTTTGATGAAATTCTTCTCAAAAATTCAATTATTTGTAGAAATAATAAATTTTTTTCACTGGGATTCAATTATTTAAAAAAGTTTTAATAAAATTCTATAATTCTATAATTCATTTTAAGAATTTTATCAACATTTTTTTAATAATTTAATTCTTTCGAGAAAATGTAATTAAAATTGTATTAAAAATAATTAAATTCTTGAAAAGATATTTATTAAAATTCTTTAAAATAATTGAAGTGTTTTGACAAATTTATTGCAATTTTCTTGAAAATAAATGAATTTTTTAAAAATAATTTTTACTGAAATTTTTGAAAATAATTGAATGTAAATAATATTTTTTTTAAATAATTGTATTCTTTCGAGAAATTTTAAAAAAATTGTATTGAAAATAATTCATTTTTTTCTGAAACGTTTTATTATTTATGAAAATATTTAAATTCTTGCGAAGAATTTTTCTGTTTATGCGAAAATACTTGAATTCTTGCTGAGATTTTTACAATTCATAAAAATAATTGAATTTTTTGAAGGAATTTTATTAAAAATTCTGAAAATAATGATGTTTTTTAATGAATTTCATCAAAATTGTTAAAAATAATTGAATTTATATTAAAATTCTTGAAAATAGGCAAATTTAATTAATATTTTAAGAAATAATTGTATTTTTTCGTGAATATTAAAATTGTATTGAAAACAATTGAATTGCTCTAAAGATTTTTATTATTTTTGAGAATAATGAAATTCTTGCGACAAATTATATATTAAAATTCTTGAATGAGTGAATTCTTTAAATTTTGAATCTGTAGGTAATCATTCAAAAATTGATGTTTATTTTTGAAAATATAAAATTTTCTATTTACAAAATAATACAAAAAATGGAATATACCGCGTTCCGCGCGTATCATTTGCTAGTTATTAATAATGTAATAAAAGTATTTTATTATTATAATAATAAAGGTATTAATTAAAAAATGGAATAATTAATTTAAAAATCTCATTTTAATGTTTAAAGGATGGAGATATTTACAGCATATCGAAAGATATGTCAGGTGTCTGTAGATTGGCAATTAAAAATGCAACTCTAGAAGATAGTGGCGACTATTCCTGTAGAATTTGCAAGCAAACAGATAGAACAGATACAGTTCTAACCATTGTTGGTGAGTTTAAAAATTTTATTCTTGACAAATTTTATTATATTTTGTTAAAAAAAATTATTTTTTGTTTGTATTCAAATTTACAACTAAAAAATATTTTTTGAACTGAATTTTGAGATGAATATTAATAAAATCTGATGAATTTGATGAAATAAATAATTATTTTTTGTACTTTAGAATATCCGTACAAATTCGTGAAGGTCTTGAAACATCAAACGGCAACTGAAAAAGAAACCATAACTCTTCTTTGTGAGCTCGACGATGCTGCGGGTGAAGTGAAATGGTTCAAAGGTGATCAAGAAATTCAGTCCGACAAGAGGGTGCAAGTAAAAGAGGAAGGAAGAAAACGAAAATTGATCATCAAAGACGCAAAAGTCACCGACGCTGGAATGTATTCTTGCGTGAGCAATGCCGACAAAACTGAAGCTGAACTCATTGTTAATTGTAAGTAAATAAGAAAAATCTATAATTTATTATTTATGAAAATAATTGAATTCTTTCGAGAAATTGAATTTTAAAAAAATTGAATTCCTGAAAAGAATTTTAATATTTATGAAAAAAGAGTAAACAAAAATGAGTAAATAAATAAAAGGAAACAAATAAAAATATTAAAGTTTGAAATAAAAAAATTATTATTTGAATTTCAGTAAGGATTTTAATTAAAAAAATTTAATTTTTAAATTCTAGACTTGAATCGCTTCAATAAGAAGCTAAAGGACACGACGGCGATCGAGAGGGAAAAACTTGTTCTCGACGTGGAACTTCAGGATCAGACGGCACCAGCCGATTGGTTCTTCAATGGAAAGAAAATTGAGCCCAGCGAACGTGTTGAAATTAAAAATTTGGGCGGTGGAAAACATCAACTCGTCTTCAATAAATTGGAAATGGGAGACGATGGTGAAATTACCTGCGAAAGCGGGGAACTCAAGAGCAGTTGTATACTCACTGTGAAGAAGGGCGAGAGTAAACCAATTCCTGAAATTCCCGACAAAGTCGAAGGTCCTTGCAGTGCGCCCATCTTCTTCACTGTGCCATACAAAAGTACGAATTGTTCTATTTTTTCCAATTAACTTTTTTTTATTACAAAATTAGTAGACAGATACGAACGATTTTCTTTTATTTATTCCTCTTTTTCTGATGAATAGTCGAGGGCACGAAACAAACTCCGGTGGAGGCGAAACTGATGAAAGACGGCAAAGCCCTGCCACTTAAGGACGTCGAAATTGTTGTTGGAGAAGACAAGATCACTTTCAAGATCAAGAAACCTCAGCATGATCAAACTGGCATTTATCAAGTAAAAGTCAGCAATGGACAAGGAGAAGAAGTTAAAGACGTTTTCGTCAATATGCAAGGTACGAAATAGTGATTTTATTCCTTAGAGAGAAAAAAATTAAACTATTTATTACACTTTAAAAGAAATGTTTAATATTTCTTTGTCAGCATTTAAAAAAATTGTTTTTATTTTTTTTAACTTGTTTTAATCTTTTAATTTTGAAAAATTGTTCTAATCTATATTAATAATCGTTGTTAGTTTTTGTTTACTTCCTTGTTTCTAAACTTTTTAAATAATTTTTCTTTGCAAATATTTTCAATTTTAAAACTTATGTACTGAATAACATTGAATTCTTGTAAAGTATTTATAAAAAAATTTTGAAATTAATTGAATTCATTTGAAGGATTTCATCAGAATTATTTTGAATCATTGAATTCTATCAATATTTTTCATTAAAATTGTGGTGAAAATAATTTACTTCTAGTAAAGAATATTATTTATAAAAAGAATCGAATGCTACCAAAGAATGTTATTGAAATTGTTTAAATATAATCGAATTCTTCCAAAGAATGTTATTAAAATTATTAAATACTAAAAATAATTTAATGTTTTGGAAGAATTTTATTAAGAATTTTGAAAATAATAAGATTCAATCGAAAAAGTTTATTAAAATGTTTAAAAATAATTAGTTTTTCTTAAGACTTTTATCAAAACTTGATAATAATTGAATTTAATTAATATTTAAAACATAATTGTATTCTTTTCAGAAATTTTATTAAAATTGTATTCAAAATAATTGAATTCCTTTAAAGAAATTTTTTAATTATACAAATAATTGAATTCTTTGAAAGAATTTAATCAGAATTTTTGAAAAAAATTGTTTGATTTAAAAGAATTTTATCAACAATATTGAAAATAATCCAATTCAACTAATATTTTTAAAAATAATTGTATTCTGTCGTGAAATTTTATTAAAATTATATTAAAAATAATTAAATTCAACCATGGAATTTTATTATTTATAAAAATAATTGAATTCGTCTGCAGAATTTTATTGTTTAAGTAAATAATTGAATTTCTCCAGAAAATTTTATCATAATTGTTGAAAATAATCGAATGTAATAAATATTTTTAAAAATAATTGTATTCTTTGGAGAAATTTTATAGAAATTGTATTAAAAAATCGAATTCCTCTGAAGAATGCTATTAATTTTGAAAAAAATAAAATTCTTTCGAGGAATTTAATTAAAAATGTATTGAAAAGTATTGAATTCTTATAAGCAATTTCATTGAAATTTTTAAAAATAATTGAATTCTTTGAATAAATTTTATTAAAAATTGTATTATAAGTAATTGAATTTCTCTGAAGAATTTTATTACTTATAAAAATGATGAATTGTTTCGAAAAAAATTCAAATTCTTTTGAGGAATAATTGAATTCTTTTAAGGAATTTTATTAAAATTTTTTTAAAAATGATTGAATTCTTTTGAAGAATTTTTTTATTAATAATGAAAATAATTGAATTTTTTCAAAAAATGTTTTTTCAAAATTGTTGAAAATAATCGAATTTATTAATAAATATTTTTAAAAATAATTGTATTCTTTCGAAACATTTTATTAAAATTGTTATTAAAATAATTGATTTCTTCCGAAGAATGTTATTATTTTTGAGAATAAATGAATTCTTAAGAAAAATGTTATTACAATTTTTGAAAACAATAATATAATTAAGAATATTTAATAATGTACTTAATAAGTGAATTTTTTTAATCTTGAATCTGAAATTACTTAAAAATTTATGTTTATATTTGAAAATAAAAAAATTGTTTAATTTACAAAATAGTAATAAATGGAATAAAGCGTTTAGCGCGCTGATGCTTGTAGCATTTACTAGTTTTTAATAATTGTTCTAATTTTAAAAATTTTCATATTAATATTCTATTTTCTTTGCAGAGGTTCCATCTCCACCGCTCGATGTCGATGTCAATGAAGTATTCCAGAGTTCCTGTGTCGTTTCCTTCAAGCCAAGCAAGGACGACGGTGGTTCACCAATAACGAAATACGTCATCGAACGCCTCGACATGAGTCTCAAATCACAATGGGACAGTGTGGGTGAGGTAGCGCCTGGTGAAAAATGCGTTTACAAAGTCGAAGATCTGGTGGCAAAGAAGGAATACAAATTTAGAATCCGAGCTGTAAATAAAATCGGTTCCAGTGAACCTGCCCTCTTTGCCAAACCCGTTTTAGCCAAAGATCCATGGGGTTCGTATTTATTTTCTCTTTAAATTTAAATAATAAAAATTCTAAACTATTAAATCCATTTTTGCCTGTTATAACTTTTCGGATTAAGAAGAAAATATTTTTCTATTTATTCTTAATTTTAGTATTATTATTTCCTCTTTATTATTATTTATTTTTTATTATTTACTCTTTATTTTTCATTATAAAACATGAAGATGATCGAGAAAAAAGCAAAATACTAATTCAAAATTAATTTACAGACGAACCCGGTAAGCCGACGAACGTTGAGGTCGTCGACTGGGACAAGGATCACGCGGATCTCACCTGGATGAAACCAGAGAACGATGGAGGTGCACCAATAACGGGCTACATTATTGAATACAAGGAGAAGTTTGGAAAAGAATGGGTGAAGGGCAAAGAAATTGATGGCGATGTCACCAAGGCAACAATCGATGGACTCAAAGAGGGAACACAATACGAATTTCGAATTCGAGCTGTTAATAAAGGCGGTCCTGGTGAACCGTCCGATGCAACGAAGCCAATAATTGCCAAAAGCCGTTTCGTCAAGCCCTACATTGTCGGCGATGGTCTCACGAATCTCGTCGTTAAAAAGGGCCAAGTCATCAAGTACGACATTAAATATGCCGGTGAACCAGAACCCGAGGTCCATTGGTTCCTGGGCGAGAAGGAACTCGTTCAAGATTCAGCCGAGAGAATTACAATCGACAAGTACGAATTGAACACTGTTCTCACAATTCGAAAGACAACGCGACCCGATTCTGGAAAATACAAATTGGTATTGACCAACAGTTCAGGCACTTGCGAGAGTAAAGCCGATGTCGTTGTTCTAGGTAATTTTTATATTAAACTTTATCGTATATTGTACATTTTTTTCTTTCTATTAAAAAAATCCACAGGGTTAAAAAAATAAAAATGAAAAATATTTACAGTGGAAAAAATAGTTTGAAAATGAATTTGATATTTAGAATCGAAAAAATTGTTGCAGATAAACCGTCAATGCCATTGGGACCATTGTTGGCCGAAGAAGTGCGCTCCGATCACGTGACAGTGAAATGGAAGAAACCGGAAGACGATGGCGGAACCGACATCACGGGATACGTGCTTGAAAAAATGGATATGGAAACTGGACGCTGGATACCAGCTGGTGAAGTTGGACCCAATGAGGATACGTTCACCTTCCAGGGTTTGACTCCAAAGAAAAATTACAAATTCCGCGTAAAGGCTGTGAACAAGGAGGGTGAATCTGAACCACTCGAGACGGAGGAAGCCATCAACGCGAAAAATCCCTACGGTAGGCAAAATATTCTCTATTTAAACACGCAACTTAATATTTTAGTTTATATTTTTTTAAAATACTTTTTATACTTTTTATACTCTTTATTCTCTTTATTCTTTCAGACACAAAAATTAGATTTTTTTTTCTGATTTCCAGACAGAATTTTGACTGTTCCCCTGACCCTAAAGAAAAAATATTCATTTAGTTTTTTAAAATAAATATTTAATTTTTATTCTTATTTTTCCATAAAAGTTAAGACTTTAAAACTTTTCAAATCTTTTGAAATTGAATAATTTTTATAAGAATCATAGTAACTTATCTAAAATTATTTTCAACATTTTAATTTTAAATTTGAAATTAAATTTTATATTAATTATTAATGTATTGAAAATCATTGAATTTCTTCGAAGGATTTTATTAAAATTTTTCATAATCCTAATTAAATTCGTTTGAAAAATTTCTTTGAATTTTGTTAAAATAATGCAGTTTCTTTAATAATTTTAATTGAAGAATTTAAATGTAATTTAATTTTATGAACAATTTCTTCCAATGTTGTAAAATAATCGTGTTTCTTAATAATTGAAATAAAACATTTAATTACTGAATTAAATTAAAAATTATTGATAAAAAATTAAACAATTTTATTAGTTTTTATAAATAATTAAATTCTTTTGAAAAATTTGTTTGTGTTTTTTTTTAAATAATGTAATTTTTTGATTAATTTTAATTGGACATTTTGAAAATAATTTAATTAGACAAAGAATTTTTCTTAATTGTTGCGGTGAATTTTACTAGTACTTATAAAAAAATTGAATTGTTTCTAAGGATTTATTAAATTTTTAGAAAATAATTGAATTTTTTAAAAAATTTTATAACAAATTAAGAAAAAAATTGAATTTTTTCGTGAAATCTTATACAAAATAATTAAATTGTTTCATTGGATTTATTAAAATTTTAGATAATAATTGAATTCTTTCGTGAAATTGTATCAAAATTTTGTAGAAAATAATTGAATTCTTCTGTAGAATGTTATAATTTATGAAAATAATTGAATTCTTGCAAAGAATTAAATTAATAAAAAATAAATAAAATAAATAAAAAAAATTATTTTAAAGTAAAAGTCGTAATTTAATAAATTTTTTAAATTAATCTAAAATTTTAAGCCACACAAGAGATTTTGAAAGTAATTGAATTCTTTCGAGAGGAATTCACTTACAATTAGATTGAAAATTTAAAAAATAATTAAATACTTTCCAGGAATTGAAATAAAATTACACTGAAAATAATTGAATTCTTATAAAGAATTTTATGAACTTTTTTCAAAATAATTAAATTCTTCCGAAGAATTTTATTATTTATCAAAAAATTAAATTTCTACGCAGAATTTTTTGAATATTTCATTGAAAATAATTGAATTTATCTGAAGAATTTCTTTATTTATAAAAATAATTCTGTGAATTAATTTCTATTAATTAAAAATACGATTTTTTTAAAATTTATTTTCTAAGGAAAACTGAATTTTATTGCCTTCTTTTATATGTAGAATTAAAAAACTAAATTTTAGAAAGTTCATATTACTTTTATTTTTATTAGTTTAAATCTTTATTAATTCAATTTTAATTAAATTTAATTCTTTTATTGAATTTTATTAAAATTTTTGAAATAATTGAATTGCTTTGAAGAATTCTATTAAAATTGTATTCAAATTATTTGAATTCAGCTGAATAATTAAAATTCGTTAGATTAATAGTTTTTAAAATAATTGTATTGAGAAATTTTATTAAAATTATATTGAAAATAATGGAATTTCTGTGAAGAATTTATTAAAAAAATTTTAAATAATTAAATTGTTTTAAAGAAGTTCATTAAAGTTTTTGAAAATTATATATAATAATAATACCTAATTATTGTTAAAAATGGGTAGAATTTCAAGTTAAATTATATTTTTTCAATATATTTATAAAAGTTACTGGACAGCAAAATTCAGAATTATTCTACGAATTCTAGAAATTGAATAGTTTTCCAGTACTTTTGATATAATTTCCCTGATTTCTCTGATCAATTTTATTTTTCCTGATCTTTCTCTGAATTCTCTGATTCTCCTGTCTTTATATTCTTTTTAGTTTATAGAACGAAATTAATTATTTTCGTAAAGTCATAGTTTTTTTTTAATTTCTAGACGAGCCTGGCAAGCCAAGCAAACCCGAAATCTTCGATTATGACAACGAGAGTGTGTCTTTGAGATGGAAAAAGCCGGACAGTGACGGTGGCCGACCAATTACTCACTACACTGTTGAAATGAAGGACAAATTTTCGCCCGATTGGGTCGAAGTTGCAAAAACAAAAGACGACAATCCGGAAATTAAAGTCGATGGACTTAAGGAAAAAATGGTCTATCAATTTAGAGTACGAGCTCACAATAAGGCTGGATCTTCTCAGCCTAGCGAGCCAACTGACAATCATGTTTGCAAACACAAAAATTGTAAGTACATTTTTCTGTCTAAACAAGAAAAACAATAAGCAAAGATTTTTTAAAGTAAAATCTAATTTCTAAAGAACAGAAACATTTTTTTCTTACTAAAAAAGAAAAACAAAGATTTTTGTAAGTTAAATCTAATTTCAATAATTTAATTATAATAATTTAAACTTAATTTTTACAGTGAAACCAAGAATTGACAGAACAAACTTAAAATCCATCATTATCAAAGCCGGACGTACTCACAAATGGTCAGTGGATGTTATCGGTGAACCTCCACCAGAATGCAAATGGATTTGGAGGGATAACATCCCCCTGACAAACACCGAACGGATAAAAATTGAGAATGTCGAATATCATACCGATTTTACTGTTATCAACGCTGTGAGAAAGGATACTGGAAAATATACTTTGGTCGCTGAGAATGTTAATGGAAAGGACGAAGAAACAGTTGAACTCACAGTTCTCAGTGAGTTACTCCAATTATTTGTTTTTTATTAAGTTTTAAAGTTATATTCTTATTTTTAATTACGATTGTACTCATTGTTTAAATTAATTCGCAGGTAAACCGGATCCACCGAAAGGACCACTCGTTGTGTCTGACGTCACGAAAACAACAGCTAAGGTCAAATGGGAAAAGCCCGAGGATGACGGCGGAAGTCCCATCAAGGAATACGAAATCGAAAAAATGGACACAAGAACCGGCAAGTGGGTGCGTTGCGGTAAAATTCCCGGCAATTCGCCCCTCACTGAATTCGAAATCACTGGACTTAATCCAGGAAGTGAATATAAATTCCGTGTCACTGCTGTCAACGATGAGGGAGATTCGGAGCCTCTTGAGAGCGAGCGGGGTGTGATTGCAAAGAATCCATTCGGTACGAAGCACTTGAATTTAATTTTATTTTCAGTTTTTAATTTTTATCCTGTACAAATCCTTGTATTCGATTTTATTTTCAATTTTCATTCTTTACGAATCACTCGCATTCAATTTTATTTTCAATTTTCCTTTTTAACGAATCACTCAAATTCAATTTAATTTTTTTCTTCCATTTTTAAAATTATTAAATTAATAAACTTATGATTTTAAGAAAATTAAATGCAAAATTCAAAGAAGAGAAACTTTTTGAGAAAAAAAATAAAAATCACACAAGAGGATAAAAATATTTTAAAATTTCAATTTTTAACGAATTACCTAATTTCAATTTAATTTTAATTTTTGAAATTACTGAATTAGTGAAAATATAATTTTTGAAAAATTAAATGCAAAATTTAAAGAAGGAGAACTTTTTTGAGAAAAAAATATAAACTAGACGAGAGGATAAAAATATTTTAAAAATTGAGAAGATAAATAGGACAAGTTGTTAACGATTTATTTATTTATTTTAGATGAGCCATTGAAACCGGGAACTCCTGATATTGTTGATTATGATAACGAATCAGTGACCATCAAGTGGGCCGCTCCAGACTTCGATGGTGGTGCTCCGATTGAGAAGTACATCATCGAGAAGAAAGATCGTTACAAGCCGGACTGGGAGAAAGCCATTGAAGTTTCTGGCAGTGAACTTACAGCTAAGGTTCCCGATTTGAAGGAAAAGGGCGAATATCAATTTAGGGTCATTGCTGTTAACAAAGCTGGACTATCGCCACCTTCAGATGCCTCAAAGATGCAGATCTGTAAATTCAAAGCACGTGAGTAATTCAAATTTTAAGTCTTATTATTTATTCAGTTATAATTTATTAAATTATTATTTATTCTATTATTGCTTATTAAATTATTAATTATTCAATTAATATTTATTAAATTATTATTTATTCAATTATTATTTTTTCCATTATTGTTTATCTTTTAAATTAATAATCGTTGTATTCCAGTAATCTGTTCGTAGTTTGAAGTTAGTTATTGTTTGCTTTTTTGTTTCCTAACTTTTTGAATAATTTTTCTTTTTAAATGTTTAAAATTTAAAAATCATTTAATTCTTGGCAAGATTTTTATTAAAATTCTTTAAAATAATTCAATTGTTTTTAAGAATTTATTTTAAAATTCTTGAAAATAGTGGAGTTTTTTTTAACAATTTATACTGAAAATTTTGAAAGTAATTGAATTTTATCAAGAATTCAATTATTTTCAATAATTGTAATAAAATTCATTGCAAAAAGTCAATTTATAAATAATAATAATCTTCGTGAAAAATTCAATTATTTTTATATAAATAATAAAATTATTATCAGACTTTCACTTATTTTCAATACAATTTTAATTGATTTTTTCGAAAATTTCAATTATTTCTAAAAATCTTGTAAAAATTCTCCTAGAAAATTCAATTATCATAAAAAATGATTGAATTTTTCATAGGATTTCAATTATTAAAAAAACTTTTAATAAAATTTAATTCAAGAATTTAATTATTTTCATGAATAAAGAAATTTTCGCTGGAATTCAATTATTTTAAATAAAATTTTAATTGAATTCCAGGGAAAATTAAATTATCTTTAAATTTTTTTCAAATTATTCGAAATAATTCAATAATATCAATAAATACTACATTTTTCACAGGAATTCAATTTTTTTAAATACAATTTTAATAAAATTCTTCTGAAAAATTCAATTATTTTTAAAAATTTTACAATAATTTAATTATTTGTAGAAATAATAAATTTTTTCGCAGGGATTCAATTATTTGAAAATGTTTTAATAAAACTCTATTCAAGAATTCAATTATTTTCAAAAATAATTAAATTGTCGATTTACTAAAAATCATTGAATTCTTGTGAAGAAGTATAAAAAAAATTTGAAAATTAAATTTAAATATTAAATTATGTTAAAATTATTCATAGAAAATTAAATTCTTTTAAACAATTTTATTAGAGTTTTTGTAAATAATTACATTTTTTTTTGACAAATTTAATTAAATTTTGCAAAAATAATAAATTTTTTTAAAGTAAAATTTAATTTAAAATTTTGAAAATAATTTAATTCTTGCGGAGGATTTTACAATTTATAATTACATTTTTTGAAGGAATTTTATTAAAAATTTTGAAATTAAAGTTTTTTTTAAAAGAATTTCATCAAAATTGTTGAAAATAATTGAATTTATATTAAAATTCTTGAAAATAATCGAATTTAATTAATATTTTTGAAAATAATTGTATTCTTTCGAGAAATTTTATTAAAATTGAATTGAAAATAATTGAATTGCTTTGAAAAATTTTATTATTTATGAGAATAATTATATTCTTGCGAATATATTTTTTTGAATAATAAACAAGAATATTTAATATTATGTATTTAATAAGTGAATTCTTTAAATTTGTAAATTTTTTAAATTTAAATTTTTCTTTCTTTCCAGTAAAACCAAGAATCGATCGAACAAACTTGAAAACAACTATTGTCCGAGCCGGAAAGCCTATCAAATTCGATGTTGACATTCGAGGTGAACCACCACCGGAAGTCACTTGGTACCAAGTGGGACAAGTCGTGAAAACCGAAGGCAACATTGAAATCGTCAATGTTGATTACAACTCAAAATTGAACATCACCGATTGTATACGAAAAAATACTGGACTCTGGAAAATTAAGGCTGTCAATCCTCACGGCGAAGATGAGGCTGAAGTTGACATCACTGTCCTTTGTAAGTTTACAAATAGAACTTTAAATTAAATAGCTAATGAATATCAATTCGAAGTAACAGAAATTTTAATTAAATAGCTAATAAAAATTAAAACGAACTAATAGAAATTTTAATTTAACAACTAATAAAAATTAATAGAAACTAAAAGAAACTTTAATTAAATGGCTAATAATAATTTTGTGTCACTTCAGCTGCACCTGGAAAACCGAAAGGTCCACTTAAAGTATCAGACATTACGAAGAATGGCTGCAAGCTCAAGTGGGAAAAACCGGAAGACGATGGTGGTAAACCAATCACCGGTTATCAAGTCGAGAAGCTAGATAAAAATACAGGTCGATGGGTGCCTGTTGGTCGGACAAACGACACCGAACTGGAAGTCAAAGGTCTGCAGGAAGGTCACGATTACGAGTTCAGAGTGAAAGCACTCAACGAAGAGGGCGAATCTGAACCATTGACAACCGATGGATCAATTAAGGCCAAGAATCCATTTGGTGAGTTTCTCCAATCCATTTAATTAGAATAACTCTTTTTATTGTTCAATTATAAATTATAATTTTAACTCACAATCAGTTAAAAGGTTAACATGAAAAATAATGATTGTCTTCTTCTAGACTTATCCGGAAAACCTGGAACTCCCGAATTAGAAGACTGGGACGTTGATCGCGTCGATCTCAAGTGGGAACCGCCAAAGGATGATGGCGGTGCTCCCATCACTGGATATGTTATCGAGAAGAAAGAGAAATTGGGACACTGGGAAGAGGCTTTGGTCACTGATTCCCCTCTGCCGAAGGCTCGTGTTCCTGGATTAAAGGAAGGTGGCACTTATCAATTCCGAGTTCGTGCCGTCAACAAAGCCGGTCCATCCGAACCCAGTGAACCAACCAAACCTCATATTGCCAAAGCTCGTTTCTGTAAGTATTTTCTATCAATTAGTTTTCATTTCAAAATTCAATTTATTTTCAGAATTTAATTCCTCAGAAGTTATTCTTTTTTAATTTTATTAAATCGATCACTCCGAGTCAATCAATTCTTTTGAATCAATTTCGTGTTTTTTCTTAATTTTTATTCATTATTTTATTTTTAATTTTGTCGTATTATTTTCTTCTTTTACTTTTGGTAATTAGTAAAAATTGCATTTTCGAATTTTGTAAGACAGGTAAAAAAAGTAAAGAAACGAAGACAATTAATTTATTATGATTTTCAGTGAAACCGTTTATCAATCGTGACAAACTGGGAACAGTGAAAGTACGAGCTGGTCAAATAGTCAAACTTGACGTTGATGTCAAGGGTGAACCGCCTCCAACTATCACCTGGAGTTTCGGTTTGAGACCCCTCGCCACGAGTGCAAATGTCAAAATCGAAAATGAAGATTACAACACTAAACTTCAAATGACAAATACCACTCGCGCTGACACTGGAAAATACACAATTAAAGCTGTCAATGATTCCGGCCATGACGAAGCCGATGTCGAAATTATTATTCTTGGTAAGTTTACAAAAATCAAACAAAATTTAGAAATTAAAATTAAATTAATACCTAGTTTATTAAAATTATTTAAAGGTTTATGAAAAAATAAAATGTGCCTCTCGATTAAAATACAATTTATTTTAGACAAGCCTGGCAAGCCTGAAGGACCGTTGGAGGTGACCGACGTCCACAAAGAAGGTTGTAAACTCAAGTGGAAGAAACCTAAAGACGATGGAGGTCTTCCTCTGAACAGTTATATTGTCGAAAAAATGGACGTCACCACTGGACGATGGGTACCAGCAGGAACTGTTCTTGATCCTGAGAAAACGGAACACACCGTCACTGGTCTAGAACCCGGAAAGAAATACGAATTCCGCGTGAAAGCTGTTAATGAAGAAGGAGAATCGGAACCACTCCAAACGGATACTGCCATCTTGGCTAAGAATCCATTCGGTAAGTTTTTTAATCCGATAATTTAAGAAAACTATACTTAAAAATTTATTTTTATTTATAATATTAATTCTATATTCTTAAAATTATCGCCGACGCTCAGCTTCGAGAATTATTATTTGAGATTTTTAGAGACAAAAATGTCAATCTCGTCTCTTTTATCCACCTAGGAAGTTAAAAACATTTGCAGAGTACTTTTTGTTTTGAAACCTAAAAACTAGGAAAAAAATTGTTTTATTCTTTTCTGTTTCGTCAAAAAAATAATTTTTGACGCTCAGCATTGACACTAATTTTCGAAATTTAATTTTATACAAATTAAATAAAATTCTCTTTCTTTTTCTTAATTAAAAAAATAAATCAAAATTGATGAAAATAATTAAATTCTTTCAAAGAATTTAATTATAATTGTACTGAAATTAAGTGAATTTTTCTAAAGGAATTTTATCAAAATTTTCGAAAATAATTGAATTTCATCTAGAGATTTTATTAAAACAATACAATTATTTTCAAAAATTTTAATAAAATTCATCTTAAGAATTCAATTATTTTTGTAAATAAAAAAATTCTTTACAAGAATTCAATTATTTTTATAAACAAGATACAATTCAATTTAATGATTTTGAATTAAATTTAACTGAAATGCCTCGAAAGAATTAAATTATTTTAAAAACTTTTTATAAAATTCTTTGAAAGAATTGAACTATTTTCAAAAAAATTTTTGAAAATAATTTAATTGTTTCCAAGAAAATTAAAAATTTTTCGAGGAATTTAGTTAAAATTGAATTGAAAAGAATTGAATTCTTATAAAGAGTTGTATCAAAATTTTTTGAAATAATTAATTGAATTCTTGTAAGGAATTATATTAAAATTTTTTTTAAAAAAATTGAAAAAATTGAAAAAAAAAAAAAAAAAAAAAATTGAATTTTGCTAAAGAATTCAATTAAAATTGTTTTAAACGTAATTGAATTCTCATAAAGAAATATTTTTGAAATTTTTGAAAATAATTAAATTTTTAGGAGAAATTTTATTCAAATTATATTAAAAATAATTGAATTCATAAAAGAAATGTTATTAAAATTGTATTGAAAGGAATTGAATTCTTATAAAGAATTGTATCAAAATTTTTGAAAATAATTTAATTCAAACGAGGAATTTTATTATTTATGAAAACAATTGAATTCTTGCGAAGAATTTTATTAAAATTTTGAAAATAATTGTATTTTACAAAAAATGTCTTTCAAGTTTTTAAAAAAATCGTGTTTGCTAATAATTGTAATTCAAAATTTAAAAATTGAACTCATTATAACTGTTTTGGAAATAATTGAATTCTTAGAATTTTATGACAATTTTCGTAAATAATTAAATTCTTTCGAGAAATTCTTTTAAGAATTGTACTGAAAATAATTGAATTGATGCAAAGAAATTTATTATTTATGAAAATAATTGAATTCTTATAAAACATTTTGTTAAAACTTTTGTGAATAATTAATAGTTTATTTTATGTTTAATCAAGTTTAAGTAAGAATTAGTTGAATTTAGCTATTTGTATACTAGTTTTTTGAATAATGAGAAACTAAAGTAGAAATTTCATTCCAGATCCACCGCCAGCGCCAGGTCTTCCAGAAATTGTCGACTGGAACGAGCACATGGTGAAACTAAAGTGGGAACCACCGATCAGAGACGGTGGTGCTCCAATTACCGGTTATATTATCGAAATGAAGGACAGATTTGGTACAAATTATGTTAAGGCCGCCGAAGTAGAGGGTCCAATTTGCACCGGAACGGTACCGAGATTAGAGGAAGGAAATCAGTATCAATTCCGAGTTCGCGCTGTTAATAAAGCCGGACCTGGTGAACCCAGTGAGGCAACTAATCCACACACCGCTAAAGCCAGATACTGTGAGTTATTCTCTAAATTATTAAATTATAAATTTATAAACTTATCAGTTTGCAAATTTATAAACTTATCAATTTTTAAAATTTATAAACTTATCAATTTTGAAATTAGTAAGTTTATAAATTTAATAATTAAATAATTTATAAATTTATAAATTACCTTATAAACTTCTTTGTTGAAAATTTATCAATGATTTAAATATGTTATATGAATTTTTGTCTTCTCTTTCCATTAACAGTGAAACCGTACATTGATCGCACAAATCTTCAACCACAAATGATTAAGGTTGGTCTGACACTGACATTAGACGTGAATATCATTGGCGAACCACCACCGAAAGTTACTTGGTCCCTCAGAGGCGAAGAACTCACAAATGATAACGATTTTCGCATTGATAATGTCGATTATCATACGAAATTCATCATTCTCAAGGCGAAGCGAATGCACACTGGTCGATATGTTATCAAAGCGGCAAATGAAGTTGGTGAAGATATCGCCGAAGTTGATATCACTATTCTTAGTAAACCGTCCAAACCACAGGTATTTTATTTTATTTTTTGAATTTTTTTATCTTATTATATTATTTTATGTCAAGGAGGAAAATATTTTTTTTATGAATTTTTTATTGTAAAATAAATGATTTTTTATTGGAAAATAAATGATTTTTTATTCTAAACTAAATGATTTTCTATTAAAAAATTTAGGGACCTCTCGAAGTGTCGAATATTACAAAACACGGTTGCAAACTGAAGTGGAAGAAACCAGAAGATGACGGAGGCAGTCCAGTTGAATTCTATGAAATCGAGAAGCTCGATCCACTGTCAGGACAATGGATTCCTTGCGGTCGATCAACAGACCCGGAAGCAAATATTACCGGCTTGTTAGAGGGCAAACCTTACAAGTTCCGAGTTAAGGCTGTGAATAAAGAAGGCGAATCTGAAGAATTGGAAGCCGACAAGGCCATCATCGCCAAAAATCCATTTGGTAAGTTAATCACTTCGATCTATTTTTCTACTTAAAAAAATAAATAATAATTTACTGTCAAATCGAAAAGAACTGCTATTTCAAAAATCACTTTATTTTTCATTTTAAATATACTTTACTCAACTTTACATCGACAGACGAACCTGGTAAACCCGGTAGGCCAAAGATCACCAATTGGGACAAGGACTTTGTCGATCTTGAATGGACTCCACCGGAAAGTGATGGTGGTGCACCAATTGAGAGATACGTGATTCAAATGAGAGACAAAGACGGTAGACAATGGATTGACGTTACCAGCGTTCCTGGAGATCGCACAGACGCCAAGGTCAATGATGGTATTGAAGAGGGTCACGAATACGAATTCCGAGTCGTTGCTAGAAATAAAGCTGGACCTGGAGAACCAAGTGATACATCAAAGAGCGTGATTGCCAAACCCCGTTTCCGTAAGTTTCCTTTAAATTCTAAATTAGCTACCATTAGAAAATTTACTAATAGGGTAAATGCACTAGTAGTCGGACACTTAAGGATACAATCTTAAATTATGCTTTTTTTCTTGAAATAGCAAATATCTACTGTGTTTATAAGCACATTATTAATTAAAGGAGTTCTTCAGGATTAAAAATAATATAAATTTGTTACAAATAGTTAAGTATTTAATAAAATATAAACATTTTAATAAAAAATTACGAATGCTTTAGTAGTCGGACACTTTTTCCCCTTGTTTCTATAGTCGGACATCTGTCAGATATTTTGAATTTATAAAGTGAAAAAGATAATTTTTTAATTGCTATCTGCTGGAAAATGGAATTCAAGCATATTAGAAGTTATTAATATAATATTTAGACCCTATACGTTTTAATATTTATGATTAATTATCAACAAAACTTTGTGCCACTCATCGCGCTACTCGAAAATGGTTGTATCTATAGTCGGACACCATGATTTTTAAAACATTAAATAAAATATTTCTTGTTTAATTATTTTCGAAAATAACACTATTTTAATAAAATATAAACTTCACACATTCGTCTAGTATACTTTTTAAAGTAATTATCACAATGCATTATTATTTATTTGCCAAAAAACACAAAAGTGTCCGACTACTAGTACTGTCCGACTATACCCGCACTTACCCTATAAAAGTTTATTTGATAAAATATTTATTTAATAAGAAATTTATTCAGTAGAAAATTTATTTAATAAAAAATTTATTTAGTAGGAAATTTATTTAACGAACAATTTCTTCAACAAGAGATTTATTAAATAGCAAATTTATTTAGTAGGGAATTTATTTAATAAGAAATTTATTTGATATAAAATTTACTCAATAAGAAATTTGTTTAGTTGGAAATTTAATTAATAAACAATTCGTTTAATTAGCAATTTATTTAAATAGCAATTTTCTTAATAGAAAGTTTACCAAATAAAAAATGTAATTCATGTAAAATCTATGTCAAATAATCGTCATATTCCGGTAATCTGTTCGCATTTTAACGTTAGTTTTTGTTTGCTTCTTTGTTCCCTAACTTTTTAAATAATTTTTCTTTTCAAATGTTTTCAATTTTAAAATTAATGTGTTGAAAATAATTGAATTTCCGCAAAAAATTTTATTATTTATGAAAGTAATCTAATTCTAATCTAAATCTAATTTCTTTCATTTTTGCAAAATTTGTTTAATAAATAATTAATTTGCAATTTACAGTGGCTCCACACATTGATCGCAAGAACTTGCAAAAGAAAGTCATGCGAGTTGGACAAATGCTGCGAATTGAAGCTGATGTTAAAGGAGAACCGGCGCCGATTGTCACCTGGAAGCACAATAATCTCGTTTTAAAAACACAAGATCGTCTCAAAGTTGAGAGCGAGGACTATCACACAACTTTTATGTTGAACAAATTGCAGAGATCAGACACTGGTATCTATGTTGTCACAGCGAAGAATGACAGTGGCACCGATGAAGTTGAAGTCGAACTACAGGTTATTATTTTTTCAACAATAAATTCCTTTTTCATATTTTCTAAACAAAAAATTTCATTTTTTCTACTTTATTCATTTTCGCAGAATATTATTATTTATAAAAATAAACGAATTCTCGCGAAAAATATTATTAAAATCTTTAAAAATCCTAATTAAATTCTTTTGAAAAATTTCCTTGAATTTTTTTTTAAATAATGGAGTTTTATTATTAATTTTAATTGAAAATTTTGAAAGTATAATTGAATTTTATGAACAATTTCTTTCAAGTTTTTAAAATAATCGTGTTTCTTAATAATTGAAATTAAACATTTAATTATTGAATTTTATTAAAATTTTTAGAAAATAATTAAATTCTTCTCAGAATCTTATTAATTTTCAAAAATAATTTAATTCATTCAAGACATTTTATTTAAATATAGAAAAAAATTTAATTCTTTCAAAGAATAGATACTACATTAAAGGTTTTTATTACAATTTTTGTAAATAATTCAATTCTTTTGAAGAATTTCTTTGTGTTTTTTTAAATAATATAGTTTTTTGAATAATTTCAATTGAAATTTTCGAAAATAATTGAAATTCTGTAAAGAATTCAATTATTTATAAAAAAAATTGAATTCTTGACAAGAATTTGTTTCAAATTTTTGAAAATAATTGAAATCCTCCGAAGAATTATATTATTAATGAAAATAATTGAAATCTTCCAAAGAATTTTATTTTTTATGATGATAATTGAATTCTTGCGAAGGATTGTATTAAAAATTTTGAAAATAATTAAAATCCTCCGAAGAATTTTATTATTTAAGAAAATAATTGAAATCTTCAAAAGAATTTTACTTTTTATGAAGATAATTGAATTTTTAGGAAGAATTTTATTAAAATTTTTCAACATAATTGAAATTCTTTGAAAAATTTTATTATTTATGAAAATAATTGAAATCTTGCAAAGATTTTTATTAAAATTTTTGAAAAATAATATAATTGTTTCGATGAAAATTTAAATTCTTTGTAGGAATTTAGTTAAGATTGTATTGAAAATAATTGAATATTTAGGAAGAATTTTACTGAAATTTTAGAAAATAATTGAATTCTTTTGAAAATTTTTGTAACGAATTAAAAAAAAATTGAATTCTGTCGTAAAATTTTATTGATAATTAAATTTTTGGTAAAGGATTTTACTATTTTAAAAAACAATTGAATTGTTTCGAAAGATTTATTAAAATTTTTTTAAAAATAATTAAATTTTTGCAAAAAATGTTATTATTTAGATATAAAAATAATTGAATTCTTCCGAAGAATGTTATTATTTATGAAAATAATTGAATTTTTTCGAAGAATTGTATTGAAATTTTTGAAAATATAAACAATTATAATTAATTATGTACTTAATATGTGAATTTTAAAAATTTTGATTATGAAATTATTATAGAAAGTAAAAAATTTTGTAATTTGCATAATTATAATAAATCGAATTCGTAGGTTTTGGGCAAACCAAGTAAACCTAAGGGACCACTAGACGTTTCGGATGTGACAGCCGAAGGTTGTAAATTGAAGTGGAACAAACCAGAAGACGATGGCGGCGAACCGATCGATCACTACGTCATTGAGCGTATGGATGTTGACACAGGCCGCTGGGTACCTTGCGGAACGAGCAAAACACCAGAAGCGGAAATCGGTGGCCTAAACGAAGGCAAAGACTATCAGTTCCGGGTTAAGGCCGTCAACAGCGAGGGCGAATCCGAACCTTTGGAAACCGCCATTCCTACGACTGCCAAGAATCCTTACAGTACGTTTACTTTTTCATTTTTAATACCTTTTGAATTTTATTTTCTTCGAACAAATTTTTCTCCTAAAATTTTCTTCTTACAATTTTTAAAAACGTAAAAATTTTTAAATTTTGTTTTATGGCAATTTTCATTTTATTTTTTCTTCTGCAGCCGAACCTGACGAGCCAGGAAAACCAGAATTGAAAGACTGGGACAAGCACCACGTCGATTTGAAATGGACACCGCCAAAGAAGGACGGCGGCGCGCCAATCGAAAAATACATAGTCGAGAAGAAAGATCAATTCGGAAAATGGCAAAAGGTCGCCGAAGTTCCTGGACACAAGACAGAGGCCAAAGTGGGCGATCTCATCGAAGGACAAAAGTATCAATTCCGCATAAAGGCGTTGAATAAGGGAGGACTCAGTAAACCGAGCGAACCCAGTGATACATTAATTGCAAAAGATCGTTTCGCACCGCCGAAAATTGATCGCACGACATTGCGTGACATCACCGTCAAGGCTGGCAATCACATTCGTCTTGATGTCAAAGTCTCCGGTGAACCACCGCCAACGAAGACTTGGTACCTGAATAAAAAGGAACTCGAGGACTACAAGGATGGCGTCGCCATTGAACTCGAGGACTACAAGACGAAATTCGTCATTTCATCGGCTGCTCGATCGCACACGGGTCACTTGACTCTTAAGGCGGAAAATAGTTCCGGCAAGGACGAAGCGACGATAAGCGTGACAGTGTTGGATAGACCGGGTAAACCGGAAGGACCACTGGAAGTTTCGAAAATCCATAAGGAAGGTTGTAGCTTGAAATGGAATCCACCTTTGGATGATGGTGGTGTGCCGATCGATCACTATGCGGTTGAGAAAATGGATACGACCACAGGTCGCTGGATACCTGTCGGTCGTACACTTGAGCCGAAAATGGACGTGGAAAATCTTGTTCCTGGTCAAGAGTATAAATTCCGTGTTGTCGCTGTCAATGCTGAGGGAGAATCTGAGCCCCTTGTTACTGACGTTGGAATCATTGCCAAGAATCCATTTGGTATGTGTTGTTATTAAACCTTGGCCTAGAAAACGTTTTTTTTAAACAATAGTTATTGAAAATAAATTGTCACTCTCATTTAAATAGAAAGATTGGACCGATGTGGCACCCTTTTTCAATTTGAACGTTATTCGCGGAAGTTTTGACAATATTTTCTCTTTTTTGTGATAATTTTTACGATAATTCGTTTTTTATGATAATTTTTACATTGTTTTTTTATAATAATTTTTACGTTAATTCTCTTTTAATTTTTATTTAATTAATTAAAAGAAATTTAGAGATTTTTCTACGTTAACTAGCGAAGCGAATTGGTGAAGGAAATTATTTGCTTTTGTATTTAGACGAGCCTGGAGCACCTGGCCGTCCGGAAGCAACTGATTGGGACAAAGATCACGTTGACCTTAGATGGACCCCACCGGTAACCGACGGTGGATCTCCAATCACTGGTTACGTGATTGAAAAACGCGAAAAAGGCAGTCCAAAATGGATCAAAGCTGGTGAAGTATTTGGTCCCGATTGCAAAGGTCGCGCTGACAATTTAGACGAAGGAGTTGAATATGAATTCCGCGTCAAGGCTGTGAATGCTGCTGGTCCAGGTGAACCGTCTGATGTGAGCAAGGGCATTGTCGCCAAGTGTCGAAGAAGTAAGATTAATTACAATAATTTTTATTTTTATTCGATTCTATCAAAATATAATTTTAATTGAATTCTATTAAAAAAAAATTTAATTTTAATTGAATTTAGAAAAAATGAATTGATTTTAATTAAAAATTCTAATTTTATTAACGAATGATGTTCTTTTTAAAGTGCCTCCGAAAATTGATAGAAGAAACCTGCGGGACCTCATTGTTCGCGAAGGTGAACCAATTCGTTTCGACGTTAAAGTTTCTGGTGAACCAGCGCCGGACGTTAGTTGGTTGTTGAATAATAAGAGCATTCAGCAAACCACTTATCGTCGAGTGGAGAATGTGCCATACAATACTAAATTCTTCAATGAAAAACCCGAGCGTAAAGACAGTGGAATTTATAAAATCACAGCTTCCAATCAATACGGAACTGATACTGCCGACGTTGAAGTCACTGTTGTCTGTAAGTGTTTGTCATTTTACTTTCAAATAACTTTACAAATTTTGTGTATTTTAAAATTTTTATATTCAAAATTGCAAAAAAAATTTAGAAAAGTACAGAATAAACAAATAAACATAAAATAAAAATACAATAAACATAAAATAAATATAAAGTAAAAATAAGATAAATACAAAATAGAAAAAATTCTAGAAATTATTCAAAAATAAAATACATTGAGTTTGAGAAAATTGCTCTACAAAAAAGAGAAGAAAATTTTTGAAGAAATTAAATCGAAATGGTGAATTTATGGAAAATTGTGATTGTAGGCAAACCCGAGAAGCCGGAAGGTCCATTGGAAGTGTCTGACATCCACAAGGACGGATGTACACTCAAGTGGAAGAAGCCGAAAGACGATGGCGGCGAGCCAATTGAAACCTATCTGGTGGAAAAATACGATCCAGAAACGGGAGCTTGGGTTCCTGTTGGCAAAACTTGCGGAACTGAAATGAAAGTCGATGGCTTGACTCCCGGTCATGAGTACAAGTTCAGGGTCAAAGCGCAGAACAAGGAAGGAGATTCGGAACCACTCGAAACTTTCGGATCTATCATTGCTAAAGATCCATACAGTACGTTTTCTTTCTTATTTTTCTTATTTAAATTATTATATAAATTCAAATATAAATATTACAAGAATTTAACTAAATTAAAATATTCTCGTTTTTTTACTACACAAGTAAAAAACATGAAGATAACGATAACTCCAAGTCTTCGACTCGGAGTGATTGTTATCTTCATGTTTCATATTAATTTTTTAACTTAATTATTTTAAATTTAAATTGTCTAACAAATGTATAAATATTTTTTTTTCAGCTGTACCTTCAGCGCCCGGAGCACCCGAACCTGCAGACTGGACAGCGAATCAAGTGGATCTCGTCTGGAAGGAGCCGGTCAGCAACGGTGGATCACCGATCACCGGATACATTATCGAGAAGAAAGATAAATACAGCACCATGTGGGAGAAGGCCTTGGAAACTGATTCTCCTCTGCCAAAAGCACTTGTCACTGGCCTCATCGAGGGCAATGATTATCAATTCCGCGTAATGGCTGTCAACAAAGCCGGTCCATCGGAACCAAGCGATGCAAGCAAAACCTTCACCGCTAAACCCCGATTCTGTAAGTTTCATTTTTTAATTAAAGAATTTCTTCAATTCTTCTTCATCTTCTTCAATTTCTGCAATAGTAGTAAATTTTAATTTATTACTAATGATAATAATCTACATTAATAATCGTAATTTTTTAAAACAATTTTATTAGAATTTTTGTAAATAATGACATTTTCTTTTTAAAGGATTTCATTAAATTTCGCGAAAATAATATAATTTTTTTAAATAATTTTAATTCGAAATTTTGAAAATAGTTGAAATTTACAAAGAATTTTATTAAAAACTTTCGAGAACAATTGAATTGTTTAGAAAAATTGTATTACAAATTTTAAAAATAGTTAAACCTGTTAGAGAAAGTTTATTGAAATTATCTTGAATATAATTGAATTTTTCCATAGAAATTTTATTAAAATTTTATTAAAATTGTATTGAAAATAATTGAATTTCTCAGAAGAATTTTATTATTTATAAAAATAATTGAATTGTTTCGTAGAATTTTATCAGAATTGTTGAATATAATTGAATTTCTCAGAAGAATTTTATTATTTATAAAAATAATTAAATTGTTTCGAAGAATTTTATCGGAATTGTTGAAAATAATTGAATTTTTATTAAAACTCTGGAAAATAATTGAATTTAAATAATATTTTTGAAAATAATTGTATTCTTTAGAGAAATTTTATTAAAATTGTATTGAAAATAATTGAATTCCTCCGAAACGATTTATTATTTATGAAAATAATTGAATTTCTTTGAAGAATTTTATTATTTATGAAAATAATTTAATTCTTGCAAAGAATTTTCATATTCATATTTCATATTCTTTCAAAGAAGTGTTTTATAACTATTGAAAATAATTAAATTTGGCGACAGAATTCAATTAAAATTGTATTCAACATAACTGAATTCATATTAACAAATTTTATTAATATTTTTGAAAATAATTCAATTTCTGTGAAAAATTAAATTAAAATTTTTGCTAACAATTAAATTTAGCGAAAAAATTCAATAAAAATTGTATTAAACGTAATTGAATTCTTATAAATAAATTTTATTAATATTTTTGAAAATAATTGAATTTAGCAAAAGAATTCAATTAATATTGTATTAAACGTAATTGAATTCTTATAGACAAATATTATCAATTATTTTTGAAAAGAATTGAATTCTTTCGAAGGATATTATGGGAATTTTTGATAATTAATTGAATTCTTATAAACAAATATTATCAATTATTTTTGAAAAGAATTGAATTCTTTCGAAGGATATTATGGAAATTTTTGATAATAATTGAATTTCTGTGAATAATTATATTACAATTTTTAAAAAGAATTGAATTTTGCAAAAGAATTCAATTAAAATTGTATTAAACGTAATTGAATTCTTATAAACAAATATTATCAACATTTTTGAGAATAATTGAATTCTTTCGAAGAATATTATTAAATTAATTAAATTTAATAAATTTTCGCGAAAGAATTCAATTAAAATTGTATTATACGTAATTGAATTCTTATAAACAAATTTTATTAATATTTTTGAAAATAATTGAATTTCTGTGAAAAATTATATTACAATTTTTGAAAATAATTGAATTTAGCAAAAGAATTCAATTAAAATTGTATTAAACGTAATTGAATTCTTATAAACAAATATTGTCCAATTATTTTTGAAAATAATTGAATTTTTTCGAAGGATATTATTTAAATTTCTGAAAATAATTTAATTTTTTTAAAGAATTTTATTAAAATTGCATTGAGAATAATTGAATTCATGTCAAGAATTTTATTTAAAATTTAAAAATTTATTTGAATTCTTACGAGAAATTTTATCAAAATTGTATTAAAAATTTTAAAGTAATTCAATTTTTTTAAGAAATGTTATTAAAATTGTATGGAAAATAATTTAATGCAAGCGCAGAATTTAATTGAAATTTTTATAAATAATCTAATTCTTAACAAAAATTGTATTATTTTTGAAAATGGTAAATAATAATTAATTAGTTAATAATTGAATTTTATAAATCTAAATCTGAAATTTTCCAAAAATGGAAGTTGATATTTTAAAATAAGTTGTGTAATTTAGATAATAATAATATATAATAGTAGGTAATAATAATAATTTAAAGGTGGAAAGAAGTTAACAATTTTTCCGAATCAATCTCTCTCAAATAAATCTCTTGAATAAGCTCTTGAATTTCATGTATCGACATGAAGAGAGATTGATTAGGAAAAATTGTTAACTTCTTTCCCCCTTTAATATTAGTTACCGAATGATAAATTCATTTCATTTAATTACAATAATTTAATTTATTTTAACAGTGGCTCCGAAGATTGATCGCCGCAACCTCCGTGACGTGACACTCTCAGCCGGATCGACCCTGAAATTCGACGTGAACGTGATTGGCGAACCGCCACCAAAATGCGATTGGCGATGGGCGACGAACCCCCTGACACCCAACAAACAAGTCTCACTCGACAATTCCGATTACAACACAAAATTGACGATCCGCCCGGTGAAACGTGGCAATACTGGCGAATACACCATCACCGCCATCAATTCCTCAGGTAAAGACACCGTTTCCGTAATGGTGACAGTCACCGATAAACCCGCACCACCAGAAGGGCCACTCAGCGTCACAGACGTTCACAAAGAAGGCTGTCAATTAAAATGGAAGCGTCCAATCGACGACGGCGGCACTCCAATCGAGTACTACCAGGTCGACAAAATGGATCCGGAAACCGGATGCTGGGTTCCTTGCGGTCGATCAACCGAGCCAAATCTCGAGGTGACCGGCCTAACACCCGGCAAGGAATACAAATTCCGCGTCTCCGCAATCAACGCCGAGGGCGAATCCGAACCATTGGAAGCAGATCAAACGATCCTCGCCAAGAATCCCTACGACGAACCCGGCAAACCTGGCGATCTCCAGGCCACCGACTGGGACAAGGATCACGTCGATCTCAAGTGGAAGCCGCCCTTAAACGACGGCGGCTCACCAGTGACGAGCTACATTATCGAGAAGAAGGACAAATACGGCGAGTGGGAGAAGGCTCTTGAAGTACCCGCCGACATGACCCGAGCCACCGTTCCCGATCTCATCGAGGGTCAACCCTATGAATTCCGCGTGCGTGCCGTGAACAAAGCCGGACCCGGTGAACCTTCAGACGCAACGCCGACAATTTACGCGAAACCACGCAATTTAGCGCCAAAGATTGATCGCACAAATCTCATCGATGTGCGAGTGAAGGCCGGACAAAACTTTGTATTCGACGTTAAAGTCACCGGAGAACCGGCGCCAATTACCAAATGGTTCATTGGCAGTAAGCAAATTATATCCTCAGATCGTGTGAAATTGAAGGAAGTTCCTTACAATACGAATTTGAATGTTCGAATGGCGACGAGAGCGGAGTCTGGAAAGTTCATGATCACCGCTGAAAATATCAATGGCAAGGACATTGCTTATGTGAATGTTCTTGTTCTGGATAAACCAGGTACGCCTGAGGGACCACTCAAGGTCGCCGATATCACTGCCGAGGGTTGCAATCTATCCTGGAAACCACCTGAAGACGACGGTGGACAGCCTATCGAGAAGTACGTCGTTGAAAAATTGGACGAGACAACTGGACGATGGGTGCCTGCCGGCGAAACTGACGGACCCGAAACTTCATTGAACGTCGAGGGTCTTATTCCAAATCATAAATATAAATTCCGAGTTCGCGCTGTCAATAAGCAGGGCAAGTCGGAACCGTTGGCGACAGCCACGAGCATTGAGGCGAAAAATCCATTTGGTGAGTTGACGATTTCCAAAAATTTACTCTGAATACTATTTCTATTTTTCCAAATCTCAATTGAATTTATAAATTTTTTGAAATGTATATTTTTAATAGTAAACAATGTTGAGAATTGTGGCCTAATAGCTAATTGACGAAAGTCTCAAATATTTTTTTAGGTTCAAAAATATCCAGATTTCTTTTTTTTTAAATAGCAACAATTTTTATCAAAATTCTGAATTTTTTAATATAAATAAAAAAATTGATATAGGTAATTATTTATATTTTATAATTATCTGCTTATACGATTTTATTAGATGAACCTGGAAAACCGGGAACGCCGAAAATCAGTGACTATGACACGGACTTTGTTGAATTGGAATGGAAGCGACCACCTTCTGATGGTGGTTCACCTATTACTGGTTATATTATTGAGAAACGGGACAAATACAGTCCGACTTGGGAGAAATGTGCAGAAGTCGAGGGCGATAAAACAACGGGAAGAGTCAATGATCTTCAGGAAGGAAATCAGTATGAATTCCGGGTGCGAGCTGTTAATAAAGCTGGACCTGGTGAACCATCAGATGCCACTAAACCTCATATTGCAAGACCGAAAAATCGTAAGTTTTTTTATTTGATTATTTTTGATAATTTTTTAAACATTAAATTTACCAGAAGTAAAAAGCTATATTTAAAAAAATTAATTAAAGCAATATTAGGCCTCGGATTGATTTTAAGGCGCAGAAAAAGTTGCTTTAGTTTAAAGATTAAAAAATATAATTTAAAAGATTAAAGATACAAAAAAAGGCATTTCACTGTTTCTTAAATTCAATTATTCAAAAACTCAATATTTTAGATCAATAAATATTTATTTATTTTTTCGAAGAAATAAAATTTTTTTTAATTTATATTTAAATTAATAAAACCTAAAATTTAAATAATTAATTAATTACTTCTAAAAATTACAACTGTAATTATGTTCTCTAAAATTTAATTACTTTCTATAAATTTTAACTGAACTTCTTCTCTAAATTAATTATTTTTAATAATTTTACGAAAGGTCTTCGAGAATTCACTTATTTAAATAATAAAAATCAATTTTGTTTAGTAAAAGTTATAAACTGTAACTCTTTGTGGTTTTTTTAAAAAAGTTATTTAAAAAGTAAAAAAGTAAAAAATTTAAAAAATAAAAAAACTTTAAAAATTATTAAGGTGAATGATTTCATGAAAATATTTTTAATCAAAAATATTGAAAAGAATTGATTTTTAGAAAATTGTAATCAAAAAAGTTTTTGAATTAGTTTTTTAATAATTTTTTCAAAAATTTTTTGAATGATAATAGATTTTTCAATGACATTGATTGTAATTTGAAAATTTAAAACTGTTAAATTATAAAATTTGAAAAAAAATTGAAATTCAGTAAAATCTTTAAAAAATAATTGAATTTTTGGAAAACATAAAAGAAGTCAAGATCTTGAATAATTTGAATCATAAATATAAAAATTCGTGATATATCCAAGAATTTTAATGATAATTCTGAAAAAAAGTAAATTATTTAACAATTTAAATTATTTTTTTTTTAGAAAATTAAATTTTCTAAACTTATGATTATAAAATTCTGAGAATTACTGTTTTCAATATATGTTTAAACAAGTTTTAAAAGATAATTGAATTTTCAATTATCTATAAGTCCAAAATTTTATAAAAATTGAAATTTTATAAAATTGTAACAAAAAAATGCTAAGAATTAATTTTTAAAATAATTGGATTTTTTTAAAAAATTTTTTGAAAAATTTAAAATACTAATCAATTTTTTCAGGAATTTTATTTATTTATTAATTTTATTATTTCATATTGACAATTTTTTAAAGAAAATTTTTCAAATGATTGAAATTTAGTAAAATTTGTTGAAAATAATTGAATTTCTGAAAAATAAAAAAAAATGTTTGTTTTTGAAGAATTTGTTTTTTATTAAATTTTCTTGAAAACTTTAATAATAAATCAAAAAAGTCAATATTTAAAAATTTTCAATTCATTTTTTATTATTATTTTTTTTAAATAATTAAATTCTAATAAAAAATTTCGAAAAAATAGATTTTTAAAATTATTTCAATGTAATTTTTATAAAATAATTTAATTCCTTCGAAAAATTTTTTGACAATTAAAAAAAATAATCGATTTTTTGAAGAATTTTATTTACTTAATATTGACGAGAAAAGCAATTTCTTTTAATGTTAAATTCTGAAAATGATTGTTTTCTCCAATATTTTGACAACTTTAAAGAAAAATAGATTTAAAAAAAAATTAATGTATTTCTTTTTTGTAGATATTTTAATCTATTTTTCTTGTAGTTAATTTTCACTAATTACCATTTTTAAATTTCCATTGTCAAATTTTTATTTGAAGATTTTTCATTAAAATTTTAGAGAATTAAATTATTTTTAAAATTCCCAATTAAAATTCTTTAAAAATTGTTTTTTTTTAAAAATTATTACTTATTTATTGATCAACGAATTTTCAAACATTTTTATTTATTTATTTACCAATAAAATTATTCATTTTCAATGAAATTCTTAAATAAAATAAATATTTTTTAATAGAATTTTTTAAAATATCTATTATTTACAAATTTTTTAATGATATATTTCAAAAATGTAATTTTCTGAAAAATTACCGTTCATTTTATAACAAAAAAAGTGGTATTTTATTGCAATATTTGTAAGAAATGTATAAATTGTCGTATTTTTTAAAAATAATTCGAGAAAAGCTGCCTTTCTTTTAAATAGTCGGAAAAAGTCCAAAAAATCATCATATTCGAGGCTTGAATTAATAATTTATATTAATGAAAATTGAACAGAAATCTATAATTTTCAATAACATTTTTAACAAATTTTGAATTTATTTAAAATTTTGTAAATTATATTCCAAAATTTAATTATTTAAAAAATAAAGTGCATTTTTTACTAAAAAAAATGGTATTTAGTTGGAATATTTGGAAGAAAAGTTGATAAAGTCCTCTTTTTTGAAAAGAGTTGAAATAATTGCAAAAAATCATATGCAAGGCCTGCAAAATTGTTGAATTTGTTTCTATTAACAAAATAGTTTTAAATAGTTTTAAAAAGAGTTAGTTAAAATAGATTTAAATAGTTTAAAATTTTTAATTTAAATTGAAAAATGTAATTTTTATATTAATTTGTTTAATAAATTCCAGTACCACCGAAAATCGATCGCAAATACATGATGGACATCAAAGTTCGAGCAGGAAGCTTCTTTGACTTCGACGTTCCCGTCATTGGCGAACCACCACCAAGAAAAGAATGGACCCTCAAGGGCAATGTTGTCAGTGGAACGGATCGTATTAAAGTCACAAACGAAGACTACAACACAAAAGTTCGTGTTCTAGAAGCAAAACGTTCCGACTCTGGCGAATATACATTAACAGCAAGAAATTGCAATGGCAAGGACGAGGCAACATTGAACGTCATTGTTCTCGATATTCCCTCGCCACCCGAAGGACCACTAAAGATCAGCGATATTACGAAAAATAATTGCAAACTATTTTGGCGACCACCAAAGGACGATGGCGGCTCTGAGATTCTTTACTATTCCATTGAGAAATTGGACGCTGAGAATATGCGATGGGTGCCAATTATGGAGGCATCGGACACATTTGCTAAAGTTGATCATCTCATTGAGGGACACGAGTACAATTTCCGTATTCGTGCTGTGAATAAGCAGGGTGAATCGGGACCATTGACAGGATTGGAGAGTATCACGGCTAAGGATCCATTTGGAAAGCCGGAGAAACCAGGAGCGCCAGTGGCGACAGATTGGGACAAGGATCACGTTGATCTTGAATGGACACCGCCTAAGCGTGATGGCGGTTCACCGATCACTAGTTATATTATTGAAAAGAGACCGAAATTCGGCACATGGGAGAAGGCGGCTGAAGTTCCGGGAAGTATGACTTCGGGCAGAGTGCCAGATCTTACCGAGGGTCAAGAGTATGAGTTCAGAGTCATTGCTGTTAACAAAGGTGGACAGGGTGAACCCTCTGATGCTTCACTGCCGATCATTGCGAAACCACGTTTCCGTAAGTTTCGAAAATTCATAATATTTTTATTTTTACTATTATTTTTATTATTATCAATGATATTTGAATTTATCACTCGAAGATATTTCAATAAATTAATCAGTTAATATATTGTGAATTTTAAATTAATTTTTAATCAGGAATCTTTAAAAAATTGAAGTTGATATTTGAAAATAAAAAATTGAAATTTGCATAATAATAAAAATTAAATTCCGTGATTCGCGCGTATCATTTGCTAGTAATTACATAATAACTTTATTTAAGAAAAATTGAATTTTTTTTAGCTACTATTCAGTTACAATTTTGAGCTAAATATTTTGATTCTAATGTGATAATTATTAATTATTAATTCTAATAAATAGAGAAATTTAATAAATAAAATTAAAGATTAGTGATGGGAAATTATTTCCGATCTTGTCTAATGGTAAATGATTTTCTTACAGTTAAACCAACGTTCGATAAGCACATGCTACAAGATATGGTTGTTCGAGCTGGTCAAAAGATTGGCTACGACATTCCTATTGAAGCTTCACCGAAACCAGTTGCTTCCTGGACAATTAACGGCGTTGACGTTATTGCTGATGATCGCCACGATATCTTTACTACCAATATTAACACTAGTTTCGAAATTCCATTCGCCTGTCGTGCCGATACTGGAAGATACTCTCTCACACTTACCAACAGTCAAGGAAGTTGCAAGTACGAATGTTGAATAATCAAAATTATTCTTCAAACAAAAAAAACAATCTCTAATATTTATTTGGGCCTTCACTAATGGTTGGGAGTTTTGCCATGATTTTTCAATAAGAGCACAAAGTTAATTGATAAATGTCTTCACAGTTTACTTGGAACAAACTTTACTATTACAAAACAAAATTGACACGACTTTCGACAGTTGACTACTCATTATCGCAAGTGTTCAACGACTGCCTAGCTTTTAGCATTTTCATTCCGCCTTCGCCTTGTCGTCAAACCACACAAGTCAAAATAATTCCTCAACACGAATTTTTGCAAATTTTCTTCTTGAATTACACAATAGTTTTTTTTTAATTATTAAACTTAAATTAATTCAAATTCAAGCTTTACTCTTTTCAAAATGTAAATTGTCCTGTAGTAGGATTAATTTAATTTATATTTAATTTAATTTTAATAATATTGAATTTAATTTTAATAAAAATATTTTTTGTTCCAATTTTAGTGCTAGTGCAAATGTCACCGTCATTGATAAACCATCACCACCTCAAAAACCACTGGACGTTTCCAATATTACAAAGGAAAGTTGTCATCTCTCCTGGCTACCGCCCAAGGACAATGGAGGAACTCCAATTCTTCATTATGTCATCGAAAAAATGGATCTCTCCCGTGGAACCTGGTCGGATGCTGGAATGAGCATGATTCCAAAGCACGATGTAACTCGATTGGTTCACAGAAAGGAATATCTCTTTAGAGTCAAGGCCGTTAATAGCGTTGGCGAATCCGAACCCCTTGAAACAGAAACTAGCATCATTGCCAAGAATGAATTCGGTAATTTTCACTTGGAAATTACAACAAATAACTAAAAATTGTGAAATTGAAAAATAAAATTAAAATAAAATTAATATTTTTTTGCAGATGAACCCGACGCACCTGGAAAGCCGCGTATTGTCGATTGGGACAAGGATCACGTCGATCTGGATTGGCCGGCACCTCAAAACGACGGTGGTTCTCCGATAACTGGATACATCATTCAGAAGAAGGAGAAAGGAAATCCCTACTGGACGAATGCCGTTCACGTGCCACCATCGCAAACTAGTGCGACCGTTCCCGATTTGACAGAGGGACAAGAGTACGAATTCCGCGTGATAGCTGTCAATACTGCTGGTCAATCAGAACCATCCGAGCCCAGTGATCTCGTCACAGCTAAACCTCGCAATCGTGAGTATTCATTTTGTCCTTCTGGAATTGATTTTTACAATATAATCACAAATGAGAAAAAAATCCCAAAAAAGTAAATGTAATTTAATTGACAAATTAAGAAAATATCAAAAGTTTCGAAAAGTAAATACTTTTTAGTTTAGATTCAGACCTGAATAAAAAAATTGTTGCTAATTTAATGATGTGCGAATAATATTTTTACAGTTGCTCCCAAGATAAAGACACCATTGCAAGATATTCGCATCAAGGCTGGTCTGATATTCCATGTGGATATTGATTTTGTTGGTGAACCAACGCCAACAGCCAGATGGACAGTTGCGAATAAAGAACTCGAAACAAATGATCGAACCACTGTAACTTCGATTGGATATCACACGATTCTTCACACCGTGAATGCTAAGAGATCCGACTCTGGAACTTATCACTTGCTGGTGAAGAACGAAAACGGAATTGATGAGGGTAGCTTCCAATTGACAGTTCTCGACAGACCCAGTCCACCGCAAGGTCCTCTGGAGTACGAAGAAGTCACAAGTCAATCCGTCACTCTCTCCTGGAAACCACCTAAGGACAATGGAGGCAGTGAATTGACGTGAGTGCCTCTTTTAATCAATTTCCAATCATTATCATTATCCTTCTTTTGATTACAGTTTTTATTTCTATTCGCTTTGCTTTTATTATTGTAACATTATTGAATGTAAATTAAATGACTCATTTTAGTGGATACGTGATCGAGAAACGAGATCTAACTCACGGAGGAGGATGGGTTCCAGCAGTAACGCACGTTAATCCCAAATACAATCACGCAACCGTTCCCCGACTCATTGAAGGAACCAAATACGAGTTCCGAGTTTGTGCCGAAAATTTCCAAGGAAAATCCGAACCCTTGAACACCGATCGTGGTGTCGTTGCGAAGAATCAATTCAGTAAGTGAAAATAAATCTGAAACCGAAGTCAAATCACTTATAATTCATTATTCTAATTTATTTCACTCTATTTACAGCTGTACCTGGTCAACCGAGCAAACCTGAATGCATTGACGCCAGCAAAGATCACATTAAGATTAATTGGAAACCACCAATTAGTACAGGTGGTTCGCAAATTATTGGCTATGATGTCGAGCGTCGAGACCGAGCAACTGGTCGTTGGATCAAGTTGAATAAAGATCCGGTACAACAGACGGAATACTATGACGATCACGTAACCGAAGGTCATCAATATGAATACCGTGTGTCTGCCATTAACGCAGCTGGAGCCGGTAAACCAAGCGATACATCCGCCGTATTCACTGCCAAACCGATGAAAGAGAAACCCAAACTCTATCTCGACGGTCTCATTGGACGTAGAATCAAGGTCCGAGCTGGAGAACCCATCAATATTCATATTCCATTGTCTGGTGCACCCACACCTACAATCGAATGGACCAAAGATAAAATTAAGATTCCCGAAACACTTCGCATATCGGTACGTTGGAATTTTTCACTAAATGAACTAAAATATTTAACCTTCGCGCTACCAGGGGAATAAAAATTAAATCTTTTACAAAATTAAAAATTGAATTTGTTTTCTAGTCTGAGACCAAAAGTGATCATACTCATCTACTGGTTGATAAATCCGTTCGGGAGGACAGTGGGAAATATACGATCACAGCCGTTAATGATTATGGAAGAGATTCGGCTGATATTGACGTCATTGTCGTTGATAAACCTGGACCACCTGGTGGACCGATTCATTACACTGGAACGACACAAGACTCCGTTTCGCTCTCTTGGAATCCACCGGAAGACGATGGTGGTTCTTCCATTACCAATTACATTGTCGAAGTTGCCGACTATGGTACAGACAATTGGCGACAGGTGAGAATCAATTTAAATAAAATTGTCATTAATTTCTCCATAATCATTTAATTATTCAGTATAATTAGTAATTTAATTATTCAGTTTAATTAGTTATTTAATTATTCAGTTCAAGTAGTTATTTAATTATTGAGTTCAATTTCTTTATTAAAAATATGAATTTCTTTTAGTGTCCTGGATATTGTCCCACGACTCACTTCATTGCAAAGGGATTGTCCGAGGGCAAGAAATACGTATTCCGAGTTCGTGCCGAGACAATGTACGGCATCTCCGAACCATTGGAAGGCAAGCCAGTTGTTGCCAAATGTCCCTTCGATCCTCCAGATGCTCCAAGTCAACCGGAAATTCTTGGATACACGCCAAACAGTTGCAGTTTGACATGGAATCCACCTCTCAACACTGGTGGAAAACCTGTCACTGGTAAACAAATTGTTAATTTATTAATTGTCTACAATTTGAAATTCTTTTTTTGACCCTATGATAGAAACTAAAAAATACTTTTTCCTAGGCTATTATTTTCTTTTTGACACTTTTGATGCAATTTACGAAATAATTTTAGGCTACTATGTGGAGAAACGAGAACGTGGCGGCGAATGGCTGAAGGTGAACAACTATCCAACGCCGAACACTTCATTCACTGTACAAGATCTTCACGATGGTGGTCGATACGAATTCCGTGTGATCGCCGTTAACGAAGCCGGACCCGGAAAACCGAGCAAGCCAACCGAACCGATTACTGCCGGTCATCAAAGACGTGAGTCCTAATATTTATTCTCTTCTTCTTAAATAACTTGAGGCACAGCCAACTGTTAGATTATATTGAAAAATTAAATTTTTGGAAATTTTCGCTATTTTTCTTACGTTTTTGATTTTTTTTTAGTACCTCCTGATGCTCCCGAGCAACCGAAGCCCGATCGCATTACAAAAGATTCAGTCACACTCTCTTGGCGTCCACCACGCAACGATGGCGGTGCCAAAGTTCGAGGCTATATTGTCCAACAGAAGAAGGCGAGAGGCGATGAAGACTGGAAGGACGTTAATGGTGTCCCAGTACCAGCAAATGTCTTCACCGTTCCAAAACTCACCGAAGGCGAGGAATATCTATTCCGAGTTATCGCCGTCAACGACATCGGACAAAGTCCACCCAGTCGTCAAAGCAATCCCATTGTCGTCGAGGAACAACCCAACAAGCCAATCATGGACCTCGGAGGCGTTCGCGACATCACAGTCCGCGCTGGAGAAGATTTCTGCATTCACGTCCCATACGTTGGCTTCCCGAAACCAATCGCCACCTGGTTCGCCAACGACATCGTCAAAGACGAAACCGACTCACGCGTTCATCAACAATTGGCCGACGACTACGCCAGTCTCGTCGTCAAGAACTCAAAACGCTCAGACGCCGGGCAATATCGTCTCCAACTGCGAAACTCCTCCGGCTTCGACACTGCGACCGTCAATGTCCGTGTCCTCGACCGTCCAAGTCCACCTCAAAATCTCCGAGCCGACGAATTCGCCGGCGATGCCCTCACTCTCTTCTGGAACCCACCGAAAGACAACGGCGGCGCAGAAATCACGAATTACGTCATCGAAAGACGTGAACCACGACAACTCGCCTGGACTAAGGTCAGTGGGTACGTAACAACTCCATTCATTCGTGTCCGAAATCTCGAAGTTGGTTCCCTCTACGAATTCCGCGTCATGGCTGAAAATCAATACGGAACCTCAGATCCAGTGACCACCATCGATCCGATCCAGGCTCGTCATCCATTCGATCCACCAGGCGCCCCGGGAGCTCCCCGAGGAATCGAAACCACCGAGGACAGCATCACCATCACCTGGACCAAACCTCGTCACGACGGCGGTTCACCAATCACCGGCTACGTCATCGAGAAGCGTCTCATGAACGACGACAAATGGATCCACGCCACCCAGGCCTACATTCCCGAATCAACCTACAAAGTCGGCGGCCTAATCGAGAACCACGAGTACGAATTCCGCGTCGCGGCCGTCAACGCCGCCGGCCAAGGCCCCTGGAGCTTGAGCTCCGACGCAATTCGCGCCAGCGCACCAACCTGCCCGCCAAAGATCACCAGCGACCTCAGCATCCGCGACATGACCGTCATCGCCGGCGAACCCTTCACAATAACAGTTCCCTTCAACGCTCATCCAAAACCAAGACCCCACTGGTGCATCAACGGCGAGGACGTCCTCACCGACGAGCGCATCAAATTCGACACCACCGACCACGCCTCCAAATTTATCAACAAAAAGGCCAAACGCTCCGACACCGGCAACTACACAATCTACCTCACCAACACCGCCGGCACCGATTCCGCCAGTTGCAAAGTCCTCGTCGTCGACAGACCCTCACCACCCCAGGGACCACTCGACATCTCCGACATCACTCCCGACACCTGCGCCCTCTCCTGGAAGGCGCCCTTCGACGACGGCGGCTCACCAGTCACCAACTACATCGTCGAGAAACTCGATCCAGCCGGTTTCTGGGTGAAACTCAGCAGCTTCGCCCGTCACACCCACTACGACGTCATCGGTCTCGAACCCAACAAAAAGTACAACTTCCGCATTCGCGCCGAAAACCAGTACGGCATCTCCGATCCTCTAGTCGCCGACGAGCCAATAACCGCCAAATTCCCCTTCACCGTTCCCGAACCACCGGGCAAACCCAGAGTCACCGACTGGGACAGCACCAGCATCACCATCCACTGGGACCGACCACTCACCGACGGTGGTTCCCGAATTCAAGGCTACAAGGTCGAGTTCCGCGATCCAGCCGACGATGCCAATTGGCGCATTGCCAACGACTACCTCGTGAAGGACACCAGTTACATCTGCTACGGTCTCCAATGCGGACACGAGTACGAATTCCGAGTCCGCGCCAAGAACGCTGCCGGTCTCAGCAAACCGAGCCCACCCTCCACGACCTTCAAGCTAAAGAACAAATTCAACGTTCCATCGCCACCTGGCACACCCCAAGTGGTCAAGGTCGGCAAGAACTACGTCGATCTCAGATGGGAAGCCCCGGCATCAGACGGCGGAAGTCGTATCACTGGCTACGTCGTCGAGAAACGGGAATTCGGCGGCAGCGGCTGGATAAAGTGCAACGATTACAACGTCACCGATCTCGAATACACCGTCCTGCATCTCATCGAAAAGGGCGATTACGAATTCAGAATATTCGCCGTGAACGCCGCTGGAAGATCCGAGCCAAGCTCGTGCACAACCCCAGTGAAGATCTGCGAAGTCGAAGGCGGAAAGAAACCCGAATTCGTCCGATCATTGCCGTTCAGTCAAGCTGTACCTTTGGGCAAGACCCACGTTTTCGAGTGCGAAGCGACTGGAAAACCGATACCAACTTCTCGCTGGTTGCGAAATGGTCGCGAAATTACCAGCGGTGGTCGATTCAAAATGGAGTCGATCGAAGGTGTGTACAGATTGGTGATCTCCGAGGTTTGGGACGCTGACAATGGTGACTACGTTTGTCAGGCTAGTAATCCGGTTGGAGTCGCGAGTACTTCCTGTAGACTTAAAATCGGAACTCCGCCTAGAATCGATCGCCTACCGGAAGATTTATATTTGCCCGAGGGCGATAATACGAAGATCAAGATTTATTACAGTGGTGATCAACCGATGGACATAAAACTATCGAAGGACGGAAGGGAAATTGTCGAGTCGACTCATACCAAGTATACCGTGTTCGATGAGTACTTGATCATTTTTATCAAGGATGTGAACAAAGACGACGCTGGTAGTTACGAATTGTCGATCAAGAATAAGAGCGGAAGTGTCAGTGGGGCATTCAATGTGAATATTACAGGTCTGCCCGGACCACCAACGGGACCACTCGATGTGACGAATATCGATAAACACACTTGTACCCTAACTTGGCATCCACCGAAATACGATGGTGGTTTGAGAATCTCGCACTATGTGATCGAGCGCCGGGATCTTAACTACGATAGATGGATTATCGTCACTTCGTTCTGCAAGGAGCACAGTCATGTCGTTCTCGGCTTGACGGAATATCAAGAATATTTGTTTAGGGTCATGGCGGTGAATGAGAATGGTATGGGACCACCTTTGGAGGGAACGAATCCTATAAAGGCGAAGGGACCGTTCGATCCACCAGGTCCTCCGGGTACACCGAAGATCATTCAGGTTGGCGGCGATTTCGTCAATTTGTCCTGGGAGAAACCGGAGACAGACGGTGGGGCTAGAATCCAAGGCTATTGGATCGAAAAGCGAGAGATTGGAAGTCAGACCTGGCAGCGTTGCAACGCGCTCATTAGTCTCACGAATCAGATGAATATCAATAATCTAATCGAGGGAAGGCAGTACGAATTCCGTGTGTTCGCGCAGAACGAAGCGGGACTCAGTCCGGAATCTAAAGCCTCGACTTCTGTGAAGGTGAAAGATCCTCTAGAAGTGAAAGCACCGGAAGTATTGAAACCACTGGCCGATGTCAATTGCGTACAGAATCATAATGGACACTTCAAGTGTGTCATCAGTGGATCGCCGAGACCGAACATCACCTGGTTTAAGGGAGCGAGGGAGATTGTGAACGGATCCCGTTATCAAATCTACTCAGACGGCGATTGTCACAATTTGATAGTGATGGACGTATTCGGAGAGGACGCCGATGAGTACGTGTGCCGAGCGGTGAACAAGGGAGGCGCTAAATCGTCAAAGGGCGAGTTGTTTATCATGACACCGCCTAAATTGAACGTTCCCCCGAGATTCCGCGATCTTGCCTTCTTCGACAAGGGACAGAATGTCGACATCAAAATTCCCTTCACCGGATTCCCGAAACCGAAGATCTCATGGGTGAGGGAGGGCGAGACGATCGAGTCCGGCAGTCATTACGCTGTCGAGGTCACTGAACGACATGCAATTCTCACAATTCGCGACGCTAATAAAATCGACTCTGGTCCATATCGCATCACTGCTGAAAATGAACTCGGACAGGACTCGGCGATCATTAAGATTCAAATCAGCGATCGTCCGGATCCACCGCGTTTCCCGGTGATCGACAACGTGGGTCATGATTCATTGGCATTGAGTTGGAAACCACCGCTTTGGGATGGTGGCAGCAATATCACGAATTACTTGGTCGAGAAACGAGAGCATCCAATGAGCAGTTGGATAAGAGTTGGAAGTACGAGATTCTGTACAATGGCTGTCAGTAGTTTGAGAGCTGGTAAGCAGTACGATTTCCGTGTGTTCGCCGAGAATGTTTATGGACGCTCGGAGCCGAGTGAAGTATCGCCATTGGTCACCACGAAGGGATCGATTAAGAGGGAATTCAAGAAGAAGGAATATAAGGTCGATGAGACTGGCAAGAGAATACGTGGACGAGACGATGAGAAGGTGCAGAATTATGATCAATTTGTGTTTGACGTCTATAGTAAATATGTACCGCAACCAGTGGAAATTAAGCATATTTCTGTTTATGATAAATATGATATTTTGGAAGAAATTGGTACGGGAGCATTTGGTGTTGTTCATCGTTGTCGTGAGAGAGCGACTGGCAATATTTTTGCTGCTAAATTTATTCCTGTGTCACATCTCATGGAGAAGGAGCTTATTCGCAAGGAAATTGATATTATGAATCATCTTCATCATCCGAAATTGATCAATTTACACGATGCCTTTGAGGACGACGATGAAATGGTCTTAATTTATGAATTGTGAGTATTTACTTTAATATTGATCGACTAAACTTATATTTTATCTTTCTTTTACAGTTTTCTTAAAATTTAATTAGCTACTAATTTAAATTAGTCGCGACTTTTCATTAGCTGCTAATTTAAATTAGTCGCGACTTTTAATTAGCTGATACTTTTAATTAGTCGCGACTTTTAATTAACTACTAATTTAAATTGATCGCGACTTTTAATTAGATGCTAATTTTAATTAGTTGGTACTTTTAAGCAGCAGCTGATTTTAATTAGTTACTACTTTTAATTATCTACTAATTTTAATTAGTTGCTACCTTTAACTAGCTAATAATTCCGCTAATATCTGCGAAAAATTCTATTATTAGCAAAATAATTATGGGAACAATTTTAGAGAAATTTAGAAATATTGATTAATCAACTTTATTAGTTAATGATCTCAGTTTGGTAACTTTTACTAAAAATTAATTTTTTACAGCTTATCTGGAGGCGAACTATTTGAGAGAATCACATCGGAAGGTTACTCGATGTCCGAAGCTGAAGTAATTAATTACATGAGACAGATTTGTGATGCAGTGAAACATATGCACGAGAAGAATATCCTCCACCTTGGTGAGTGATTTTCTGCTTTAAAAAATCTAAATTAAATATTTTTTATTAAATTAAATACCAATTTAACTAAAGTACTTACCAAGCAACTTATTTTGAAAAATAATTGAATTGCTTCGAAGAATTTTATTATTTTATGAAAATAATTGAATTATAGCGAAGAATTTTATTAAAATTTTTGAAAATCCTAATTAAATTCTTTGGAAGAATTTCTTTGAATTTTTTTAAAATAATGAGGTTTCTTTAATATAATTAAAAATTTTTAGAGTAATTGAATTTTATTAAAATTTTTGGAAAATAATTAAATTTTTCTCCGAATTTCATTACAATTTTCTAAAATAATTTAATTCATTTAAGGAATTTTTTTTAAATATAGAAAATAATTCAGTTCTTTCGAAGAATAAATTCTATTAAAGGTTTTGATAATAATTGAATTCTTTCCAAAAATTTCTTTAATTTATTGAATATAATCGATTTTGTTAATAATTGTAATTAATAATTTTACTCTTAAAATTTTATTAAAATTATTGATAAAAAATTAAACTCTTTTAAAAAATAATATTTGAGTTTTAGTAAATAATTAAATTCTTATGAAGAATTTCTTTTAATTTTTTTTTCAAAATATTGTAGTTTTTTCAATAATTTTAATTGAAAATTTTGAAAATAATTGAATTTAACAAAAAATTTTTTAATACTTTTTAAAATAATCGTGTTTGTTAATAATTATAATTAAATATTTCATTTTTAATGTTTATTAAAATTGTATAATTGAAAATAATTGAATTCCTGAGGATAATTTTATTACAATTTATAAAAAATAATTTAATTGTTGCGAAGAATTTTACTATTTATAAAAATAATTGAATTGTTCCGAAGAATAATATTAAAATTTCAGTCGAAATAAATTAATTTTATGTAAATATTTGGAAATAATTAAATTCTTTCGAGGAATTCTATTAAAATTGGTTTGAAAAGAGTTGAATTTCTGCAAAGAATTTTAATATTTATAAAAAGTAATTGAATTATTGCAAAGAATTTTACTATTTATAAAAATAATTGAATTTTTGCGAAGAATTTATTAAAATTTTAGGAAATAATTAAATTGTTTTAAAGAATTTTATAGAAATATTTGAAATAAATTAAATTCTTTCGAAAAATGTTATTAAAATTTTTTTAAAAATTGAATTGTTTCGAAGGATTTATTGCAGTTTTTAGAAAATAATTGAATTCTTTTGAAAAATTTTATGACGAATTAAGAAAAAAATTGAATTCTTTCGTGAAATTTCATTGAAAATAATTAAATTTTTGTAAAGATTTTAGTATTTAAAAAGGATTCATTGAAATTTTAGAAAATGTATAAATTTTTGAATTCTTACGTGAAATTTTATTAAAATTTTGTTGAAAATAATTGGATTCTTCCGAAGAATGTTATTAATTATGAAAATAATTGAATTCTTGCGAAGAATTATATTAAAATTTTTGAAAATATGTATAAACAATAATAATTAATTATGTACTTAATAAGTAAATTTTTTAAATTTTGATTATAAAATTATTCAAAAATTTGTATTTGAATTTAAAAAATTTTGTAATTTCCATAATAATAAATCTAATGTAACGTTCCGCGCGCTAGTTAATTAATAATTAATTAAGTTTTGAAAAGTGTATTTGATTGTTAACCGAAATATCATTTTCTCTCGACAGACATAAAACCGGAAAATATTATGTGTCAAACACGTAACAGCACGAATATCAAATTAATTGACTTTGGTCTCGCGACGAAATTGGATCCAAATGAAATCGTCAAGATCAGTACAGGAACCGCCGAATTTGCTGCTCCTGAAATTGTTGAACGTGAACCAGTTGGTTTCTACACTGACATGTGGGCCTGTGGTGTCCTTGCTTATGTTCTGTAAGAATTTCTCCATTTTATTTTCCCACTTAATCTCTAATTTACAAAAATGGTAAATTTCTGTATTTTCTTCTATATAATTTATAATTATTAAATTCGTCTAATTTTTTTATTAGATTGAGTGGCCTGTCGCCTTTCGCTGGAGATAATGACGTCGAAACTCTAAAGAACGTTAAAGCCTGTGACTGGGACTTTGATGTAGAATCATTCCGTCATGTGTCCGATGAAGGAAAGGACTTTATCAGGAGGCTACTTGTTAAGAACAAAGAGTACGTACTTGCGTTGATTAATAATAACACGAATCAATTAATTATTTTATTTTTGTATTTAAATAATTTAATTTCTACTACTATTTATTATTATACATAGAAATAAAATAGAAATTATTCGTTTCTATTATTATAACAGGAATTATTAATTTGAAAAGAAATTAATGAAATTTTTTTTCGAACAGAAAGCGCATGACCGCTCACGAGTGTCTTATTCATCCTTGGCTGAAGGGCGATCACACCAATAGAACCGAATCTATCGACAGCAATCGCTACAAGAACTTTAGAGATAAAATCCGTGCCCAATATGCCAATTGGGATAAATATATTCTACCCATCGGCAGGTTAGCTGAATACTCTGCACTCAGGAAACTTCTTATTGAAAAGTACAGGATAGAAGACACCACAATAGGTAATAATATTTTTTATTTCTTAAAATCGAGATTTTTAATTAGTTTTAAATTATTTAAATCAATTGCAAATGATTTAAATCAATATAAAGTCAATAATTTAATTTTAAATCAATTGGAAATCAATAATTTAATTTTCAATCAATTGGAAAGCAATAATTTAATTTTCAATCAATTTGAAAGCAATAATTTAATTTTAAATCAATTGTTAATCAATTTGTAATTAATAATTTAATTTTTTGTCCAGATCGTAGACAAGCGGCTCCAAGATTCGTCATTAAACCGCAAAGTGCCTTCTGTTACGAAGGACAGAGTGTCAAATTCACATGTCGCGTTATCGCCCTAGCACCGCCTGTTCTCACCTGGTTCCACAATAATCAAGAACTCCGTCAATCCGTTAAATTCATGAAACGATACATTGGCGACGATTACACCTTCATTATTAATAGAGTGAAACTAGAAGACAGAGGAGAATATCTCATTAGGGCGGAAAATTCGTACGGCTTCCGAGAAGAAGTTGTATTCCTCAACGTTCAACGTAAGTTTTTCTCTATATTTTTTGTACTATTTTACGTATATATGAAGAAATAATCATAAATTTTTTATTAATGTTCTGCAGCTATACCTAAGGAGATTCCTGCATATCGTCGAGAATTGCAACCAATCCGAAGACGTGAACCACTGCCTTATCACTGTTGGGTGGAAACGACAGAATGCGCACCGGACTTCACTTTCTTACTCAGACCTCGTGTTATGCAAATAAGACAGACTTGCAAACTTTTGTGTTGCCTGAGCGGAAAACCACCGCCATCGGTCAAATGGTACAAGAACCAGAAAGAACTTTCCAAATATGAATATTCGATGACACATACCGATGGTGTTGTCACGATGGAAATCGTCGATTGCAAACCGGAAGACAGCGGCAAATATCGTTGCGTTGCCACCAACAAGCACGGCACTGATGAAACTAGCTGCGTTGTTATTGTTGAAGGTACACATTTTTTTCATTAGAGACTATTTTTAAGTTTAAATTCGAAACCAAATTGTTTCCCATATTAATTTAGATTTATTAATTAATAAAATTAAGTAATTAATTATTAGTTACTAAATTATGAATTTAAATAACAATAATATTTGCTTAAAGGTTCCGGCGAAACAGAAGAAGAAATTCAAATGGCCCATGACTTTTTGCATTCGGGAGGTAAGATTGGTTTTATCGACTATTGGAATAATTAGGAATATTTTCCATTTAACTAAATTCTCGTAACTAAATAAATAGAGTAATTTTTTATTGACTCTAGAGAAAAGTGAAAATTTTTTAAGAATATTTATTAAATAATTTCAGAACGTAAGTTCATTGAACATCCTCTAAAACCACCAATTCAACCAATCGTCACAGTACACACTTCGTCGGGATATAGTGGTTACTCCAGTAAGACAACTGGACAGGACATGTCGCGTAATTATTCTAGTTCCTCGTCAGCGTACAGAGACACCTCCAGTTCATCAACTCTCCAACAAAGTTCAGCAGTCGACAAATCTTCATCGAAGGTAAATTTTGATGATTCAATATATAGCAAACATTCCATTTTACTTTGAATAAGTAAAAATTTAATGTTATTAAATCAATCTTATTGTTAAGTTCTTCTTCTTAACTTCTTCATCAGCTGATTAAAATGAATCTATATTAAAAATTAATAATCTTAATCTTTTTCTTCTTCATGAGTTAATTAAAATTAATCTATATTAAAAATTAATAATCTAAATTTTATTTTTCTTTCTCTTCTATATTAATAATCGATGTATTAAATTCTTGCTAAGAATTTTATTAAAATTTGTAAAAATAATTGAATTATTTCAGAGAATTTTGTAAAATATTTGAAAATAATTAAATTTTTTCGAGAAATTTAATTACAATTTGTAATGAAAGTAATTGAATTCTTATACAAAATTTTATCACTATGTTTAAAAATAATTGAATTTATTCTAAGAATTTTATTAAAATGTTTTTAAAAAAATCAATTCTTGCGACAAAATTTATTCAAATTTTGAAAACAATTGAATTCCCTCGAAAAATTTCATGGGAATTTTTTTAAATAATTGAATTCTTTCGAGAAATTTCATTAAAATTACATTGAAAATAATTTAATTCTTGTGAAGAATTTTATTTTAATTTTTGAAAATAATATTATTACTAAAATTATATTAACAATATTATTTTTTTAATAATTGTTTTGAAGAATTTCTTTCAATTTTCTTTTTTTAAATAATGGAATTCTTTTGATAATTTTAATTGAAAATTTTCAAAGTCATTATGAATTTTATAAAGAATTTCTTTCAAGATTTTAAAATAATCATGTTTGTTATTAATTATAATTATTGAATTTTTACTATAATTTTTAGAAAACAATTAAATTTTTCTCAAAAGTTTATTACAATTTTTTTACATAATTTCATTCTCTCAAGGAATTTTATTAAAATATTTAAAATAATTGAATTTTCTCGAAGAATTTCTTTAATTTTTTGAACATACTCAATTTTGTGAATAATTGTAATTAATAATTTTATTTTTTTTTTTCATTAAAATTATTGATAGGTAATGAATTCAATTCTTTTGAACAATTTTAATAAAGTTTTTGTAAATAATTAAATTTTTTTGCAAAATTTTATTACAATTTTTAGACATAACTGAATTTTGCTGAAGAATTGAATTATTATTTTTGAAAATAATTGACTTCTTAGAAACAATTTAATTAAAATTGTATTGAAAGTAATTGAATTCCTTTGAAGAATTTTATTATTTTTGAAAATAATTGTTTTCCTTTGAAGAATTTTATTATTTTAAAAAATAATTGAATTGTTTTAAAGAATTATATTATTTTTTATAATAATTGAATTCTTTTGCAAAATTTGATTACAATTTTTATACATAATTGAATTCTTGCGAAGAATTGTATTATTTTTGAAAATAATTGAATTTCTCTGAAGAATTTTATTATTTTTGAAAACAATTGAATTCTTGCAAACAATTTAATCGAAATTGTATTGAAAGTAATTGAATTCTTTCGAATAATTTTATTACAATTTTTAAAAATAATTTAATTCTTACTTTAAATGTTAGTAAAATTGAATTGAAAATAATCGAATTCCTGCGAAGAAATTTATTATCTATAAAAATAAATTACGTACTGAATAATTAATTTTTTTTAATTTCGAATCTGAAATAATTGAAAAATTAGAAGTTGATATTTAAAAATAAAGAAGTTTGTAATTTGCTAAATAATAATAAATTTAATACCGCGTTTCTCTCGTTACATTTGCTACTTAATAATAATTAATAAAAAAACTTAAACTTAAACTTAATAATAATAATTGTTGTCTGTATTTTTATAGTATTTATATTTTACTATTAATTTATATATTCATCGACTTAAAAAAATATTCCAAAAATGTATTCAAATTTTCAAAAAATAATAAATATAAAATAAAAACTTGCAGATATCCACTGAGATAAGCGGAAAATTGAACGAATTGGCATCAACACCTGCGGTAGAAAAGAAAACGGCGAAGAAGTACGGCAGTAAACTCGATACAACCGGCAGTCCATCAAGGTCAAGGAGTGCAACTAAAGAATTAATTCGTAAGTGAATTTTTTGTAAAAAAAAGAAAATATTTTATTTCTTATTCTTTGATCACAAAACGAAGGCACGAGGTATATAAACTTATTTACATGAGTCATTTGTTTTTTCTTTTTTCAACGCTTTACATAATTAATTTTGGTTCTAGATCCTCCAGACGACGCGTCGATGTGTCCACCTAAATTCACTCAAGAACTGAGTGACATAACAATCGACGACGGAACTAAACTCGAATTAGTCGCCAAAGTTGAAGGCGATCCAGAACCACAAGTGAGCTGGACGAAGAACGATAATGTGAGTTTAGAAATTACATTTAAAATAAAATGATTACATTTTCAATAATTCAATATACTTGAATACTCAGTAATACTTCTTTCTTTTGATCGCATCTTTTTTTCTAACTTTTAATTAACACATTCTCTATTTGATTTTTTTTTGTTTATTTTTTACAACCGAATATTTATTTATTAGTTACTTTAGCGAATCTGTGCTTATTTGTTCGGAATAAATAATGAGATCTCTTTTTTTTGGCTTAACTCAATACGATTTTGTTTTGCAGCCTCTGAGCTCATCGGAAGTTATGGATCTGAAGTACAAAGGTGGTATCGCGACTCTAACAATTAAAGAAGTCTTCCCTGAAGATGAGGGCACTTATGTTTGTACGGCAACAAATAGTATTGGTTCTGTGACAACAACTTGTAAACTGACAGTCAATCGTAAGTACAAATTAGATAAAAACAAATCCTTACCTAATCTAACATTAAAAAGTTCTATTCTACATTAAAATAGTAAAACTTGTACATTGCAACCAAATGGCTGCAACTTTAATTTTATACATAAAAATATACACTAAAATAGTAAAAAAAAATCTAAATTACAATATTAAAAATTCGAATATTGAAAAAAAATGATTAATTACATAGCAATGGCAGCAGCGGAAAAACCGAAAGAAGAAGAAGAAGTGGAGAAGGCACCAAAAATAGTCGATCATTTGAAGAGTGCCGCTGTCATTGACGGCGAGTCCGTTACCCTCAGTTGTCGAATTATCGGCGCAAAGAAGTTTGATGTCGTTTGGCTACACAATAACAAGGAGATAAAACCAAGTAAAGACTTTAAATACACGAATGAAGCGAATATTTACAAGTTACAAATCGCCGAGATCTTCCCCGAGGATAGCGGTACATACACATGCGAGGCCTTCAACGACATAGGAGAGAGTTTCTCGTCCTGTACCCTTAATGTCCTTGGTGAGTAATTAAAAAAACAAGATCTTCTCATTTTTTTTAAATTTAAAAGAGAATTTCAAAGAAATTTTGAACTAAAATCGTCTTTACTTAATTTTTTTGTGTTTTGATTTCGATTTTCCAGTTCCCAACGAGGAACCCAAGAGTCCAGTGTTCACGACATTCCCACAGTCGGCAACCGTGAGTGAAGGTGAAGCGGTTAATTTTGCTTGCCAGACTGCAACTGCACCTTTAAAAGGTAATTTAAATTTATATTATAATAATTGTTTAATTTACAAAATGCTTAATCGACCAACAAAATATTTTATTATAGTACTTAAATCTAATTTATTAATTTTCTTTAGTTTACACAAAAAATAGAATAGAATTTATTTAGTATATTAACAGAATTAATAGAATAAACAAAAATAATAGAATAATTAACAGAAGTAATAGAACAGGGTTGCCATCAATCAAAATCTGATTTTACTTTCCCCTGATTTCTAAGACAAAATTTTGACTTTCTTCCTGATCCTGATTAAAGAAAGAAAAAATAAAAAAAATATTCTGATGCACTCTAAAAATAATTAGATAAATAAAAAATATTTGTAATACACTTATTTTTGAATATTTTTAATTGCAAAATTATTCAGTACATCAAGTCTATTAAACAAATATTTAATATTATTATTTTTCCATGGGAATTAAAATTTTTGCAAAAATTACAAATTTCATTTCTTCTGAAATTCAATAATTTATATAAAAATCACTGTTAGGTATTTCTCGAAAATTTTCCTCAAGATTTTAATTCAATTATTTTCTAGAATTTTTAACTAAAATTCTTCTTTGAATAAATTATTTTTAATCATTTTTGAGAAAGTTCCTTTAGAATTCAATTATTTATTTAAAGAAAAAGAAAGTCGTATCACTTTTGTATTTATTAGTTTATCTTTATTAATTCAAATTTAATTCTTGCATTGAATTTTATTAAAATTCGGGAAAATAATTTAATTGTTTTGAAAAATTTTATTAAAATTATCTTCAAAATATTTTAATTCATATCTAAAGAAATAAAATTCTTGAGATTAAAATTTTTAAACATAATTGTATTTTTTGAGAAATTCCATGAAAATTGTATTGAAAATAATTGAATTCCAGCGAAAAATGTTATTATTTATAAAAATAATTTAATTCTTGCATATTTTTGCGACAAATTTAATTCAAATTGTATTGAAAATAATTCAATTGTTAAGTTAAATTTTATTAAAGTTTAATAAAAAAATTAATTGAATTCTTTCCAGAAATTTTATTAAAATTGTATTAAAAATAATGGAATTTCTCTGAAGAATTTATTACAAATTTTGAAAATAATTGGACTCTTTTAAAAAATTTCATCAAAACTTTTACAAATAATTGAATTCCTTCGAAACATTTCATTATTTATGAAAATAATTGAATTCCTTTGAAGAATTTTATAATTTTTTAAAATAATTGAATTCCTTCGAAGAATTTTATTATTTTATTATTTTGAAAATTATTGAATTCTTTTGAAGAATTTTATTATTTTGAAAATATTTTAATTCTTTATTGGGAGAATTTTAATTTTTTTTAAAAATAATTTTCTTTTGAAAAATTTTATTATCTATGAAAATAATCGAAAAAATATTAAAAGAATTCAAATTCTTTCATATTTTTTCGACGAATTTAATTCAAATTGTGTTAAAAATAATTCAATTGGTATGTTCAATTTTATTAAAATTTATTAAAAATAATTGAATTCTTTCGAAAAATTCAATTAAAGTTGTTTCGAAAATAATTTGAAGAATTTATTAAAAATTTTGAAAATAAATTAGATTGTTATGAAGAAGTTTTTTAAACTTTTGGATAATAATTAGTAATAATAATTAGTTAGTTAATAAATGAATTTTTTTAAATTTTGAATCTGAAATTATTCAAAATTTGCTAGTTACTTATAAATTAAATTATTTAAAAAATAAATTCAATTTCAATTCTGTAAAGTTCAATTATTGTTAGAAATTGATAGAATTTCAAGTTAAATTAAATATTTTCAATATTTATAAATGCTGCTGGACAACAAAATTCAGAATATTTTATGAATTCTAAAGATTTAATAGTTATTCAGTTCTTTTGATAAAATTCCCTGACTTTTTCCTAATTTCCCTGATCAATTTTAATTTCCCTGATTTTCCCCTTAATTCCCTGATTTCCCTGACTTTTGGCAACTCTGTAGAATAATCAACAGAATTAATAGAATAATTAACATAAATAATTGTTAATAATTAATATTATTAATTAATTATGCTTATTGAATCTAAAAGAAGAAATGATTTATTTTAGTAACGTGGCTGAAGGATGGTAAGCCGATTGATGAAACGAGTAGCAGGTACACCTTCAGTGCGGACGGTGAAACGTCATTCAAATTAAACATAAAAGCATGTACAGCTGCGGACGTTGGACAATATTTAGCACGTGCTATTGGCAAAAAGGGTGAAACGAACGCCGCCTTCGCACTCAATGTCACTGCAAACGATCTCTGAGTCTGTCGTTAATCAGCCTCAATCATTTACGACTCATTAAATAAAAAACGAAAAAAAAATACGAGAAAAGAACGCAACTGAAAAACGAGAGAACAGTTACGTCAAATATGACATTTACCATTAATAAAAATAAAATATCGAATACAATGATAAAAAAAAAATGACCTGCTATCGATGCAGAGTCGACGAAAAACTAACGAACAATTAAAACACGATAATCGGAAGCAGGTCGTAAGAATGTCATCGAGTATGAGATAAAAAATATTCATGCATGGAAGTTGAAAGGATTCTTATTATTATTATTATTCTTATTATTATTATTACTTATTACTTATTTATTACCGATACAGCGTTTACAATTTACGCGACTTCATGCATCGTGACTAGAATTCGTTAATTTTTTATTTTCTTCTTTTCTAACGTGATGAGGAATTTAATTTTAATAGAATTTTGCCAGCATCCTCCAAAAAGAACATCATTTATTCTAGAGAAATTAAATTCTCCCTCCCGTTTGGAAGGAGAAATAGAAAAACAAAATGCTGTCAACCGTGTAATCATACGCACGTTATATTTGTTTTAAAGACTGCTTCCACTATAAAATATACGATAAAATAAAAAAATAATTATAAATTCTTACCTTAATTGCGAACAACAACCCATTCTCACTCATGAACTTTCCTCATCAATCTGAAAAATAATTTTCAAAATAATTTCATAATAATTTAAATAATTTCTTAATACCTAATTTAAAAAAATTTTTAAATAATTTTCAAAATAAGAATTTTATTAATATTTTAGAAAATTGTAATAATTTATTAGTTAGTAACTGGATTTTTTTAAAATTCTTATTACCAGCATATATAATTTATCTGGATTCAAAATTCGGAAGCATCCAACGTTGCTCTTGAAATATACTTTGGAATGTCTCTGATCGACGTAACTTAATATTGGTTTGTAAGATCCAGATGCATCACCAACTCTTACTCCCATTGTCCCATTATTATTAATAAACCATACAAAATGGTTATCTATCGTTAAAATATTAAAGCTTGATCCAACAGGTATTTCTCCATGAGTCACAAATGTAAAATTACTCATTCCACTGATTTTTTCAATAACGCAAATTTTCACTTTTATTGACTCCTCACGTTTAGTTTGAACTGGAAAAATACAGAAACAGAAAAAATATTAATAGTTTAAAAACAATATTTATTTATTTAGATATTAATTTTTATTATTCACGATTTATTCATTAATAATATGATTCATTAAAAATAAAATTATTATTGATAATAATTAATTAATAATAACTTTATTTCTTAATAATTAATTAATTTTAATACCTACGATTCATTAATTACTAACAATTATTAATAACTAGCAAATTTTACGCGCGAAAGCACGCTAAACGTGATATTCCATTTATTATTGTTATGCAAATTACAAGATTTGTTATTTTCAAATATAAATTTTTAAATAATTTCATAATCAAAATTTTAAAAATTCAATTAAAATTAAATAAATAATAATAAAAATTAAATTAACAGTTTATTTTCAAAAATTTTAATATAATTCTTCGTAAGAATTCAATTATTTTTATATAAATAATAACATTCTTCGGAAGAATACCATTATTTTTATAAATCCTATTAAAATTTTTTGCAAGAATCCAATTATTTTTAACATAATTTTAATAAAATTTAGCGAAAGAATTAATTCTTTTTATAATTCGTTATATTTTTCATTGATTCAATTATTTTTATAAATAGTAAAACTCTTTGCAGGAATTCAATTATTTTCAAACCAATTCAAATAAAATTCCTCAGAAGAATTCAATTTTTAAAAAATTTTGTAATAGGTAATTATTATTAATTTTGTAATTGAATAAATTCAATTATTTTTTGAAATCTTTATGAAATCTATCGAAACAATTGAATTATTTTTATAAATAATACAATTCTTTGCAAGAATTCAATTATTTTTATAAATAGTAAAATTTTTTGCAGGCTATCAATTATTTTCAAAACAATTTTAATTGAATTTCTCGAAAGAATTGAATTAATTTCAAATATTTCTATCAAATTAAATTATTTTCTAAAATTTTTAAAAATTCTTCGAAACAATTCAATTATTTTTATAAATACTCTTTTTTTTATACTCTTTGTAGGAATTAAATTACATTTAATCCAATTTATATACAATTGTACGAAAGAATTTAATTATTTTCAAAAATTTCCATTATATTCAATTTCAAACAAGAATTTAAAATTCTTTACAGAAATTCAATTATTTTCGAAACAACTGTAATTGAATTTTTCGAAAGAATTGAATTAATTAAAAATATTTCTATAAAATTCTTTAAAACAATTCAATTATTTTCTAAAATTTTAATAAATTCTTCGCATTGATTCAATTATTTTTATAAATAGTAAAATTCTTCGCAATAATTCAATTATTTTTATAAATATTAAAATTCTTTGCAGAAATTTAATTCTTTTCAAAACCATTTTAATAGAATTTCTCGAAAAAATTTAATTATTTCCAAATATTTACATAAAAATAATTTATTTCCTAAAATTTTAATATTATTCTTCGGAACAATATTCAATTATTTTTATAAATAGTAAAATTATTCGCAACAATTAAATTATTTTTATAAATAATAAAATTCTTCTTAGGAATTCAATTATTTTCAATACAAATTTAATAAAATTCTTCTTCATAAAATGCAATTGCTTTCAAAATTTTCAATTAAAATTTTTAAAGAAACTCCATTAATTTAAAAAAATTCAAAAAAATTCTTCAAAAGTATTTAATTAGGATTTTTCAAAATTGTAATAAAAATCTTCGCGAGAATTCAATTATTTTTATAAATAAAAATATCCTTTGAAGGAATTCAATTATTCTCTTCAAATTTTTTGAAAAGATTCTTTGCAAGAATTCAATGATTTTCAAAACATTAATTTTAAAATTGAAAATATTATAAAAAGAAAATTTTTAAATTAAGTTAGAAAAAAAAACAATCAACATCTAACTTCAAATTGCGAACAGATTACCGGAATACAACGATTATTAATATAGAAGAAGAAGATTAGGTATTGACTAATGATTATTCTTTAAAAATAAAATAGAAGAAACTTACTAAAAGCGTATAATTTGGTGTCATGGGATAATAGATTTCTAATTGCAAGTTGACAACTATTTGCAGCAATAATGACAGTCCATTCATTTTTTTTAACATCATAACTGTGTACTCCATCAACAGCAATGACAATTCTAGTATTGACAACACAAAAGGGTGGTATATCGGTGAACGTGAAAGCTGCATCCTTTCCTTTCGTCCAAACTCCTGTTTTTCAATACAGTTCGTTTTGAATTAGAGATATTCCATTCAAAGATACTAGTAAAAAAATAATAGTAAACAAATAATAAATCAACACCTGTATGAATGTCTAAAATGTGAACGGAAGTCAATTTTATACGATATTTTCCCACACCACCGATAAGCACCAATTTATTTCCAACAAACGTTGCGACCATATGTCGCCTTTCTTCCAGTAATCTAGAAAACAGAAAAGAACATCTCGATAATAATTTTAATCCAATCTATATTAATTAAATAATTAATAATAACTTTAATCTAATTCATTTTTATTTAAGTTGAAAAGTGAAAAAAATAATACCTTTCTACTCGGTACCATTTTTTAGTGATTAGACAGAATCGCGTGATATAAAAGTTGAATGTGCCGTGGCCCAAAAATTTTTCACCACCAACAATATAAATACTGTAACCTAATTATTGTGATAGATTAAAGAAAAAATTATAATTAGAAATTTTTTGATAAATGGCGATTGAAGTAAAAAAAAAAAGAAGTTTATTGGTAAAAAGAAAAAGACCTCTGCCAACAATCTGCGTTCCATTTTGAGTATAAATTTTGTAGCCATCAACCAATTTTGCCAATTCCTCTAGACGATGTCCGTCCCATGCGAAAACGGTTGCTTCTTCAAGACCATTGGAATTTGATCTAAATCCGGTGACACAGCTCAAAACTCTGGCTTTACATTCGCATGGTTTGTCACTCTGTAATGTATAAAAAAAATTACAGTCACTGTAATTTTACTGAACAATCATGCACAAATCTAAAAAAGTATCCAAATCGTAAAAAAAGTAGTAAACAGTAGATTTTAGTAAATGAATACGAGAAGCCAGTAAAATTTATATTAAAATTAACTTCTTTCCAAAAAAGGAATTTTTTAATTTTGAATTTTAATAAAAAGAACAATTAATTCACCTGTGAACTATCCTCTGAACTTTCAGAATCCCCCTCAGATTTCCTCTCATTTCGCTTGGCCCATTCAGTTAAAATCCTCCGTCGATGAGCCTCTGACGATCTTAAATTGGCATTATTGACAAGCGAAAAAAAATTATCCTTCGGCAAACTAATAACAGACTCTTCAGGTAAATGTTCAAAAATATCTAAACAAGTGGCAAAAACAACTTGTTTCAAATTATTTTGATTCAATTCCTCGGCGAGGAACCATAATTCAATCAAATTATCACGTTGCAGCCATTTATGTATAATAATATACGTTAAACTGTCAAGAAGATTGTCCACTGCATAGAAGGAGGCAAATCGAAAAAGTTCTAAAAGTTCTCTATAACATCTATGCACATATTTTGAAATAACCCTGTTATAATAGTGGCCCCAAATATCATCAATTAGATCCTCGTCATCTAGCCAATCGACAAATGTCTATTAAAAAAAAGAAAAAGAGAAAATAACATTAAAAATATTAATAATTATTTTATTATTTAAACTAGCAAATGATACGCGCGTTATTCCATTTATTATTATTACATACATTAAAAATTTGTATATTTTCAAAAATAAACATCAATTTTTGAATTATTACAAATTTAAAATTTAAAGAATATTCATTTATCAAATATTTTTGTTTATTATAATTCAAAAATTATAATAAAATTTGTCGAAATTCGAAACAATTCAATTATTTTTATAAATTGTAAAATTCTTGGCAAGAATTTAATTATTTTTGTAAATATTAAAATTCTTTGCAGAAATTTAATTATTTTCAATACAATTTTAATGGAATTTCTAGGAAAAGAGTTTAATTATATTCAAGATAATTTTAATAAAATTTCTCTAACAGATTCAATTATTTTTAAAAATTCTAATAACATTTTTCTAAACAATTCAATTGTTCTCAAAAGTTTTTAATAAAATTATTTATAAATTTCAATTATTTTCAAAATTTTCAATTAAAATTACTTTAAAAAAATTCATTATTTTTACGAAATTTAATGAAATTTTTCTAAATAAAATGTAATTATTTACAAAAATTCTAATAAAATTGTTTAAAAGAATTTAATTTTCTTTGAATAATTTTAATATTTCAATTTAATTTTTAAATTTTGTTATAAATGGTACTTGACAAGAATTCAATGATCTTCAGTACATCGACAATTTAATTATTTCTGAAAATAATTGAATTCTTGAATAGAATTTTATTAAAACTTTTTCAAATAATTGAATTTTTGCAAAATTTAAAAAAAAAGTGAATTTTTGAGAAGAATTTTATTAAAATTGTATTTAAAATAATTAAATTCCATCAAAAATGTAATTATTTATAAAAATAATTAAATTCTTGAAATGAATTTTATTAAAAGTTTTTTAAATAATTGAACTCCTGTGAAAAATTCAATTATTTTTTTAAATAATTGAATTTTCTCTGAGAATTTTTACAAGATTTTTAAAAATAATTGTAATTTTCGAAGAAATCAATTAAAATTGTATTGAAAACAAGTAAAATCCTGATAAGAATTTTATTATTTATATTTAAAAATAATTGTATTTTTTACGAAGATTTTTATTATTTATAAATTAACTTTCTGCAAAGAATTTTATTACAATTATTGAAAATAATTGAATTCTTGATAAAATTCAACTACTTTCAAAATTTTCAGTAAAAATTAGTAAAAAAACTCCAATATTTTCAAGAATATTGAAATAAAATCTTAAACACAATTTAATTATTTTATAGAATTTCAATAAAAATCTTGCCAAGAGATAAATTATTTTCAATACAATTTCTGTCGATAAAATTCTTGAAATGTATTCAATTATTTTCAAATTTTTTTTATAAATACTTTACAAGAATTCAATGATTTTCAGTAGTTTAATTTTAAATTTTTAAACATTTAAAAAGAAAAATTATTATTTCAAAGAGTTTTAAACTGCGAACAGATTACCGGAATACAACGATTATTAATATAGATGTTTATTTTTGTAAATATTAGAATAATTTACAATAAAAATTATAAAAAGGGTAAAAAATATATAAGTATGTACGTGTTAATTAAAACAGGTTTAAAAAATGCATGTGACAGATTAAATTTAATTCTAAATTCTATATTTACCTTTTGTGTTTATAAACATGTGGTAGAATATCAACTGATTAAACTAACCTTGAAAGTCTCGAGATTTACTCTATATTCTATGTCAAATTCCTTTTTATTACTGTCGCGATAATTCCCTGCAAAAAGTCTATTAAAATAAAGACTTTCATTCGAAAGTTTTGTTTTATTCACTTTAAATGGTACTCCTCTTAATTTTAAAACAACAATCTCTTCTTCCATTCCAAGTTGAAGGGACAATGCCGGTTCGTCCATATCAATATTTGCCTTATTATTTTTCTATATTAAAATTAATTACATACACTAACAGTACTCAGGACATTTATTAATTTTGCGCACAATTCACTAATTTAAAATATATTAAAATGTTTAATAAAATGAATAAAATCAATCCTAACCACTACTGTGCAGGGTCTGTGTTTTTTTACTGATTTTTTGAGAGACTTGACAGTTCGACTTTACCGACAGGAGATAAAAAAAGCGCTAAATTTAAACTTTCAATTTCTAATCTCTTATTACAAGATTACAAGATAAATTAACTGTTAATCAAATAAATCGAATAAATATATGTATTTATAAATAATAAATAAATAAGCAGACTATTAAATAAATTCTAAATATTTTTGCAAAAATTATCTTCTGTAGGTAAATATAACTTCGCCGCAGCAATGGAGATTGTCGAGTCGAGTGACACTCATAATTAAAAAAGAAAACAGTAATTTAACGTTTTTTTTATTAAAAGTAAAGTGATTGAAAGCGATTTTTAACACACATATAATCTTGATTTTCATATCAAACGGAGAAAATATACGAAATCGCAATTGATAAGAAATACGTCATTGTCGGCAACAAAAAAAAGGTCGGTGCGCCTTTAATGAAAAATATTCCGATATGACGTCCCAAAGGTTATTTAATTATTAATTATTTATCAATTTATGTATCCAGTGTGAAATTTCAAAAAGTGATAATGTGCTTGACTTTGTTGCAAACAATTATTTCTTGTTTCTCGAAGTCAACAAAGTGATAATTATAATAATAGTGATCAAGACTTTTCTCGAGTTAAAAGGTAAAAACGGTGAAAAACAATTTGCAAATACGCGACATATCATTGATTAATTTGTTACTTTGAAAAATAAATTAAAAGAAATGGCTACAGAGCGAACTCCTCTTACGGATAAAGAAACACCACCACCACCTTACACTCCAATTGCACCTCAACGTACGTATTTTATTTGATTTTTATAAATAAATTTAGAGATGAAAAGAAAAAATAAGTTTTAAGCAAATATTAACTAATAATCGACTAATAGTTGACAAACAGTCGACTAATAGTTAAAAATTGTCAACTAACAGTCAAATAATAGTAAACTAATAGTCAATATTATTGTATTTTTGAATATTATTGTATTGACTTATAGAAATATATTTCAATATTTTGCCTTAAACTTTGTCTCTTTTGCTTTATTTGTTACTAATAATTAAATATATTATTGCAGCAACCTGGCAATCACCTCCTGGATATTATCCGGCTTCGACAAATCCTTATCAACAAGCATCGACGACAATTGTCGTTCCTGAAATTATTCTCGTTGGTGCTTGTCCTGCTTGTCGAGTGAGTCACATTTGTTCAAAAATAGTTTTCCATTTATAGTTTCACGAAAAAATTTTCAATTAATTTCAATACTCACGGATTAAAATTAAAAGTTTCCTTCTTCTTATCTTCTTTGCTTTTACATTTATTTTCTATTCTTAGAAACGAGAAAAATCGAAATTTCTTATCGTATTTCATTTATAACAATTTCCTTTTGAAATTTTGAAATTGAATTTTCAGACGATTTCTGTAAAATAAAAAAATAAAAAAAACATTAAACATTATAAAGTAAATTAAATAAAAAATTTAAAGTCATTCACAATAATTTGTCCATTTGTTGATGAGAGAAAAACAAAAAAATAATTGTAAAATGGAAATAATTAACTAAATTATATAGCGAAAAACGCTTTTGTGAAAATATTAGTGAGAGAGCATAAAAATCATTTATTTTATTTAAACGAAAAATATTACTTATTCCTTTTCTTTGCAGGTGGGTGTTTTAGAAGACGATTACACATGCCTCGGTATTTTTTGTGCAATTTTTTTCTTTCCAATTGGAATTATATGTTGTTTATTATTGAAAAATAGACGTTGTTCCCATTGCGGTGCATATTTTGGATGAAATTCTCAACTTTGAAATTGATAATTGAAAACGATATTTACAAAACCTTGAAAAGAAGCGAAAAAAAACCAAATTAAATTACTATACTTTGAATATAAAATTATTTCAAGAAATCAAGAAATAAGTCCATTATTTGAAGAAAATTCTCTATTTTTGATAAATTTATTTAAAAAAATTCAAGAGATTAAGTATTAATAATAGCAGAGGTTGGAAAAATTTTCACACATATTCAAATACTCTCTACATTCCAATATAATTAGATAGTATTATTATTCGATAAATATTCATTAATTGAAAAAGGAGAAAAAAAATTAAAAAGAAAATAAAAGCAACCAAGTGCTTTTTTTCAAAGGAAAAAAAAGAAAATAATGTGATAAATTGATTCGAATTTAAATTCAAATAAAACAATGAGAATAAGGAAAAATTGAAAACAAAATTAATTGAAATTAATTTAATAATTTAATAAATTTAATAAATTTAATTTCAATTAATTTATCGATTTATTAAATCGAATCTCGATGAGTTGACAATATTCGCTTGAACTGTGTGCCATATTTTTTTTTCTTTTCTGTTTTTTTTTGCTAGAAATATGAAATATCCAGTTAAAGCTCATGCGAACCAGGAATTAGAGCAAAATATAAATTATACATAATATGCGTATAATATTTAAAAGATATTTAATATTGTTGATTAGTTTTATCGAGTTCTATTAAACTTAATTTAACGATTTATCAAGATTATTTAATTTAAAAAAAAAGTTCCAATAAAAGAAAAAATTTTTTTTTAAGAAAAAAGTTTCAAAAATGAAAAGGTCTTTTTGGAACTTTTATTGGAAAGAAAAAGGTTTTTTTTAAATAATTAATTATTTTAAAAAAACCTTTTTGTTCTTTTTTTGAAACTTTTTCTCTTTTGAAACTAGAATTTTCATTCTATAACTTACAAGAATATTCAACGTTAAAAATTAATCTCAAATTTACAGCAGGCAAACTTGAAGGGAGCTAAAGTTTGATTACAATTTATCCCACAATTGTTTATTAATGTGCAATAATTTTATCGTCTACGTAAATTCTATATTTTGTAACGAAACTTTTAAGAATAATTTCAGATCCAAAGAAATTTCTTTTCGAAATATTTGTTAAAATTTCTTATCAAAAGACTTTTTTAGACCTAAAGAAATTTCTTTTTGAAATATTTGTTAAAATTTCTACTCAAAAGATTCTTTCAAATTTAAAGAAATTTCTTTTCGAAATATTTGTTAAAATTTCTTATTAAATAGCAAAAAAATATCAAGGGGAAAAAACTGGATGAAAATTTTGAAAGAATTCGAAAATTACTATTCTGTAAAAAATTAGAGTATATCTAGTGTAAATATTATTTTTAATTTTAAAAGTATAAAAATGATTCTAAAGTTCTGAAAGTTCAAAATGAATGATATTTTATTTCTTTTTCAAATTTAATATTTTTATTACAATAATTTTCCGTAACTAGAAAAAAAAATTGTTTTCAAATGTAAAATTTAAGTATGCAATTTTTACTTTGCAATCAATATAATAATTTCTGAAAATATTTCCTTTACTTGAACGTTCAAAACTTTATATGTTTTGGATCTTTTTGTGGAGATTTAAAAAAAAATTTAAAAGCTAAAATAAAAAAAGCTTTTAAAAAAGAACGATTAAAAATATTTTATTGAAAACGTTTTCGTCATAAAGAACAATACACGGAAATTAATCAAAAAGTTACGAGATTTTAATTTAAATAATTAAGTTGATTTTAGAAACGAATATAATAGCAATAAAAAAAAATTTTTAAAGAACGAAAAAATTTGTAAAAAAAAAAAAATTTTACGAGATTTTCATAAATTTTATAAGAAAACAAAATCTATTTTTCTTAATTATAAGCTAAGTTTTTCCGCAAGGAATTTAGAAAATATGTTTGTAGACAAAAAAAAAGCTTTATATCTATTATTATACTGATTAATATAGAGTGTATTTTGCTCAACAAATTGTTTCATTTTGGCGTAATCCAAAACTTACACGACAATTTCATTTAATTGCCCTTTTGTTCTCCAATTTCGACCCTGACTTTGACCTTAAATCCCTCAAACTGACAATCAGAGTTCACTTCAATATTTTTTTTCAGCGATTAAACCCAAGAACAAATTAATTTATTTAATTTAAAAAAAAAATTTTCACGACGCAAAAAAAGGAAAATCGTAAAAAGAGGCAGTAATTTATTGAATGATAAAACTGAAAACTTCAGTGCGAAGAAAATTATGTCGTTAACCAAATACTCGAAATATCAGATTTGATTATAGTCAGGAGAAATAAAATTATAGATCGATTCCGGCAAATGGAGAATTATTATTGCAAATTATTAGGAAAAGCAAGGACATAACGTCTATGTGAGGAGAGGAAAATGGGCAAAAAAAAATGTATGATGAAGGTTTCCTGCAATGCCATTTACCCTACTGACAGAGTGTTTTTTTTATTTCTTTTTTTAACTATTCAGAATTTTTTTCATTGCCCTCACATATGAAAGTATCAAAACTTCCCGAGAAAAGGAATATGTTATATAAATTTTAATCTTTATAACCAGACATTATTTTTCAAAAAAACAATAACGAAACAAGTAAAAAAAATGTGTTTTTTTCGTGTGTGACATATCAATTTTTAACGAATTATCAATAAAATTATTATATTTTCCATTTCAAGGAAAATGTAGTATTAAAATTTTAGTATTTTTTCACCCAGTATTGCATTGAGTACGTCATTAATTAATTGCAAACAGAAATTGAACTTTATTAATATGATAAAAATGCGTAATCGCCAATCAGATAAGACAATGATAATTAAATTGCAGAAGAAGCTGAAGAAACACTCTTTTTAATGAGGCATTCGGTTCGCAATAAACGCGCATCTTGTCATCACAATAAACGAAAGGAAATAATTTGTCTTTTTTTCAAAATTGAAAGAAAATGAAAAATTTTATTTAACAAAAATTTAAATTTTAAATAAGATTTAAATTTCGAAATCGAAAAGGTTTTGTTTTCTAAGTTCTTCAAAAAGTGATTCAATCGAGAGCGACAAGAACGTCATAGAATTTTTTTTTATTCCCTCCGAGAATATTTGTTTTAATTGCGCGGTGATTGGCGATTATAACAACGAACACTAGGTCACAATCTCGTACCTGGGGAACGTGTCAGAAGCGGAAGAGAAGAAGAAAAAAAAAACAAAGTGAAATAAAAATACCTGACAATAATTTTCGGGGGGGAATTTTTATGACGAGAAGACGTCGTCACCACGAAGAATTTGAAATAAAATTTCCAGGAAAAGGATTTTATAATTTATTGATGTGTGAAACGCTATAGTTATGGAGAGTTTATAAGGAGTAAAAACTATGACACGATTCAGAGATACGTAAAGTGTATATAGTCTCTCACATGGAGGGAGTTCACAACGTTTGTTTTGTCCTTGATACAAACTTTTAGCTTGCTTTTAGCGTATAAAGGAAGCCGAGGCCGTAAACGGAGGTCCAGAACGAATCGATCTACCAAGAGAGCAATGCCAGCTAATGAAGAGACCATGGAAGAGTGTTTGTGTCAGGAAGTTGATTGTAATACCTTTGGGAATACGACGAAAACAACAACAACAACGGGGATGACTTGCAATAATTCCAATGGTCCAAAGAATTTTTTAAAAAATTCACAAAACGGTACCAAGAGTTCTTCCACGGTCAGCACTTCGGTCAACGATAATGAACTCGCGGAATCCCTTCGCAGTCTCCCATCGAGGCGCGAGCACGAGAAATTCATTCGTGATTCTGTCGATTTAATTCTCAACGATGCTGTCTTCGAGGTGAGTGGCCTGCAAAAAATTTATAATCACTATTTTTTCAATCACTCAGTAAACAAACAAATAATTGCAAAACTATTGTTACAAACTAACCGAAATCTATCATTAAACATTTTTAATTAAAAAATTTTTAATTAGAAATTTAAATTAGAAATTAGAAATTTAAATTAGAAATTTGAATTTACATTAAATTAAAAATTAAAAAATTGTATTTAAATTAAATTACGAATTAAATAATTTTATTTAAATTAAATTAAGAATTAAAAAATTTGAATTTGAATTTAAATTTCAAATTTTCAATTCTTAATTTTTAATTTTTAATTCTATTCAAATAAAAATTTTTAATTCTAATTTAAATTTAAATTTCAAACTTTTCAATTTGAATTTAAATTCAAATTTCAAGTTTCAAATTTCTAATTTTAATTTAAATTCAAATTCAAATTTCATGTTTCAAATTTTTAACTTTAATTAAAATTCAAAATTAAAATCGAAAATTAAAATTCAAAATTTGCAATAAAAAAATTTCGGAGCAACTCTCAAGAAAGATTAGAACTTCTAACTCAATAATCAAGAACACAAATGAAATGCAAGTAGGTAAAACACAAATTAATCCACTTGTTATATATGTTGAACAAATAACACTGATTAAACTCGAGCGAATTGGAAAACATTTTCACAGTAAACAAATAATTCGATTATTGAAAGAAAGTAATTGACGGAAAAAATAAAATTGGTTTTAATGAAAAATTTTTATTTCTATTTTTTTCTCTCTCTCTCTCTCTCTCTCTCTCGACTATTATTAAAAATTATAATTTTGAATACAAGTTTAGAAAAGTATAGTGGAAAAAAATAACGGTAATCTCGCCATGAATTGCATAAGGAATCTTTTTCGAGATGATAATAATGTAAAACGTTTTTCATCGAGTGAACAAACTCAATGCATAAATGGTATGATTAATGAGATCAGCTTCATAAATAAATCATACTATATCCACTTATCATTCTTAGCTCCTTGACTTCTTCAAACGAGAATCCAGGAGAAAAAAGTCAATACAATTCATTATTATTACATTCTTACTTTAAAATCACAAATTTTACATATTTATTTGTAAATATCAGTGAAATTTCATTGTTTCTCTAAATTTTCCTGTCCTTATGTCAAATACAAACAATTTACTCAAAATTTTGCTAAAATTTTCATTTTTAATAAAGTTTATCAAAAAATGGTATTTTGAATATTTGTTACTATTTTTATTATTTATTCGTATTTTGATTCCATCATTTGTTTTTATTTTTCATTTTATATTAATAAAAACAATTATTATTTAAAACTTTTGAAAAATTAATTTTAATTTTTTTTTTATTTCTTACTATTTGTATTATTTATTTATATACTTATATTATTTTGTTTCCACCATTTATTTTTATTTTCTATTTATTTATTAATTAAAATATTCAATTTTTCATTAAAATGAAAATGAAAATTTTCTTTTTCGTACATTCTTTTTTAATTAATTAATTTATTTATTTTCTATTATTTATTCAATCACTATTTTCTTGGTTTAAAAATTTAATATTCTGAGAATTATAGAATTTTCGAAAATAAAGTTTATAGGTAAAATAATAAATTTTTATTGGGTGTTTATAATAGACGAATTATTCAATTTGTGGAATTTAGAATTTAAAAGGAGGCGATTATGGAAATCTACCGAGATTTCTATGGGTTTTCCTTGACTGACAAGCATATAAAATCCATTTCGCGTCTTTTATATAAATATACACTTTCCCTGACCTACGATTATTCATCATATTATGAGTGGATTGATTTAAATTTCTTTAATTCAAAAGAAATTTCAACGAAATGATAAATTTCAATTTCTTTTCTTTTCAAAATAAATATTTTTTCTTCTCTGTAAAAATTTTAATTTATTGTTTACTTTTTAGTTTTCTTTCAAATTTTCATTTAGTATAGAAAAAATATTTTTCCTTAAAATTAGTATTTATTTTCATTTTTTTTTCGAATTTTATCTCAAATTAGAATTTTTAATCTCAAAATTAAAATTTATCTGAAGTAAAAATTTTTCAATAAATTGAAACTTGAAATTACTATTTGTCAAATTGTACGACCTATTGGATCAATGAACTTAACTTATCAGTTCGAACAAAATGAAAAAAAAAATCTAGAAAGATTAGATTTAGGATGAGACTGTTGTTCAAGTTCCATATTTGTGAATTTATCAGAATAGAGATAATTCTTAGAAACAAAATTAACTACAAGTTCAGGGCAACTGTCAAGTTTCCTTCACGATTCGTACGCACCCATTTTTTTTTTTTTTTTTTAATTTTTCTCAAGGAAAAAATCAGTTACCTTCAATGTCTTTTTTTTCGTAATAACAATTTTTATGCCTAGAATGCAACAAAGTATGTTATTAGGTGTGCAATTAATCTAATTTCCATCTTGAAATTAATTTTTTTTACCTTTTGTAACCTTTATTGAAATTGCTCGATTTACACAAGTTGCATTTAAATAACTTCGATTTTTTCTTCCCTTGAGAGAAAAAAAAGAATTCCTTTTTTTTTGTATCGAGAAGAATTTTAATAGTAACATTATTATAGAATATTATTAATAAATTTTTCTTCACTTGAAAAAAGATTCTTTTTTGTAACGAGAAGAATATTTTAATAGTAACATTATTACAGAATATTATTAATAAATTGTTCTTCACTTAAAAAAAGATTATTTTTTGTATCAAGGAAAATTTTAATAATAACATTATTATGGAATATTATTAATAAATTTTAAATAAAATCGAATGAATTAAAAACACCATTCTTCGATTAAATTTATTATAGTTAAATAATTTTTTATTTTATTTCTATTACTGTCATAGTTTGCTTTCGATAGAAATAAAAAAATCTCTATTATCACTAAATAAAAGAAAGTTGAAGATTTAATTATTTTCAAAATAAATTTTCTTGAAAGTGTAAAAAAATGAATTTTTCCTTATCGTCTTTGTTTTGAAGATTTTTTCCCTGTGAATCTTCTAGTAGATAAAAAAATTTAGTAAACAATAATAATCTAATTATCCATGACCTTTATCATAAAATTCCTATCTAATTTATGACACGTGACTAATATTCTAACTTCTAAGTAATAATAATATCAATTCATCAACCACCTGCTATTCGTAATTAAATACCAATTATGTGATTAATTGATTCATAACAAATGCTGTAGAAATGAGTTGCATTCGCCTAATTAGTTCATAAAACATATTTCCATTCATTTAGAATAAGGTAAAGAATAGAATAAAGTAAAATTTTAGAATACATAAATTAAAAAAAAAAGAAAAACAAACAAAAAAACTAATTCTTTGTCAATTTTAATCAATATAGAGGACCAATTACAAGACAGTGTCATGTTCGCTCATAGCAATCATGCATGAAACTGACGTTTTTCTAAACTTTCTATCGTTAAGTCAAGGCCGTTGAAACATAAAATAAAAAAAATGTTTATTTACAAACTGGATCGAATCAATTTGACAAATTTCATTCAAGAAATATTATTATGTCTGATTACAATATTTTTTTTTCAAGACATAATTCAACTTCTTTTTTGTAACTATTACTTTCTCCTTTTGTATACAAAATATAAATGAAGAAAAGTACATTTAAAATTAAATAAGGAATTTTTGAATAAAATAAAAGTATATGAATAAAAGTAGATTTAAAATTAAATACAAAATTTTTATACAAAATATAAATGAATAAAAATAAATTCAAGAAGAAATACATTTTAATTTATTAAAAAACGAAATAGAATTTTTAGTCTTCAATGAAATTTGCATATTTTTACAAATCCAAATTTTCATTTTTAATATTTTTAATATTTTTTCATAATTTTTTCTATTCTATCAAACATATAGGCTTCATTATCGATAATTAATTTTAAAAAAATAGCTTTAACACTGAAAAAAGTAGCTATCAAAAATTAAATTTGACGACTCAATTTTGTCATAATATTTCTAAATTAAATTACATTCAAAAATAGAAAAATATTTTTTAATAAAAAATTTAAATACCTATTTATTTTTCCACAGGAATTAAAATATTTTAAATGATTTCAATATAATAAAGAATTTTGAAATTTAATTATTTCTAAAAATTACAACTAAGTAAAATTATTCGAAACATTAATAATTTTATTTAGAAATAAAAATTTAAATATTATTACAGTTTGACAACAATTAAAATTTTCAATGATTTCAATTTAAAAATCTTGTAAATCAATTATTATCTAAAATTTTAAATGAAATTCAATTTTAAATCAATTCCTATTAGAAATTTCAACGAAAATTAAATTATTTAAGTCCAAAAATAAATAATTTGTTGAATAATTGAATATTTCTTAAAATTGAACTCTTATAAAAAACTTTATCAAAATTTTTTAAAATAATTGAATTCTTTCTAAGAATTTTGATTAAATTTTCAAAAAAAATTTTCGGAGAATTCATTTAAAATTGTATTAAAAGTATAAATTGAAATTAAATCAATTTGAAATAATTAAATAATTGAATTTCTAAATAATTTAATTCTATCAACAAAATTCGTTAAACTTTTTAAAAATAATAATTCCACCAAAAAAATTTATTCAAATTGTATTGAAAATAATTGAATTTCTGCAAAGAATTTTACAAGAGGTTTTGAAATTAAATGAAATTTTCCAAAAAAAATCTATAACTTATGAAAATATAAAATTCCTAAGACGAATTTTATTTGAAAAATGTTTTAAATTCTTTTGAGAAATTTTATTGAAATAATCTACATATTGAAAATAATTGAATTTCGAAAAATTTTTTAAATTAAATTTCCGCGAAGAATTTTATGACAATTTTTGAAAATAATTTAATTCTTTCAAGAAATTTAATTTAAAATGTTTTAAAAAATAATAATTAAATTCTAATAAACAAATTATAACAAAATTTTTAAAATAATTTAATTGTTTCGAAGAAATTTAATGAAATTTTTAAGAATAGGTAATTGCAGTTTATGAGGAATTCATTTAAAATTTGCAATAAAAAATAATTGAAATTCTGTGATGAGTTTTATTATTAATGAAAATAATTGAATTCTTGTAATGAATTTTATTAAAAATTTGTTTAAATAATTGAATTCTTTTGGGAAATTTTATTATTAAAGTAATGGATTTATAGAAGAATTTTAGTGAAAAACACTAGAAAAAATTTAATTGTGGAAAAGTTACAAATGATTGCAAAAATTTAATTATTTTCAAAAGTAATAAAATTCTCCGTTGAAATTCAATTATTTTCAAAAAATTTTAATAAAATTCTTTGCAAAATTTGAATTATTTTGAAAATTTTTTCTAAATTCCATGATTTTCAATAATATCTACGTATTTTAATAAAATTTTCCAAAAGAATTAAATTATGTATTTAAAAAAAATTGTAATAAAACAAACGCAAACATTTTTAATTATTTCCTTAAATTTTCTTAAATAATAAAATTCTTCGCAAAATTTCAATTATTTTTAATGCAATTTTAATCGACTTTCTTGAAAAATGTAATTAATTATTCTTAAAAATTTTTGTTTAAAATTCGTCGAAAGAACAAAATTATTTAAAAATTTGTTGATAAAATTTATGAGAATTCAATTTTAAAAAACATTCAATTATTCAATAAATTATTTATTTTTGTATTTAATTGAATTCTCGTAAAATTTTCCAATAAGAATTGATTTAAAATTGAATTTGAGTTAAAATTTCAGATAATAATTGAATATTAAAAGCATTATAGCTTAAATTTTTAAAAGGTTTCAAATTTAAATCTTTGAAAATTTGAATTTTTGATAATTTAAACTAACAATTCTGTATAGAATTAATTTTTTTAAAAAAGTTTAATTTATTTTTTTAAAGTTAATTTCAACTTTTTATTTTTTAATTGAACAATTGAAGAATTTCCGAATAATCGATGAAAGTTCACGTAAAATTGAACAGTATACAAACAATATTTTTATAATATAAAATAATTATTTTATCACTCAGGCATCTTCCTGTTTTTTAATAAAATATTCTTGTAAGTTGTTGAATTTCAAGAAGGTTTGAATTTAAATTTTTGAAAATCTTAATTCCTATGGAAAAATAATAATGATTAAATATTTATTTAAAAAAGAAGTTATTGATGTTTTTTAAATAATTGAAAAAAAGAATAGAACTAAGAAAATAAGAAATACAGTGTAAACATTACCTATTTCGTTTGTTAATTTTTTCTTAACCAGGGTCTCTCGAGGAAGAGCAAAGTTGTCGAATGGGTGGAACCATTGGATCTCAAATCAATAATAAACTTCAATCTCGCCGACGACGGTGTCTCACAGGACGATCTTCTCAAACTCGCGAAATCAGTGATAAAATACAGCGTAAAAACTGGACATCCACATTTTGTAAATCAATTATTCTCCGGACTCGATCCATACGGTCTCGTTGGTCAATGGCTGACAGACGCTCTAAATCCTTCAATTTACACCTACGAAGTATCGCCCGTCTTCTCATTAATGGAAGAGGAAGTCCTCAAGGAATTACGACGAATTGTCGGCTGGAAAGATGGCAAGGGCGATGGCATTTTTTGTCCCGGTGGTTCAATGGCAAATGGCTATGCCATTAGTCTCGCGAGACACAATAAATTTCCAAAAATTAAAGAAACAGGCCTCTGTCAATTGCCACGACTCATTGTCTTTACTTCTGAGGATGCACATTATTCAGTGAAAAAATTAGCATCATTCATGGGAATTGGAATGCAAAATGTCTTCTCAGTGAAGGTTGATTCACGTGGTAAAATGTGCGTCAAAGATTTGGAGAAACAAGTTCAACAAGTTCTTGATGAGGGTGCAGTTCCTCTAATGGTCTCAGCGACCGCTGGCACAACCGTTCTCGGCGCTTTTGATCCTCTCTTGGAGATCAAAAAGATCTGCGATAAATATCAAATGTGGTTCCACGTCGATGCCGCTTGGGGTGGAAGCGCCTTGATGTCCAAGTGAGTCTGAAAATTCAGTTTCATTTCAGTTACAATAATAATAATAACAATAAAAAAAATAATAATAATAATTACAATAAAAATAATAACAATAAAATTTTAAAAAATAATATCCATTCTTTAAAGAAATACAAAAACAATTTACAAGTAATTCCAGATTTTTTCTCAATCGAAATAATTTTATTAAGTTAATTTAAAGTTTCGAATTAATTACAATTCCAGATTTTTTTCTCGATTGAAATAATTTTAATCAACTCAATTCTAAAATTTTAAATTAATTACAAGTAATTCCCGATTTTTTTCTCGATCGAAATAATTTTAATAAACTTAATTTAAATAACAAAAATTCACAACAAAATTCTCAGTTCCATATTTCTTTCGATCGAAATCCTGTTAGTTAAGTTAATTTAAAGTTTCAAATTAATATAAAATAGAAAAAAAGACCTCCACATTATGAGAATGGCAATAAATAATACATGAACATTTTTTCATAAACTATTAACGTTCGACAAATAACGTAATAAATAAATAATTGTAACAAAGTAAATAAATACCTACAACATAGTTGTAAATGAAACTATAAATCTTGTACAATCGGTATGAAAAAAATTAATGAAGCGCTTAAAAAGTCACACGTATTAGCAAAAAAAAAAAAAACAAGAAAAAAAAGAAACTGAAAAATGAAAGTAAATAGTTCAATGCAAGGTCAAAACCTTTCTATTTTCTAAGCAAAAAGAAAAAATCTTAAATGGAGTATTTTAAATATTACCCTACAAAAAATGCAATTTTCAAATTATCTATTACATTGAAGTTAATGATAGGTTGAACTATTTAATTATTGTATAATTTAAAATTCTATAACGATATCGGAATTTTAAATTAATCTGGTATTACCAGTTATTGAATTTTGTATTTTTAATTTATTTTTTTATTTTTAATTTTGTATTTGGCAATTTTAATTTAATATTTAGTATCTATTTTTAATTTAGTATTTACAGGGTCGCCAGAAAAATTTGATTTTGTTTTTCCCTGATTTTCAGACAGAACTTTGAGTTTTTCCCTGACCCCTAAGAATATTTTAATTTTAATTAACATCAAGTTTTTTTTAAATAAATATTTAATTATTATTATTTTTCCAAAGGAATTAAGATTTTTAAAAATTTCAAATTTCAAATCTCTTGACATTCAATAATTTATAAGAATTCATTGATAGACTGTAACTTATCCAAAATTATTTTCAAGATTTAAATCCAATTATTTTCCTGGAATTTTTAATTAAATTATTTTTAATAATTTTGGAGAAAGTTCTTAAAAAATAAATTATTTTTCTCGAATTTTTAATTAAAATTCAACTTTAATTCAATTACATATTTTTAATATTTTTTGAGAAAGTTCTTAAAAAATTCAATTATTTTCCTCGAATTTTTAATTAAAATTCTACTCTAATTCAATTATTTTTAATAATTCTTGAGAAAGGTCATTAAAAAATTCAATTATTTATTTTAACAAACTAAGAAATTTCACCTAAAATATTTCTAAAATTTACTTGTTTACACAATTGAATTTTATAAAATTTTGATAATTTGAAAATTTTTCTATTAAATATATCCATTATATTCAAAAATACAACTAATTTCGAAAAAATTAAATTAAATTAAAAGTTTAAAAATAAAAGTTTTTAAAATTCAACTTTTCTAAAACTTCAATCTGAAACTTTTGGAAATTATAATAATTAATAATATTCTATTATATTAAATTAATTTACATACTAAGAAAAACTGAATTTTATTTATTTTTAATAAATTAGAGAATTCATATTAATTTTGTTCCAGTTTTTAAAAATTTCTACTAATTGAATTTTAGAGAATAAGTTTTTTCGTAAATATTATCGCAAACAAAAATGTAGAAATTAATTTATTTTTCACAATTTTGCCTTAATTTGTGAAATTGTTTCTATTTTGAAAGATAAAATTTTTGATAATTTTTTATATTACTTTTAGTAATTTTTGTAATGTCTTAAAATTTTGAATTTGAAAAAATTCAATTTTTACATAGAATTTTATTCAAATTTTTAAAAATAATTGAATTGTTTTGAAGATTTTTATGGAAATTGAAATTTTAAATCTCAAAAAATTTAATTCTTTCGAGAGAATTTCAATTAAAATTGTATTTGAAAATTTTGAAAATAGTTCAATTCTTTCCAGAAATTCAATTAAAATTGCATTGAAAATAATTGAATTCCTGTGAAAAATTATATTAATCATAAAAGAATTAGAATTTCTGCGAAGAATTTTATTAAAATTATGTTAAAAAAATAATTAAATTTATCTGAAATGAAAAATAAAATTTTTGTAGCAAATAATTAAAAATTTCTGAAAAGAGATTTATAAAAATATGTTTAAATAATTCAATTCTTTTGAGAAATTTTATTAAAATTTTATTAATTGTATTGAAAGTAATTGAATTTTTGCTAATTTTTTTTTTGACGAATTTAATTAAAATCGTATTAAAATTAATTCAATTCTTAATATAGAATTTTATTAATATTTTTAAAAATAATTGAAATTCAGCAAAGAATTTTATTAATATTTTTAAAAGAATTGAAATTCAGCAAAGAATTTTATTAAAATTGATTAAAAATAATTAAAATCCAGCGAAGAATTTTATTTTTTAGAAAAATAATTGAATTCTTGCACATTTTTTTGACGAATTTAATTAAAATTGTATTAAAAATAATTCAATTCTTATATTGAGAATTTTATTGAAGTTTATTTAAAATATCAAAGTTCTGAATTTTCTAATGAATTCTAAAAGTTTAATTTTTTCCAGAACTTTTAATAAAAATCCCCAACTTTTTCCTGATATTCCTGACCAATTTTGCTTTCCCTGACTTTTCCTAAATTCCTTTTTGTTTTCCCTGATCTGTGGCAACCCTGATTTAATATTTTGAATTTAATTTTTAATATTAACTAAAATTATTATGAATTTTTGAAATACTTATTAAAAATATTTGTTTTACAAACAGAAAACATCGTCACTTGCTGGAGGGAATTCAGTTTACAGACTCCGTCACGTGGAATCCCCATAAAATGTTAACAGCTCCTCAACAATGTTCAACATTCTTGACACGTCACGAAAATTTGATGCAATCAGCACACGGCGCAAAGGCCACGTATCTTTTTCAAAAAGACAAATTTTACGACACATCCTACGATGTTGGCGACAAAATAATTCAATGCGGTCGACGTGCTGATGTCTTTAAATTTTGGTTCATGTGGAAGGCAAAGGGCACCGCAGGCTTTGAAAAACACGTGAATCATGTCTTCGCATTGTCCCGCTATTTCTTGGAGCTGATAAGAAATCGTAATGGATGGCAATTATTAATGGAACCAGAGTGCACAAATATTTGCTTCCGCTATATTCCACCATCCAAACGACAAATGACCGGTGAACAATTGATGAATGAATTGCATAAAATTGCGCCGATAATAAAGGAAAGAATGGTGAAACAAGGCTCGATGCTCATCACATATCAGCCTTTGAGACAAAATAGAAATTTCTTCAGACTCGTTCTGCAAAATTCAGCATTGACCCAGGAGGATATGCAATATTTCGTTGAGGAAATTGAAAGGTTGTCTAGTGACCTTTAATTACCTGTAGAAACTCTCCCGTCCCCCCAAAAAGAAAGTAAGAATTATTTTTCAAAATGTAAATATAGATTAGAAAAAAAGGAAAATGCTCAAAATTTAACTTTTTTCTTGTAAAATTTAATTAATATAATCGAAAGCACAATTATCAACAAAGTGCTATTTACAAATCAACGACATTTAACAGTAAAACGACAGTTAAATTCGAACGACAATTATTTCGATCAGTCGACAAAATTCTCTTTGTAGTCAAAAGACCGGAAAATTCTTTTTGCTTTTCAAACGTGTATATAATATTATATATATAAGTACATTAAAATTATTATTTGTCAGCATTGAAATTTTTTTTTTTCATTTCTATTATTGTCATTTTAACTATATTCTTTTAGGAACTTTATATGAAATTCCTTAAGACTATTAAGCATCATTTTGATCATTTCTTTTTGTGGCAAAATTGTTGTACGGAAATGATATGTTCCTGGTTTTTGTCCAAAACCACTGCCGGGTATGATGCAAATTCCAGTAGCTTCCAAGAGCTTAAATGCATAAAATACATCGGGTTGCATGCCTTTGGCTTTCGCCTCCTTAATCGCTCTCTCAGGGAGATTAATTTTCGGAAAGACGTACATCGCACCCATCGATGGATTAGCCTGGCAAGAAATATCCATGTTAAATATTAAAAAAAAAAAAAACACGACAGTATTTGAGAAACAAAATTTGAATTTGTGTTTCCCTTTTATTCAAAGGTATTCAAAAAGCAATTTGAATCCAGAATATAAAAATAGCTCACAAAATAGATGAATTTAGTAGTAGTTGCAAATTTTTTTTATAGAAATAAATTTCTTTTCTGTTGATATATATATTTTAGTAATTTTCAAATATTAGAGAAAATTTCTAAGTTTGAAAATTGTGTTGAAGTTTTTTAAATTTATCGATATTTATAAATAGTTGAAATTGTGTATTTAATTTTTATTCTGTACCTGTTTTATCTTCAAATAATGCCAATAAAGATATTAATTAGTATCAAGAGTTCTTCATTAAATTTGATAAGAGTCTAAATTATTACTAGCAAATTAATATTAAACATTTGGGGCAAAAAAAGCTTAATATAATGAAAAATTAAAATTAGTAGAATGTTAACTATATGTATTTTTAATTTAAAAACAGGGTTGCCATAAAAATTTTGATATTTTCCCCCTCATAAATTTTTAGAATTTTTATTCAAAATTATGATTAAAAATACAAAATTTCTAAACCTTCAATTTAAAACATTATTGAAATTTTAATTTCAAACTTTAATTATTCAAAAACATTTTTGAAAAATTTTATAACGAGTTAAGAAAAAATTTGAATTCTTTCGTCAAATTTTATTAAAAATAATTAAATTTTCGCAAAGATTTTATTATTTAAAAAAAATAATTGTATTGTTTCGAAAGATTTATTAAAATTTTAGAAAATAATTGAATTCTTTTGTGAAATTTTATTAAGAATTTTAAACAAATAAATATTTTGACTTTTCTCTGATTTCCTTAAACTATAGCAACCCTGATATATATATATATATATAAATTAATTAATATTAATTTGAATGTAATATTAAAATAAGACGTGATGAAAAAAATTACCTTATATCCGGGAATATCGTTAAGTGTATCGACAACCAGTCGAGATCTCTCCGCTAAAGATTCGAGCGTCTCGTGTCTTTCCTTCATGAACGATTCGTAAGATGGTTCATGGGGTTTCGGGGGATTAACAACAACGTCCATTGCAACTTGTCCTAATACTGTTGGACACAACATTGCCGAAATTGATTTCATCAAAACTGCCATTACAGCCGGTTCCAAATTCACAATTTCCGCGTAACCTCCACGAAGACCGCATTCACCTGAAAAACCTGTCGAAAAATAACGAAAATTATTCTATTGCTCACATTATTATTATTATTTATTTCTATATTATACAAATTATTTTTTATAATATTATTTATTTCTATATGATACTAAATATTAAGAAAACATACCTTTCGATACGGACATAAAAGACGCGAGTTCCATTTGAGAATACGGTTTACCCATTTCGTTAACAATTTTCTTAAATGCATAGAATTTGGAATTTTTGTCGTAAATATTCGTCTGATAAACCTCGTCCGCCAATAGAAATAGATTATGTTTGTGTGCAAATTTAATGACATCAATGATATTTTCACGTGTCAAAACTTGACCCGTAGGATTTCCAGGATTAATCACAACCAATACGCGTGGCTTGCAAGTTTTTTTCGCCTCATTATAAGACCTCTCCAATTCACTGACATCAAGGGACCATTTATTCTCCTCATTCAAAAAGTAGCCTATTTGCGATAAACCAAATTCGGCCAAAACAGCAGAATAAAGTGGATATTGAGGAATTGGTATCATCACACCTGACGGTTTTCCATCGACTTGCTCGTTAAAAAGTTTCAAGAACGACTAGAAAAAAGAAAAATCAAATAATAAAAAACGATTTGAAAATTAACACTTTTTTGCGAGAAAGTATTAACTAAAAATTATTACTTTTATAAATTAGAGATAAAGTATTCTAAATTCTTACAGATAAATTAAATAAGAAAACCATATTTTAGGCCTTTTCATTTTTACACAAATAAATTATGTTAGGTGGATAAAAAAAATAATTCGCATACTTTAATAGCATCAGAAGCGCCATTGGCCAGAATAATATTATTGTAATCACTGGGGAAGCCATCGCGTTCCTTAATATAATCCGCTACGTGTCTTCTGATAATCTCAATTCCAGGAGATGCAGAATACGCGCCAACACTGCCACCCCCGCAATTTTTTAAAATTGTCGAAGCGCGTTCCTTGGCATCCTCCGGATAATTTGGATCATCTAAAAGCTCTGGATTTACTGTCAGTGCCAATACTTGTCGTAGAAATGTGATCGGCTTATTTCCCATTGCGTGTGCATCTCCGATATTTGCTTTAATTACCGATTTAAACGGTTTCTTGGCGCCCTGAAAGAAAGAAAAAATCGAAATATTTAATCTTCAATTCACAAAAATCAAAGTCGAACAAAAAATAATAAATATTTGCAAAAAAGAAAAAAATTGCGAATATCTATGAAAATTGCATCAATATGTGCAATAAAATTTATTGCCAATAGAGACGAAAACCCCTAATATTGATTAAATTTGAAATTCAAAATAAGTTTTTTTGCACTATTTTCAAACTGTAATAAATTTTCAAAAAAAAAAGAAAAAATCTAAATAATTACCTAAATATTTAATAATAATCAATTTTTCGAACCTAATTTGAAATTAACAACAAATTAAAAATGAGGAAATTATCATTATAACTAACAATGAACTATTATTTAGTAATATTGTAAAATAATTAATTGAAAATAAGATTATGACGATTAATCTCTATCATTTTTCGAGACGAGAACAAGAAACTATTTGCAATTGTTTGACAGTTCAAAGATAAGATTATTATCATCTATTTCTTCATTTTTACAAGAGTATGTACATATTTTTTTTCAAATGAAGTAAATTTGAAAAAAAAATTGTAAATCTTTAAAAATTATGAGATTCCACGTTTTATTTGAGAAAATGTAATCATGTAATTTCAAGGCTGAAACATTTAAAGAAATAGTTTCACGTGATGAAATAAACTCATTGAGTATGCGTCAACAAAAGAATTGTTAGTACAATAAAAATTTTTTTGCGTAATAGATAAACAGAAAAATTCTAAAATGCGAGTGGTTTAAAATAAAGTAAAATATTAAATTAAAATAAATTATAAAAATAAAATAGAAATATAATAATAATTAATTAACAATTGTTTCGTAAACAATTCTGGGGAAACTCAAATAATAATAATAATAAAAATTAGTGGAGAAAATCCATAATATGTTTTCTTTGATCGTAGTAGTTATTTAGAGAAAATAATAATAATGAATAAAAAAATATGAAAATATTTTATCTTTAATTGGAACAAGAATCTTTTTTTAGAAACATATGTAAAGAATTTTCTTCTAACAATTAACAATCCTTTCTTGTAATCGTATGTAAATATTTTCTCGTCAAATCATTATATACACGTATAAATATTTTAATCTACTAAGGCAATCGATCCTCGACTACTGGAATGTAGAACGGTAAAAGAGGCCTAAAAATAAACCAAAAAGAAAAAATTAAAAACGTTAAAGTTAAAAAGAAGAAAAAAATTTTATCGCTTCAATTTTAGAATCTACTTTTTCTCTCGTATAATAAAAATATTCAGAATTGAAAAAAAATCATTACAAAATCTCACAAAGATAATAAATGTCAATGTCAACAATTTGCAAATACGTTACAACCGGTTGTCATTCATATACACTTCGCATACATCACGTGTCACCTCTAATTCACTGGTTAGAATTTCTAATCGCTAAATGTCAAAACAATGCAAATTGATTAATAATAAAAATATCGAATTTCAAATCCTATCAATTTACAAAAGCAACAAGTGATCATTGACAATGTAGTCAAACCGAATATATTGATCCACTTCTCTAAGACAAAAGAATCATATTCCTCTTGAGAAATGATTTTAAATAAGAATGTAAAAATTATAAATTATAAAATATGGAAAAAAATTTGTCGGAAATTTTAATTTTAGTAAAAATTGCCCCTTGTAGTAAACTAAATAAATAGAAAGGAATCAACCTTGTCTCAACAATCTGTCATCGAGGGGAAAAAAAAATTGAAAATCGATCTTTAAAGAAAAATAAATGAATAATGAAATTAATGAATAAATAAAAATTAAATAAGTGAATAACTATGAATCTATAAATATTAAATAAGTGAATAAAGTGAACTAAAAAAGGTAGAAAAAGATAGAAAAGATAAAAAATAGAAACATAGAAAAAGATAGAGCAGAAAAAAGAAAGAAATTAAACGAACAAAAAATGAGAGTTTGCGTAGAAAAAGAAAATGTATTGAGTTGCGCGAACGTCAAATTTTAGAAGTTATGAATGGAATCATTCACCTTTTGTAATTCCTTTTCGATTTCATTGGCACGAAGAAGAAGTGGCCCACGAACAGCATATTCCATGACCTTTAAATTATAATAAACATTGTCCTCGGTAAGGACTTTTTTCTCAGCGCTTGTCATGCTTTTAGTGTGATTGTTTTGAGATGACACCGGCTGTAGAAAAGTCGTTCCAGACTGGCCCACAGCACTACCAAAGACTAAAGCACCGCCTCCCATTCCCCTTGTACCCCTGATACGAAAGTCACTCCCGCTTCTTCGCTCCCATCCTCGTGACCATGCTTTCCCAATAAATGTCTTCAATTGCCCATGTGTACTCATGATTGTGTGTACACAGTGTGTAAATAATAAAAATTCCAACGATGCTTCTTATCAACAGCTGTCAATGTGTAAAACTCTGCTCTCTTTTCTCTCCCGCAGGGACTTTTGATAATCTGGAGTATAGAGAACCCGTTCTGCGCACTACTGTCCTTGTGTGTGTGTTTTTTTTTTTTTGAATTTAAAGTAATAATCGCGCTCTTTTTCAAAAAAACAATTATTAATTTGTTATTTGTAAATTTGAAATAACACTGAAACCCAGATTATTCAGACTCGTATCGATTATTTAGCTGGTAGAAGAAAAAGGGCTCTTTTTCAAACTGTACCTATAAATTGAATTAGAATATTACTTTTAGTTATTTGGTTTTTAGAAAAAAATAGCAAATAAAATTCATATCTGTATTTTAATATAAAATGCAGTGAAATCTGTCGGAATAAAACTTAATCATTTAAATTTCATTACAATAAACAATCCTTAAAAAATAAGTATATCATTTTTGTTTTTAAATATAAAATTTTAGTTTTTAATATTTATTGCATTTAGTAATTCTTGAAAATATTTGTAATAAGAAATATTTCGTTCATTTGAACGTTCAAAACTTGTGGATCATTAATATATATAATAACAGAGTTGCCACAAGCGTTTGATTTTGTTTTTTTCTTAACTTTCCCCTGATTTCCAAATAAAATTTTGACTTTTTCCCTGACTCTAAAAAATATTTTGATTATTATTTAAATTTTCTAAAATTTCTAATTTTTAACTTTAAAAAAAAAATTATTTATATAAGAATTGCTACTGTAACTTCTTCAAAATTATTTTCATAATTTCAATTCAATTGTTTTCTATAATTTTTAACTAAAATTCTTCTCTAAATAAATTATTTAAAATATTTTTTGAGAAAGTTTCTTGAAAATTCAATTATTCAAAGAAAAAATTGAAAGTTTATCTAAAATAAATCTAAAATTCACTTGTTTACAATTCAATTTGCTGAAATTTCGATTATTCGACAGTTTTTCAATGAATATTATTAAAATTATTATTATATATCCAAAAATTCAAGTAGATATGTAATTTAAAAACAATGAAATAAAAATTTAAGAAAAACTAACTTTTATAGAATTTTTAATCAGAACTTTGCAAAAACTAACTTTTTGCGAATTTCAATTAAAATTATACAAATACTAACTTCTTCAGAATTTCTAATTAAAATTTTTTAAAAACTAACTTCCTTATAGAATTTTCAAATAAAATTATTTAAAATTTAAAATTGTTCAAAAATTCTTTTTAAGAAAATCAATTATTTTAGAAAAATTGTATTAAAATATTCTTAAAAGTCTAATTCTTAGAAAATTTTATTATAATTTTTAGAATTCAATTTTCTTCAAATAAAAGTGTATTGAGATTTAAAAAAACAATTTTTTTTAGAATTATCATTCAAAGTTTTTAAAAATATTATATTTTTCATGTTTTTAATTTAAATTCTTTAAAAACTTAATTATTTCTTTAAATTTTCTGAAAATTTAATTATTTTTTTAAATTAATTAATTAAATTTTAATTATTTGAAAATTTTTTAATTATAATATATCATTGAAAAATCTATTATCCTTTACAAATTGCTTAAAAATATTTTTAACAATTTTATTTTTAATTTTACTTGTAATTTGACTTGAAAAAAATTTTTTTATTATAATTTTTTTAAAATCAATTATTTTAATTATTTTTGATTACATATTTTCAATTAATTCATTTTAATAACTCTGAAAAATAACCGAGAATTAAATTTTAGTTACAATTGTTATGAAAAAAATTGGATTTTCGTATTTAAATAATTGAATTCTTGCAGAACTTTTGGAAAATTATTTTAAAAAATAATTGATTACAGTTACAACTATTTTAAAAAAATTTAATTTTCGTATTTAAATAATTGAATTCTTGAAGATCTTCTTGAGAGTTTTTAATTAAAATTATATAAAATTCAAATTTTCTAAACTTTTAGTTTAAAACCTTTTGAAAATCAATATTGCTTATAGAAAATTATAAACGCAACTTTTGTAAAATTCAATTATTTTTGGAATTTTTAAGTAAAATTATTTTTAATAAATTCAAGTTCATATTCTTGTAAACAAACAGAAATTCAAGAAGATTTGAATCTTTTGAATATTTTCAAATGTCAGTGGACACAAAAATCCTCAATTTTCTTATAAATTCTAAAAATTTAATATTTTTCGAGTACTTTTGATAAAATTCCCTGACTTTTCCTTGATTTCTCTGATTAGGTTTACTTTCTCAGTCTTTTTCCTTAATTCACCGATTCCCTTCAACTGTGGCAACCCTAAATTAATTTGTCACTTCATGACTAAAAAAAAATTCTTTTATGCTAGAATTATTCGAAATAGTTTCAAAAACTCACCTCTCACTTTTGTCGAGACTCAATAATCAAAGTTCCAGTGTATTTCTAACTGCAAAGGCACAATATCTTCAGGGTCCTTTATGTTTAACAATTTTTTAAATTAGTCCATACATCACAAATCTATTTTACTGATCTGCAACAAAAATTTCAAATCGATTAGAACTCGAAATTTGTGAAAATAAACGAAATCACAAAATTTAATACTCCAATAAAATGAAATTACAAAAATTAAATTATAGTATATATTATATGAAATATGGTATTATTGGAATATAATTATAATTAATATATTATTACAATTGTTATAATATTATTATAATATGAAAGTAAATTTTTTCAACAACTCAGTAAAATATTTTTAAAACTGCTAATTTGATTGTCATTCATGACATCACTCGTGACGCTCTAAATAAAACATTTCATGTCGTTTATTTAGAAAGAAATTCGCTTTGAATAAAACTATTAAAGTCTATAATTTTAATTGAAAATAAGTGAGATAATTTAGACAATTAATTGAAACTACACTTTTTTGATATTTTTAGTAGTTGAAAAATTATCACAATGCACTATTAATTGTTAACTGTAATTAATACACTATTAACTCTAATTAATAAACTATTAACTGTAATTAATACACTATTAACTGAAATTAATACACTATTAACTATAACAAGAAATGAATTTAATTAGATACAAATTAATTTTTCAAACATTTAAAATTTATTCACCAAGTGCGTCACTTGAATCTAAAATTGAGTTCTCATAATATAGATTTTATTAAATATTCCCGCACAAAAACATTTTTCTTAGCATTGACATTCTGAAGAGCACTGAATTCGATAAAATCAGATTTACTTTATTGTTAAAATCAAACTCATTAGGGTCATGCTCTTTGCAGTTTGTACCGACTCTTAAATCAATATTAATCACTATTAAAAGCTGTTAAAATATATTTATTCTAATTAGACATAATATCATCTTTTTTTGAATCCACTTCTACCAGAAAAGTGTTTTATCTCCTTATAAACTTATTTTTAAAAAAACCTAGAGATAAAATAATTTTTCCTAAACATAATTTTCAAAACAATATTTAATTTTGTTTAATTAATTCCTTTTTTTGACTAATTTTATGTTAAATTCATTTTTTGCTAAATTAATTGTTTCAATTGATTAACTAGCAAATAAAACGCGCGCGGAAAAAATTCAATTATTTTCGTAATTAATAAAGCACTTTGAATTAATTCAATTATATTCAATACAATTTTAATCAAATTTCTGGAAAGAATACAATTATTTTTAAAAATATTAATTATATATTCGATTATTTTCAAGAATTTTAATATAAATTCAATTATTTTCAACAATTTTGATGAAATTCTTTTGAAAAAAACATTATTTTTAAAATCTTTAATAAAATTCCTTTAAAAATTCTATTATTTTCAAAAATTCAGATAAAATTCTTTAAAACAATTCAATTATTTTTATGAATTGTAAAATCCTCGTCAAGAATTTAATTATGTTCATAAATAATAAAATTCTTCAAAGGAATTCAATTATTTTCATAAATAATAAAATTTTTCGGAGAAATTCATTATTTTCAATACAATTTAAATAAAATTTCTTGAAAGAATACATTTTTTAAAAAAAATATTTAAATTCAATTATGTATTTTTATGAATTGTAAAATTCTTGGCAAAAATTTAATTATTTTTGTAAATAATAAAATTCTTCTGAGAAATTCAATTATTTTTAACAAAATTTTAATAAAATTTCTATGAAAAAATTCAATTATATTCAAGAGAATTTTAATAAAATTTCTCTAACAGGTTCAATTATTTTTTAAAATTGTAATAAAATTTTTTAAATAATTCAATTGTTCTCAAAAGATTTTAATAAAATTCTTTATAAAAACTCAAATAAAATTGTTTAAAGAATTAAATTTTCTATGAATAATTTTAATATAATTTAATAGGAAAATTATTAATTATAATTAATAATAAACACAGTTATTTTAAAACTTAAAAGAAAATCTTCATAATATTCAATTACTTTCAAAATTTTCAGTAAAAATTATTTTTAAAAAATTCCATTATTTTCAAGAAAATTGAAATAAATTCTTCAAAACAATTCAATTATTTTAAAGAATTTGATTAAAAATCTTACCAAGAATAAAATTATTTTCAACACAATTAAATCGACAATTTAATTATTTCTGAAAATAATTGAATTCTTGAATAGAATTTTATTAAAACTTTTATAAATAACTGAATCCCTGCGAAAAAATTTATTATTTTTACAAATAATTGAATTTTTGCAAAATTTTAAAAATAAAGTTAATTTTTGAGAATTTTTTTAAAATTGTATTTAAAATAATTGAATTCCAGTGAAAAATTTACTATTTATTGATATTATTAAATTCTTTCGAAGAATTTAAAAAAGATTCTTTGTTTGATTAATTTTTCGTTAAATTAAGTTTTGTAATTAATTTATAATTTAAATAAACGAAAATTATAATAAACGGAATATAGAAGCAAGTAGACTTGAAAATAATCCATTAATAATTTTTTTCTTTTTTATTCTAATTTATTTACGAGCTTATTTTTATTACTCTCCTGTCTTTTGTTTGTCAACAAATTTTTGAAAAACGACTTCGATTCTTAATCTGCAATTCACCAGAGTGATGAAGGTTGCTATTATTTAGGCGCTTCGAAATTTACCGGGTTCTTAATTTATTCACGTGTGGGAGTCAAAGTAAAAGGTGCCTAAATAAATAGAGTATTTCTTTTACAAAAACTTACTTTATAAATCAAACAAATTTTAATTAATTGTAAAATATTTCAACAGCTTTTAATTGAATTTAATAAAAAAAATACACATTATTTTAAAAGATTCACGTAACTTGAATAAACTTAAAGTGTGAAAATCCATTACGTAAGAATTCATACCTGTTCTTTTCTTTTTTTAATCTAAATTCGTTTTTCTGACACAATATATTTTTATACAACTTCAGCAATTTCCCAGATTTCATATACATAACCACGACCTATTCTCAGATATTTGGAAGTGTTTATTTCTGGGTCACTCAGTGAAATATATAAAAAGAATTTCAAAAAAAAACTCTAAACCTTCTTACATGAGTTGGTTTCTATTTTATAATAAAAATAAAATTTAAAGTCTGGTAGAAAATAATAATAATAATAATTTAAATTCTAATTAAAAAAAAACTTTTTCAAATTTTCACTTTTTAAAAATTTAGCAGAACTTATTTTGTAGTACTATCAATTTTTGTGAGCAAATTGAAGATGATGTTATCAATTTCTCGAGACTATCAAACTAATGAGTTAGAAGATAAAAATATTTTTTTAATACAAAACAGAAAACAAAATTTGAGATTAAAACAAGTAGTTACCGTAATTTGTAGATGGATTTCTCAAAAAGTTACCATTGTATAATATATATAAGCCTCTTGATTATCCGTGTCAGCAGAAACTTTTGAATCTTCCGTGAACTTTGCGAAATTTTTAGGTCACTGAAAACTAGTTCTAGTTCACTGTACAGTGCTGTTAATCATTAATTTTTCCGTCAATGGATAAATACGAATCTGTTGTGACGCGAGACGAATGATCAACACAAGCCTCGCGATTCTTGTGATAAACTAAATACCCAACAATTTAAAGTCGGTAACGTTAAGTTTCTGAATTATCGATGAAATCCTGATTTAAATATTTAAATTTGATTTTTAACGATTTAATAAAATCCTTCACAATTAACAGATGTTAAATTCAATTAATTCATTTTCAGTTTAAATTGTTATTTATAATATTGAAGTAGTATTTTTGGCCTTTGAATTTTTTTTTCCTTTCGCTCGTATCAGCTGTATTCTTCGAGAAATTTTAAATGAAATTCCTTCAGGGACGTGAGCATTTTTGTTACCCTTTCTTTTTGTGGTAGAATTGTTGTTCTGAAATGATAGGTTCCGGGTTTTTGTCCAAACCACGAACCGGCTAAAACACAAATTCCAGTGGCCTCAAGTAATTTGAATGTGTAAAATAAATCGGGCGATTGATTGACTTTTTTTGCAGCCTCAATGGCCTTCTGCGGAAAATCGATTCTTGGAAAAACAAAAATCGATCCCATTGCTCGATTGACCTGCAAGGAATTAGTATTACAATTTGAAATGTGAATAAAAATAAAATAAAAAGATGATTAAAGTAAAGAATAGTAGGAAAGAAAAAGTAAAATTTAAGTAAAAGTAAAAAAAATACCTTGTAACCAGGAATTGTGTTTAAAGTCTCAGTCATTAAATACGATTTCTTGGCTAACGAATTTAATGTTTCCATTTTCTCTTTTATGAAAATTGGATATGAAGGTTCATCAGGTTTTGGAGGATTCACAACCACATCCATTGCTATTTGTCCCAGAATATTTGGACACAAAACTGCCGAGAAGGACTTTAAGAACAAAGACATAACGTCAGAATCCATATTCACTATTTCCGCGTATCCACCACGAAGACCACATTCGCCCGTATATCCTTTAATTAAATGTAATTATTTTGAAATATATTTAGTTGTAAATATATTAAAAAGAAATTTTGTTTTAAATAAATATTTAATTATTAGGTATTATTTTTTCATAGACATTATGATTTTTAAAAATTTCGAATCTTTTGAAATTCAATATATAAAAATCACTGTAACTTCTCAAAAATTATTTTCAAGATTTTAAGCTCATTATTTCCTAGAATTTTTAATAATTTTTGAGAAGGTTCCTTCAGTTCCTTGAAAATTCAATTATTTATTCAAAGAAAATATAAAGTTTTGCCTAAAATACTTCTGAAATCCACTTGTTCACAATTCAATTTCATGAAATTTTCATTTCATGTCTATTATGGCAACCCTGAATATATAATTAATTAATACATAATTGATAACTAATAAATTAATATCCAAATAATTAAACCTTTTGAGATGGACATAAAAGACGCAAGTTCCATTTGAGAATACGGTTCACCCATTTCGTTGATGACTTTTTTAAAGGAATGGAATTTTGAATTTTCGCCATAAATGTTTGTCTGGTAAACTTCATCAGCCAGTAAGAAAAGACGACGTTTGTGTGCAAATTTAACAATAGCTTGAATATTCTCATGAGATAAAACTTGACCAGTGGGATTTCCAGGATTTATCACAACCAATACTCGTGGATTGGAATTTTTCTCAGCTTCACTGTAAGATCTCTCGAGTTCGCTAATATCCAGAGACCATTTGTTTTCCTCGTTTAAATAATAACCTATTTGAGATAAACCATATTCCGACAATATTGCCGAGTACAATGGATATTGGGGAATTGGTATCATCACTCCTGATGGTTTTTCATTAATTGGTTCATTAAAAAGTTTTAAAAATGACTAAAAAAGTAAAAATTGATTCGTTAACAAGTTTTAAAAATAACTTTAAAGTAAAAATTGATTCATTAAAATGTTTTAGAAATGACTAAAAAGTAAATAAAAGTAAATATAAATATACTAAATTCATATTTACTGATAGTAAACCTAGTCACTTATTTACTAATATTAATAGTAAAGAGACTAATTTACTATTAGTAAACAGACTAATTTTCTAATAGTAAGTAGACTTATTTTCTAATAGTAAATGTAATAAATATTAGAAATTATGAAAATATCTCATTATTAAATAATAAATAAATTAAATAATCACTTTAATTCCATCCGAAGTTCCATTTGAGAGGATAATATTGTTGTAATCGCTGGGAAAACCATCTCGTTCTTGAATATATTCCGCAATATGCCTTCTGATAATTTCAATTCCAGGCGATGCTGAATAGGAACCAACATTGTTTCCATTACAATTTTTTAAAATTGTCCTAACACGATTTTTTGCATCCTCTGGATATTGTGGATCTTTGAGAAGTTCGGGTAAAATTGCAAGTGCTAAAACTTGTCTCAGAAATGTAATTGGCTTTTGACCCATTGCAATTGCATCACCAACGTTTCCCTTGATAACTTCTTGAAAGGATTTCATATTCCCCTGTAAAGTTAAAAAAAAATGTGATCAAAACAAAAAAAAATTACCTAAAGTCCCTAAAGTGTAAATTGCAATTTAGATTAAAAATATTTCGTATGTAAAAAGAAAAGTAAGTATATATAAAAAAAAGTAAAAAGTAAGTAATGGAAACCTCAGGACCTTAAGAAGTTCTTTTTCAATTTCATACGCCCTAACAAGAAAAGGCGATTTAGAACCTGGATATTCGATGAATTTAAAATTAGCAAAAACATTGTCCTTTGTAAGAACTTTGTGTACAGATCCTGTTAAACGTCGCAAGTCGTTCCATTCTGATGAAACCGGTTTTAAAATTGCATTCCCTGAAATGGAAAATTCTTTAATATACGGTAAATACTTGTTTATTCAACTTATTAAACGAAAATATTAAATCAAAATACCGTAAATAGTGTACTCGCAATTGCTGAATATTAATTTCTTTAACAATTTCATTGTTAGATCAGAACAACTTCTTGGATCAGAATTTTAAATTTTGATCCGGATGTATTTACCGGATACTGAACATAACCTCTATTATTCACTAAAGTATATTTTGAGCAACTATTACAACAATAAAACAAGTTCGCCCAGTTTTACTTTCAAGTATTATTCTATTCAACTAATTTAAACAATCACAAATAATATAAAAATCATTAAAAAGCTGTTAAACTAAATAAAATTTACATCACTTTTACACGCAATTCTTTGCAAGTTCCAACATGTCTAAAACCAAGATGACAAACTTGACAAAAACAAATTTTACCCGCTCTAAAATTACAGGCGCGCCAAAAGTTTGAAATAAAATTCCAGAATTCTAATTTTTAAATTTCGCGCTTAATTTTTGGACGAGTTGGAAAAAATATAATTTTTTTTTTAATTTTAATTAAAAATATATTTCTTCATTCCCTGTAGTTCTGTATATTTAATTAATTAATTAATCTTCTAAAAGAAAATTCTTTTGTCTGTTTTTCCTACAACATGAAGTTGTCCATCTTGATCACTTGTATAGTTTATGGACAAATTAGTGACGTAATAAGTCGTCAAGAGATTTTCATCGTTTTCCTAGATTTGCACAGTAGCCATTTTGTATTCTTCTGCAAAGGAAAATAAGGTATTACATTATAAAAATAATTTGCGTAATTCTAGAACAGTTTAACAGCCATCAAGGCTCACAAGAATTACCAAGAAATCAAACAAATCACCTAGATGTAGACTAGAAGTTTTTTTCCCATTGTTTTATGTTTGTTTAAAGTTTTTTTTCTGGTAAGCCTTTTTAGTTCTCTCTTTCAAAGAATTTGTGTTACATTTTATTGACCGCGATATTCATGATAGAAAAGTTTCACTAATAATCATACATTGCCTTGTCGAATTTTATTCACTGTAGCATAGTTTTGAATTTTTTCATTATTTTCGAGTTTATTTGAAAGCAATGCCAATTCCAGTTGTCATCATTATCAATGATATTTTATTGTTCCTGATGAGATAACGATTTTTTAATTATTTTTTCGGTAATTTCTTATTGACTTTTTTCACTGAATTTTTAGTTGTTATCAATTTTACTTTGGCATTTCGTTTTTTCTTTTTTTAAATACAATGATTTCTAATTGTTTCTATGTAATTTTGAAATATTTTCTATTTTTCTATAAATAATAATTACAGGCTTCGCACTCATATACTAAAACGTACTATTTACTTCGTTTTTTACAATTTGCTACTATTTGGATATTTTTTAAAAAATTTGACACTAAAAACTACTTTTTTCTTTATTTTTGGGGAAATTTCAATCACTTTGAATTCGCTAACAGTTGAAATAGAAAGAATTCTAAAAGTTGTAATAAAATTCATTGAAACAATTTTATTTTCAAAAAATTGTCTAATTATTTTCAATATCTACAATTTTAATAAAATTCCACAAAAGAATTTTGATAAGATTCTTCGCAAACAATTAATTTTTGTTATAAGTAATAAAATCTTCACATGAATTGAATTATTATTTAAAGTATTTCATAAAATTTAAAAAAAAAAATCAATTTAAAAACTTTTTATAAAATTCTATCGCAAGAATTCAATTATTTTCACAAGCAATAAAATTTTACATAAAAATTCAATTATTTTTTAAAAAATTGATAAATTCTACAATTCTTTCTTAAATTCTTCATAATTATTCAATTACTTTTTCAAATAATTAAACTTTTAACGAGAATTCAATTCTTTAAAAAGAATTAAATAAAACTCTTCGCAAGAATTCAATTATTTTCATAAATAATAAAAATTCTTCTTAGAAATTCAATTATTTTTTTTTAATTGATAAATTTTTTAATTCTTCACAATTATTCAATTATTTTCACAAATAATACAATTATTCACGAGAATTAAATTATTTAAAAATAATTAAATAAAATTCTTATCAAGAATTCAATTATTTTCAAAAATAATAAAAATTCTTCTTAGAAATTCCATTATTTTATTTTTTAATTGATAAATTCTTTAATTCTTCACAATTATTCAATTATTTTCCCAAATAATACAATTTTTTTACGAAAATTAAATTTAATAAAAAGATTTAGGTATATAAAATTCTTCGCATGAATTCAATTATTTTCAAAAATAATAAAAATTCTTCTTAGAAATTCAATTATTTTATTTTTTGAATTGATAAATTCTTTAATTCTTCACAATTATTCAATTATTTTCCCAAATAATACAATTTTTTTACGAAAATTAAATTTATTAAAAAGTATTAAATAAAATTCTTCGCAAGAATTCAATTATTTTCAAAAATAATAAAAATTCTTCTTAGAAATTCAATTATTTTTTAAAAATAATTGTTAAATCCTTTAATTATTACAATTATTTTATTTAAAAATAATTTTTATTTATTTATTTCAATTATTTTCCCAATTAATAAAATTTTTCACTAGAATTCAATTATTAAAAAAAAAATTAAATAATATTGTCGCAGAAATTGTATTATTTTCATAAATAATAAAAATCTTCTCAAAAATTCAATTATATAAAAAATTGATTTAATAACGAATTTCAGATGAAATTGTATTTTTTAAGAATTTTATATAAAAAATTGAGAAAATAATTTTCAAAAATTTAAATTTTTAAATTCTCTGCATGATTAGAATAAAAATAAATATTTTTTATGGAAATCAGAAATAAACAGGGAAATACTGAATACAATTTTTGTGAATCGACTAAAACAATTTTTTTTATTGGTTACATATGAATTTTCGATATTTACTTTCTTTACTACTTTTTCTCAGTATTAAAGCTAATTTTTTATAGTTTTTTCAAATTAATTAACGAGTGTGAAGCCTGCAATTGAAATATTATGTTAAAAGTGTATTAGAATGATTTTTTATTTAATTTTGAAATTGAAACTACTTACTTTTTTTTAAATTTGATTTTAAAATTAGTGAGCTCTAAAATAGTGATTGTATAGATTAGAGTACGAATAGAGTTTTGAAACAACGATATTGTCTTAAAACTCTTTAAAAAAACAAGTTAAAAATAAGAGTAATTGTCATTTTTAGGTCAAAGGAATATTTTCCTTGTTTTATAAATTGAAAATTAACATTAATTAAGATTATATTAATTAATATGATATTATAAAATATCTATTATTATATAATAATTAATTAATATTTTATTAATTAATTTGATAATATTAATATTGAAATTATTTTTGGTAAAATTTCCTAAAGATGGCAATAATGTTAACCGAGGTACTTTGTCTATTTCCCAAATGTAAAACAATCTTGAAGATTTAAATTATTGATATAAATGAAATAAATAAAATAAATGAAATAAATTCTCTCGCTCTAAGTCAAAATATATTATCATTGCGAAAGCACATTAAAAAAAAGTCCAATCATTAACGGCACAATAATCAATCTGGGACTTTGTACTTATAGAAGGTAGTTTCTATCCTTATAGGTATCTGTCATCATCGGGGGTGTGCACAAGAGATGGACTCAAAACGCTACGATTACGGGACGAGGCCAATTCCCACCGAAGTATCCTCAGTTCCACCATCGCCATCAATGTTCAACTCAAGTTATTCATCGTCACAATATGAATCGAGTAAAAGTCGAACAACATCATCAAGAAGAACGCCATCGCCCTCATCCTCCGATTACAGAAGCAGCAGTAGTCGATTCACCAGAATGGACACATCATCACCGGAGAGAGTGCGTCGAAGAAAACGCAGTTCATCAAGATCGCCATCTTCACGTTCATATCGACGTTCACGTTCAAATGACAGAGATCGTGACAGGGACAACAATAGAGATCGCGATAGAATGAGAAAATATTCCCGACGCAATGATAAATCATCGAGATCAAGATCGCGCGGTAGATCGAGATCAAGGGGTAGATCACGTTCACGTGGTACATCAAAATCACGCTGTAGAACACGATCCCGCGGTAGATCAAGATCACGTGACAAACAACGTCGTAGTCGTAGTCGTAATAAGAGTCGTGACAGACAAAAATTTCGTGATAATCGCAATAAACAACAGAGAACAACATCATCATCACAATATGAATGTGAATCAATTGATGAGTGTCATGAGTCGTCGTCGTCATCATTTTCCATGGCAAATTTACCGCCGCCCAATGCATTCAAAAATGATGGTAGCTTTATGGAGATGTTTAAAAAAATGCAAGAACAAATGCCAGTGCCTGAAAAGCCGACAACATCCGTCCTCGAGGAGAAACCAGTTGCACCACCACCTCTAATGGTTGGCAAACGAAGAGGTGGACGAATTTTAAAAACTGGAATGGTCGCTAAACCAAAAGTCGAACAAGTCACCGAACAACCAAAAGACGCATGGTCGTTGTACATGGCGGAGGTGAAAAAATATCGTGAAGTCTGCTGTCAGGAGGAAGATAATACCAGGCCACTTGTCAAATAATTTTTTTTCTTATTTTTTTAAAAAACTATTTTTTGTGTAAAAAAAAACTGTCTTATTTTTTATTATTATTTTTTTTCAATCAAAAAAACATATAATAGTGTTTTAATATTATGTTAAAAACTGATATTTTTTTTAAGACACTTAGAGACGAAATAAAAGTAATTTAATGAAAAAAAAAATATCGGTGTTAGTGTTATGTGATGAACTAGAGCGAGAGAGAGACTGAGAAAAGTTTTTTTTTCTTGTTTCTTTTTGATATTTTAGAAAATTTTGAGATATTTTTACATTTGGGAAAAAAGTCGCTTTTGTTTTTTGAAAAAAAGAAAAGTTTTTCAGTTCTTGAAAATGAAATAATGCAAAGAAAATAAACAATTTTTTAAGCAATTATCCGCAAAGATGCAGGACCCTAAAGAAGTTTTGAAACAACTTAAAGCAGGAACGTATAGAACTACTGCACCTGACAAAAGATTTCCCAATCAAAATCAAACTAGGTAAATATATTTTTATTTTCTAACATTAAAATGTAATTCAACAGAACAAAAAAAAAATTAGTTCCAAATAGTGTTTGCTTTTTTCTCATAAAAAAAAGTTATTGAAGTACAAAAGAGAATCATTTTTCTATTATTTATTTAAATTACAAAATAAAAAAAATTCATAACTAATAATAAATTATCAATATTGTAAATTCTTCAATTTTTAGTTTGAAATTAATTGTTAATTAGTCGTATTCAATTTTACTGTAATTAATTAATTTTTGTTTAATAATCTGACCAAAATTGTTTAAAAAAATTAAAACGTATTTTAAATTATTATTATTTTGTATTTTTCAATTTTTATTTACAAACTAGTTACCTAATTAATTAATTATATTCATTTTCATTGTAATTAATTAATTTTTTTTAATTGACAAAAATTGCTAAAATAAAATTGAAACGAATAATAAATTCTCAATATTGTATACATTTTTCCACAACTTTTGTATAGAAATTAAATTGTAAATTAATTAATTAGTCGTATTGATTTTTACTGTAATTAATTATTTTTTTTAATAATCTGACAAAAATTGCTTAAAAAAATTTAAACGAATATTAAATTAGCATTATTTTATATTTTTCAATTTTTATTTACAAATTAGTTGTTAATTAATTAATTAGTCGTATTGATTTTTACTGCAATTTATAAATTTTTTTTAATAATTTGCCAAAAATTGCTAAAAAAAATTGAAACGAATATTAAATTATCATTATTTTATATTTTTCAATTTTTATATTTACAAATTAATTGTTAATTAGTTAATTAATTAGTTGTATTCATTTTTACTGTAATTAATTAATTTTTTTTTTAATTGACAAAAATTGCTAAAATAAAATTGAAACAAATAATAAATTCTCAATATTGTACGTATATTTTTTAACAATTTTTGTTTAGAAATGAATTAAAAATTAATTAATTAACGAATTAGTCGTATTCATTTTTATACTGTAATTAATTATGTCTTTAATAATTTGACAAAAAGTGGATTAACTTTTACTGCGATTAATTAATTTTGTTTTAATAATTTTTTCACAGACATTGCTACCAGCACTACGTTGATTTTCACCGTTGCGAAAAAGTCAAGGGAAAAGGAAATGCTCTTTGTAAAAAATTCAAGAGGGATTATATCATCATGTGTCCAAATTCTTGGGTTGAAAGATTTGATACACAAATAGCGGAGAATAGATTCCCAGGAAAAATTTAAATATTTAATGAATAAAAATAATTGCGTTTTTTTGTAGAAAATATATTAAAAACTATCAATACTATAATGTCGAATCTTTTTCTGCTTGTATTATTTTCAGTTTAAATAAATTCAAAAAAGTAAATATATTAAAAGACGAATTTTGTTTTTCATTTCATAGCTGCTTTTCACATAATTTAAATTAATATTATTTAATTCATTCAATAAATCAATATAATATAATAATTATTTTTTTGTTATAATTAATAATTTTTTATTACTACCTATTTTTAATTTTAATTTTTTATGCTAATTTATTTTTATTTGAAGCTCTTTAATTGATTCGAAATAATATTGTATCAAAAATTATTTCGAATTATAATAATATTCGAAATAATATTTAATATACTAATAATATATTTAATAATAATAATAGTAATAATAATAATAAAAATAGATTTAAAAAATATTTTGAATTTTGGCGCCAACCGTTTTTACAGTATATGTACGTCAGTGCTTACGTGGACTTACGAAATTTTCGCGCGTTTTCAATTTTTTTATTTCACAATGGCGGAATATCTGGAACCTGGAAGCATGAGGAGAGAGATGTGTAACAAAAGAAAATATGTTTCTTGAGTGACATTAATTGTGAAAATTTACTCAATTATTGACGGTGTTTTTATTTAAAAAAACGAATCTATGAATGCGAGTGCTTTCTGAGTAAATTAGTGGACATTTTAATTGATAAAATCGTGAATATTAAAGAAAGAATTCTCTTTGATAGAAAGTTTATCAAAAATGGGTATTACCGGTTTAATTCCCTTTTTAAATAAAGCATCGATAAAATGTAATATTACTGAATTCTCTGGTGGTACGGCAGCAATTGATGCTTATTGCTGGCTGCACAAAGGAGCATTTTCGTGTGCTGATAAATTAATTATGGGACAATCTTCGGATGCGTAAGTATATTTAAAGTTCCTTCGTCTTTGTATACAAAAAAATAGATTTTATAGGCGTATATTTATTGTCTATACAGTTTATCCAAATATTTACTTTTTACAATTTATCCAATTATTTATTTTTAACAAATTATTCAATTATGTATTTATTAATTTATCCAATTATTTATTTTTAACAATTTATCGTTAAAAGTTAATCCAAAAGTTCCTAAAGTTTATCCAAATATTTACAATTTATCCAATATTTATTTTTAACAAATGAGATATTGTTTTTAACAATTCATCTCTATGAATATTTCTGTAATTTTTTTATACCAGCAAAAATATTTGTATTGTCAAAATTACAATGTTTATTAAATACGAGTTATTTGTTTGCATATTCAGCACAATTTTAATACAAAAGTAAACAATGAAAATGTAGGTCAAAGAACGACATAATTATGAAATTCTCCGAAATTTAATAAAGTTAAAAAATAAATTTAATTTACTATCTAATTTTTTTGCAGGAAAAAACAATTTATTAAGAAAAAATTTTTCTTTTTCAGATACGTTAAATATTGTATGAAACTTGTTCATATGCTTATTGCGGCCAATGTGAAGCCAATTTTAGTTTTTGATGGTCGTCATTTACCTGCGAAAGCAGATACTGAAAGCAAAAGAAGAGAGTATGTATCAAATTATAATTATTTTCAATTTTTTTATCGCATAGAAAATTAAAATACAAAAATTCTGTTAATAGCAAATAATTATTTTCTTGTTTCGAAAAAAATAGACAAAGGGAAGGCAATAAACGAAAAGCTGCGGAATTAATGAGAATGGGAAAGCACTATGAGGGAAAGAATCTCCTGAGGAGATCATTGGACATATCACACGAGATGGCTTTAGAAGTTATAAAACAATGTCAGGCAGAGAATGTTGACTGCATCGTTGCACCTTATGAGGCAGATGCTCAATTAGCTTATTTAAATATTTCCGGAATTGCCGATGTTGTTATTACGGAAGACAGTGACTTAACTTTATTTGGTTGTACAAAGGTATATGAAATGTTTTTAAACATTACTATTTCATTTTTATATTTTTTTTATTCTCTATCAGGGTTGCCACAGATCAGGAAATTCAGGGAAAGTAGAATTGGTCTGGGAATTTTATTAAAAGTACTGGAAAAAATTTAATTTTTTCCAGTGAAATTTTTCCAGAGTGAATCGAAATATTTTTTAGAATCAGGAAAAAACAAAATTAAATTTTTGTGGTAACTCTGAATCTAATTTTAACAAAAAGTACCTATCAGTAAAGAAATTAATTTACTAATCAACAAAAATTATATTTTTCTTCCAGATATTCTTTAAAATGGACATTAATGGCAATGGATTACTAGTGGAACAGGATCGTATTCATTTAGCAATGGGAGTTCGTGCTGAGCATTTTGATATGGACAAATTTCGTCACATGTGTATTCTCTCTGGCTGTGATTATTTGCCATCTCTACCTGGAATTGGATTATCAAAAGCATGTAAATTTATTCTAAAAAACACCGACTGCGATATTTACAATGTAAGTGTTTTGTTATTTTTTTTTATCCTCTCGTCGAAATATTAATTTTCTCTTCTCCTATTTTTTTAGGCACTCACACGATTAGCTTCACATCTCAATATGAAATCTTTGGTTGTGACAAAAGAATACAGAGATGGATTTCTTCGTGCGCTTGTGACATTTAAACATCAAATGGTTTTTTGTCCAATAAAAAGACAACAAGTGAGACTTTATCCACCACCACCACATGTCACCGATGAACAATTACGACATGCCGGCGTTGAAGTTGAGGAAGAATTAGCCCTGCAACTTGCCCTGGGAAATTATGATCCATTTAAATTGAGGAAATTACACGATTTTGATCCTGATAATTTACCAGTGAGTTTAACTTCTATTTTTGTTTCTACTTTTTCTGTTTTTTTGTTTCTAATTTTTTTTTTATTTTTTACTTTTTTTGTTTCTATTTCTATTTCTATCTTTTATAGTCTTTGATTTTTTAATGCCGAAAATATTTCCAATTTAGAAGAGAATACATCGAACAAATTCATGGAGAGATCCAATTATTCCAAAACACGCGAGTATTTGGTCTGGAAATTTCACAAAAAGAGAAATCAAATCACCTAAACAGAAAACATTGAATCCTTTCATTCCTAACACTGCGGGTCAAGTGATGACGTTGAAAACAACTAAAATTGAAAAAACTACACCAAAAAAACGAAGTTTTGAGGGTATGATTTCTTTATTTCATTTTCTTTTATTCACCTCACTTCTCTTTGTGTATTTATTCTTTTACTAAAAAAGCAAATGAATTTTATCATTCACAATAAGTAATTCAAATTTTCATAATTATTAGTTTTGTAATTTTGTAATTCGTAACAAATAAATTCAATAAATACAAATAATTGAATAATTCTTCTAGATGTAGAAGAAGACATAGATTATATAGCCATGTACACTCAGGAATGTAAGAAAAAAAGCGAAATTATCGAAACGAAGCCAAGTCCTGAAGAGGAAGACGAAGAGCAAGAGGACAAAATTACATCACCTGTTTTAAGTAGAAAAACGAGAAATCCTTTCGCAAAAAGCGCGGATGGTTTTTCGCCAAGTCTTCTAACTAGAACAAGAAGACGAACCAGACTCAATATTTTCACACCGACTGTAATTGATGGTACAGTTATCGAACAAAGCAAATTTTTCGCCAAAACATCAACATCTGACGAATACGAAATAAAATCTGAAATCACAAATTCAAGTGAAAATAATGAAATTCAGAAACAAATGAAAATCGAAGGCAAGGAGAATATAGATGAAAATCATCAAATTATAAATAATGAGAATGAAAACGAAGAGGAAGACGAAACAGAAATTTTAAGGAAATATTCAAAAGATCCCCCTCGACAATTAAATATTAACAATAAAGAATTATTGAGTGATGAGAAAAATTATTTGCCAGTTGATTCAGAAAATCAATCGTTTCCCGAAAACTTGGAGAATGATTGTCAAGAGAATACGTTAGATAAGAGTATTGGTATTTCGAGTATAAAAATTACTTCGGAATTAGGTTCACAAATGGAGGGACAATCGTCAAATTGTGTGATGGAAACGGAAAGCAGTCTCTTCATGGATACTGGAGAATTATTAAATGATTTGGAATCGCAAAGATGTGCAAGTCCTGACTCGGAGTTTGAATATTCTGTTGAGGCCAGTAGTATAGAAACTATTAGGACCGGTTTATTTCAATGGTCAAATACTAAAACTCTGGGAGTGAAGAAAATGGCCAGTCTGCATAGAAATAAAGAGGTAATTATTAATTAAATTAAATTAATTAAATTAAATTTCTTGAAAGTATTCAATTATTTTCAAAATTGTATGTGATAAAATTCTGGGAAGAATTCAATTATTTCCAAAAATTTTTAGTAAAATTCATTAATTAAATTTTTAACTACAATTATTAACAAACATGATTATTTTAAAAACTTGAAAAAAAATTCTTTGTAAAATTTAATTACTTTCAAAATCTTCAATTAAAATTATTAAAAACAAAAAATTTCTCTGAAAAAACTTTAAACAATTCTCCAAAAGAATATTCCATTTTTTTGCAATATATATTTATAAATAAAATTGGATTAGAAAATTATTATAATTTTCCAAAATTGAAACAATTAGAAATTTTGTCAAATTTCATTGAAATAAATTTTGTTTTTTAAAGAATTTAACTTTTTTTTTACTTTAAAAAATGATTTTTAAATAAATTTGTGTATTTTTTAAAAATTCTAACTGCAAATTTGAAAAATTAATTAAATTTTACATAATTTAGAATAGGATTTTATTTTTTCTTTGAATTTTGAATTTGGAAAACATTTATTTATTTATTTCTTATCTTTTTTGGTAATTAATTTTTATTCTAGGATCCTAAAAATAAGAGAAGATCACGAACTTCTTCTTCGACCGCTAGGAAATCAACTTCTTCACAAGGTCAACAAAGTCTTTTGAATATGTTTGGATTTCAAAAAAAGTAAGTTTTCTTAATTAAAATTTATTATTTTCCTTTTTGAATGACAATTAAAAAAAAATTTGCAATTGTTTTAGATCGAGTTTAAAACATTAAGAAAACGAGAAGAGACTTAAATTACAACGCAAAACTGCCACAATTATCAGGGTGTTATAATGCATTATTTTTCTATTTGAATCTTTATTTTATTTTTTTTACAATGTTTTGTAAATATTATAAATATTGAACTAGTTTTTGTAACGTTAAGACTCTTATGCAGAAATTTATCTGAGTGTTTAGCAAAATAGATTTTTAAATTAATAACGTTTTTTCGTATTTTATTTAAAGAAAAGAGAAAAATATATGTGATAGAAATTAATTTTATTACATTGAGGGATAATACTTTTAATTTAATTACTGAAAGTCTATTATGCTGAATGCTATACTTGCAGATAAATAATTATATACTATTTACAAATAATATAATGTTAATTACAAAAATCGAGAACTCTGTGATAAATAACATTTCGAAGGCTCAAACATTTTCTTATACATATGTATATTTTTATTTCGAAGGTGGATTCATTTAATTTAGTTTACAAATTTCTGTTTATTTTAATTAGTCTTTTTTTATTTCAAATTATTTTTGTTGTACGAGAGCAAATTTTTCATGAACATTTTTTTTATTATATATTTTTATTCCGAAGGTATGTTTAATTTAGTTTATAATTTTCTGTTTATTTAAATTATTTCTGTTTAATTACTTTTGTTGTACGAGAGCAAATTTTTCATTAATATTCATGTGTACGTGAATTTTTCTCGTGTAAGTTGTGAATTTTTTATTATTATTATAAAGTATGTTAGTTTTTTCTCCATCTTGATAAAGTAGAAAAGTTAAAATTATTTCGAAATTTTACTATTGCTGTAAGGTATGTTGATATTATTTCAAATTATTATAATGAATAATTGTATTATTTGGAAATAAAGTGTTAAACACTATATAAAAATTTATTATTTTGAAAGAAAAATAATTTTAATTTCATTTTTTTCAGCATTTTTATCTAGTTTACTAATTACAACATTAATATAAATAATTATTATTATCTCTAATTTAATCCTGATCTCTCTATTTTTTAATTGTCTTCATTTTTACTTTTTTCATCTTTTTTTTATTTTTTAATTTTTTAATTTAAAAATCCTATAAATAATAAATACATTTTTGACAATGTAATTATGATAAATTTATTACACATATTTAACTATCTGTCTATACATGTATAAAAACAATAATCTTAACTTTATTGTTACAATTTTCTTTCCAAAACAAATTTTAATAAACATTAATATTTTTTCCGCATTTACGCAGATTTGATTTTTAAAAAATATTTCACTTTCAATTAGTGACTGTTAAAAGTCTTTAGTCGACAACTTTTTAATGTAATTAGCGAAAAATATGTCAATTTTTATTATAATTAATAATTTTTTTTACAAGAAAATGAAAGATAAAAAAAATTTCTTACATTTATGTACAAAACTCATTTAGAAGTTCGTTACACCGGAAACAAACTTCACCATTTTCCGATTCAGGATGTCGTCTACAGCGTTTACACAATTTTCTATTCGTACTTTCTATTTCGACTTGTGGTTCTGTACAAGATTCGTCTTCAATTAATTTAACGGACGAAACACGAAGTATCTCACAAAGTTCAGAAGTCGAGGATGTCTCTTCCTTCTGCAGATTCTGTTTCGTATTAAAAAAAAAAAAAAAAAAATTAGTAGGAAAGAGAAAAATTTTATTCGTATCGAGTTAAATTATTCGATTAATTAATATTAACTTAATAATTAATTAAGTGAATATAAAATAAATTACTCACCAGTAAAAGAGGAAATTTATTCATATCAACTCGAATCGTCGCATTTAATTCCCAGGTGTTCTTGGTAGTGAGTTTATTCACTCCATCTTTTAGTAGTAACGCAGTTTTTATTATTTCTTCAATTTCCGGTTGATTCCAATTACTCGTCTGTTTATAACCGGAATGAAATAGAGGTACGGATGCTGGAAAAATTTTCAAAATTGAAAATGGATAATTTTTATTTAGAAAAAAGAAAATGCTTTAAAAGAAATGATTTAATACCAAGATTTTCGGGATGATAAAGCCAGACTTCTTCTGCAAGATGTGGTAAAATTGGTGCAATTGATCTTACAACAACGGCCAAAATTGCGCCCATCACATCAACAGCTCCGGCTCGATATGGAGAATTTACATTTTCACAGTAAAGACGATCCTTCACCAAATAACAATAAATTGCCGAAACGTCGTTTGTGACAAAATTAATTATATGCTTTGACACATTAAAATACTCGTAAGTCGAGTATAAGTCTTGAATCTGGAAAATAAAATTGTTCACAAATTTTTAAACTTAAAACAAACTTTGAACTTTTGAACATTTAAATAAACTAAAAAGATCTTTAAAATAAATTAAAAAGAACTTTACAAATTTTAAAAATTTCAATTATCTTTACAAATAGGTAAATTCTTCTCCGAAATTCAATTATTGGACTGGTTATATTTTTATCAGTAATTAGTTTGTAAAAAATAAAAAAAAATGATTGTAAATAAATTTAAATACAAAGAAAAACCAATTACCTCTTTGTTGTAATGATAAAGTCGATGGAGCATATATTTGTCAATGCATAAATATTGAGGTTCAATGGTATTTTTAACAGAATAAGGATGAATTGCTCCTAAAAGAAAACGCATAACGTTGCGTAATTTATTGACAGAATCGGAACTATCACGAAGAAGGCTCTCTTTAAGTGGGACTAAACTGTGCTGACTCCCGTGACTAGAGACCCACCATCTAAAATTTATTTTAATTAAAACTTTATTTCTGTAATATTCTTTAAATAATTCAAAACAATAATTCATGTTTAATTTGCAATTACCTGAGAACGTCGATGCCGTAAGCTGGCTTTTGCTTTCCGTCTTTTTTCCCTTTTACAATTTCTTCTGGACTAATTACATTTCCTATTGATTTCGACATTTTATTATTATTCTCATCCACTGCGAATCCGTGAACAAACAAACCCCTGAAAAGAGTAATTTTAGGATTATAAAGAATCTACATTATTTAAATTCTTGTTATAAATTATTTTATACAAACTGATTATTATAGTTTGTAAAAAAACAAGGCTTATTAATTAATTTGGAAAAAATTATTAATGAATAATTAATTAATTTGGAAAAATATAAAAAATACCACAAAAAGTACGATTGTAAAAGAATAATGTAGTTAATTGAATTAAAAAAAAAAGTGGTGAAAATATTATAGTGTTGAATTAACAAACTTGTAAGGGGCGGAATTTTGAAGAGCGACAGAAGTCAATAATGATGTTTGGAACCATCCGCTAAATTGGTCCATCCCTTCAATGTAGAGATCCGCTTTTCCTTCGGGTAGAACCGATGACCAAGAAATTCCGCTGTCAAACCAAATATCAAGAATATCGTTTCCTCTCTCGACATTTGTGACATTTAATTCTTGCATTAATTTTTTGCCGACAATTTTTTCAACTGGCAATTCCCACCAGCAGTCACTTCCATTTTTCTCTATTAAACGGCACACTCTCTCAACGAATTCCCTGTGTAAAAAGAAATTTAATGATAACACTCTTCAAATTTAACTAAATTATGAAATTGATTCTTAAATGAAAAATTAAAAAAAAAAAGATATTTTCTACACAAGAAACGTAAAATTAAAAATAAAGAAAAAAGAAAATAAAAAATACAGTACACTTTATATTAATAATTGTTGTATTCCGGTTTACTTTTTTGTTTCCTAACTTTTTAAAACATTTTTCTTTTCAAATGCTTAAAATTTTTTAATTAATGAAGGCTGAAAATCATTGAATTCTTGTAAAGTATTTATAAAAAAAATTTGAAAATAATTAAATTCATTTCAAGAATTTTATCCATTTTTTTCAATAATTGAATTCTTTTGAGAAAATGTAATTAAAATTGTATTGAAAATAATTTAATTCTTGGCAAGATTTTTACTAAAATTCTTTAACTTTATTATTTTGAAGAATATTGAAATAAATGATTTATTTCAATATTCTTCAAAATATAATAAAGTTTTTTTTTAAATAATTTTTACTGAAAATGTTGGAAATAATTGAATTGTAAGAAGAATTTCGTGTTTATTATTAAAATTGTAATTAACGATTTTGCTATTAAATTATATTAAACTAGTTTATAGAAATTTAATTTCTTTTAAACAATTTTATTAGATTTTTTGTAAATAATTACATGTGTTTAAAGACTTTCATTAAATTTCGTAAATATAATGTAATTTTTTAAAATAATTTTAATTGGAAATTTTAAAAATAATTAAAATTTACAAAGAATTTTATTAAAAACTTTTAAGAACAATTAAATTGTTTAGAAAACTTTTATTACAATTTTTAAAAATAATTGTACCTGTTAGAGGAATTTCATTAAAATTATCTTTAATAGAATTGAATTTTTACCAAGAAGTTTTATTAAAATTGTATTGAAAATAATTTTTCAAATGGATTTCTTCCGAAATATTTTATTATTTACGAAAATAATTGAATTGCTTTCAAGAATTTTATTATTTATGAAAATATTTTCATTCTTCCAAAGAATTTTCTTATTTATGCGAAAATAATTGAATTCTTGCGGAGGATTTTACAATTCATGGAAATAATTGAATTGTTTCGAAGAATTTTATTATTTATGAAAATAATGAAATTCTTGAGAAAAATTTTATTAATATTTTTGAATAATAATAAACAAGAATATTTAATATTATGTACTTAATAAGTAAATTCTTTAAATTTTTAAATATGTAATTATTCAAAAATTTTTTAGTAAATAATAAAAGACAAAAAAAAAATAATTATGGAAAAAATGTACCTGCTTGTAAACACTTTAGATTTATCGAGATAGACAACAGGAATAGGCGTTCCCCAAACTCTTTGTCGAGAAATACACCAGTAAGGTCGCTGTTTAATTTGCGTCAATAAAACATTTATAGACGTTTGCGTTCTAGATTTTGGATATATTTTCAAATTCTCCACACTTTCCTAAAAAGAAACGAATAGATAAAATAACAAAAAAGAGGGAAATCATTGTTATGTTATTAATTTTAATTCAATTAATCACTCAGGTAATTTAAATTTAAAATAGATAAAAACGTGTAAGAAATATTTTTTACTTCAAATCTAAATAATTTGCAATAATTGGATTTTTGAAACTGGTTTTGTGTTTGAAATTCAAAACTTTGAAAGCAAATTATATTTTTAATAATTTCAAGCTAATAGGATAAAATTTAAATTTTAGTATTAAATTTTGTATCTTCAACTTACAATTGCTCTTTCCTTTAAATCCTGTGTATTTATGAACCATTGATGACTCGCTCGCGTAATAACAGGTTTCTTTGTCCTCCAATCGTACGGATAACTGTGCACCAAAATTTCCGTATGCAAAATATCATTACTCAAATAATCTAAAACAGCATTTACACCATCTTTCAATACTTCCTTTCCAGAAAATTGAGAACCAGCCTCATCTGTATAACGTCCCTCTTCATTCACAATTGATAACTATTTTGGAAAAATAAGAATAAATTTTCCAATTTTCAAGTTGAAATTTTAAATAAAAGACAAATTAAATTAAAACTTACTACTGGTATTTTGTGTTCTAAAGCAACGCAGAAATCTTCGGAACCATGAGCTGGTGCCGTATGAACTAAACCAGTTCCAACTAGAGTATTTACATGACCCGCTGGTAAAAATGGTAATGAAATGCCGCTAATTGGTTGTAAATATTTTGCACCAAGAAGTTCGCTTCCTGAAAAAAATGCAATTATTCTTTTTTATTAATCTTTCCTACACAATGGAAACGATATTAAAATTACTTCTGTAATCATTTAATTTGTGTAATAAAATTCGATAATTAAATTTTTAATTACAATTATTTTTTACCTTTGATTGTTTTTAAAGGATTTAAATGCCCGATTTTCTCCTCAACTCGACCGACTAAATCTTGAGCAACGAGATATAAATTTCCCTCTGAATTCTCTGTCACACAATAAACAGCATCCGATGAAAATGCAAGAGCCTGATTTGCCACAAGTGTCCATGGTGTTGTTGTCCACGTGAGACCGTAAATATTTCTTCCTTGAAATTCAGATAAAGCTGGTGGTAATTCGACAATTTTCAAACGAACTGTCGCACATTTACTTTCATGCTTCTCATTATATTCCAATTCTGATTCAGCAAGTGCTGTTCTGAAAAAAGTTTTTCCAATACGAATTAAAAAATAATTATCAACTATGTATTAAAATTATACTTTATTTTAGTTAAACTAAATAATTATTTATATTATAAAATTTTAATTTAATTTTTAATTAAAAAATTAATTATTATTATCGTAAATTGATAAATTAAAATGAAAAAAGAGTTTTTATGAACAAATAAACAGACCTCGAAGACGGCGACCAGTGAACGGGTTTAAAATCCCGATAAACTAATCCCTTCTCATATAAATTTATAAACTGTCGTAATTCATTTGTTACGAATGAAGTGCTATTTGTGAAATAACAACCAGACTTTTTCCAATCGGCCACAACTCCCCAGGAGGCAAAAGCCTCCTTTTGCTTTTCTATAGCCTCCTTGGCATACTTTTTTGCTGTAAAAGAATAAAAACAAAAAGTTAAATTAAAAAATTATTCACTAAGAGAAAATTCTCGTCTTTTGAATAAAATAATTAGAATATTAAATACCATGATGACGAATTTCAAGAGGCGTTAAATCTTTTGCCTTCTTTTTCAGTTCTGTCAAACTTTTCAATTCAATTGGTAAACCATGACAATCCCATCCTGGAACGTAGTGCACTCTTTGTCCTTTTATTATTTTACTTCTTAGGGTAATGTCCTTCAAAATCTGTAAAAATTTAAACATTTTTTGTTTGTAAAGAATTTTACAAACTTAGATTATTAAAACAAATAGATTAATTTTAATAAAATCGGCATCTAACTTTATTTATTGCATGACCCATGTGTGGATTTCCATTCGCATAAGGTGGTCCATCGTGTAAAACAAAATCAGGTCCGGCTAAATTTGCCCTCTGCCAATTGTAAAGTTCAGAGAAACCACATTTCTGAAAATTGAATTTTAAACTGAGAATTTCATTATAGAAACTAAAATATTTATTAAAATATTTATATTAGAAAATAGTAATAATATCTATATTAATAGGTAATAATTAAACAATAATTAAAGAACTAAATTAGAAAGTACAAATAAAAAATAAATTAAAAGTATAAAAAATATCGAAAAGTAATAAAATGATTCTTCTCCACTCACTTCGGCTAAATACTCATCCATTTCAATTCTTTTCTCTTCGGTGAGTTTTGCTGGAAATTTTGTCTGCGGCAATAATATTGTATCAGTAAATTGTTTTGTCTGAACATTTTGCTTTGTTCCAGAAGAAAATCTAATAAGAGCCTTGGCATGTTTCAAGAAAGAAATTTTTCTGCTACGAAAAGAATTATAAAAACCTAATGACAACATTTGTATTGTTTAATTTATAAAACAGTTGGATATTTTTTAATTCTTATCCTTCTTCCCACATTACGTTTCTTGTCAATTCTCTTAAAATTCTATTATATTTTTAATAACATTCGAGTATTGTAAACATAATTGCGTACATTTAAAAAAATAATTTTTTTTTAAAATATTATGTTTTATTGTAAATATATTTTTGAGTTCAAAAACATATTAAATTTATAATTTCGGTTACTGTTATTTGAAATAAATACAAAATACCGAAAATACTTAAGAAGAAAAACACATTTTTTTTATTTATTTTCACTTTGCTTTTAGGTTATGTTGACATTAACGAGTATTCACACCGCATTCACACCAACATAAAGGTGAGTTCAAAATGTGAAAATTGGCGCCCCTGGCAGGAAGGTAATTAAATTTTTTACCCCCCACATTGGCAACACTGCTGTGGCTAGATCATGATCATGGGTGTCATGGTTTGTTGTGTATCTAATTGTTTGGCGTATTTTTTATTTCGCAAATAATCAGTAACTAAATGAGTCTTTTACATTGTTGTATTTTATACAAAATTGTGCCATGATATTTTCTTGTGATATTCAATGGAGTACAGTACGGAAATATACAGCGGGACTGAGAAATAATCTTTAGATAAAAAGAGACAAAGATTTATGATGTCGACTTTGCAAAAAGCGTCATTTGTACGACTATGGTTGTCATTATTGTGGATGATTTGTTTTACATCGAATAATAATGGGATTATTGGTGGTTTAGCATTAAGTCATAATCAGTGCCCTGTGGAATGTGCCTGCCTTGGAAATGTTGTTGCTTGCAGTGATTTACAATTGGTCGAAGCACCCAGTGGTTTGCCACCATGGACCGTTTCTCTGTAAGTCCATAACAATACATACCTCTTTTTGCTCTCCTTTTACAAAGTCTAAAATTTGTCTCATTTATTATCTCGCTCAATTTTTTTTATAATAGTTAAATAATAATAATAATACTATTTGTTTATAATAAGCAATTTTTGTGAAATAATCGATATTTTTTAATTTGATTTTTTAATCAATTTACTCTATTTACAAGATTTAAAATCCTTTAGGAAAAAAGGATTTTTAATTAGTAATTAAAAATTAGTGTATTTCTTAAAGTATTTTTTATAATTCGACATTATTTTAATTTTTTCAGAGAGTTGATATCGAATAATATTTCCAATTTAGAATTCGATGTTCTGCTACATTTATTGAAGCTCAAAGAATTGTGAGTAACTTTCAAGGAAAGATTTCAAGAATTTTCTAATTCTATTGTATAATTAATTTTTTTTTACGTTTTTAATATTTCAGAGATGTAAGTGCTAATCAACTAAAGGACAATTTTACAATTTCATTGCCAATTGAGACTCAATTGCGAGTCTTAAAATTGAATAGAAATCACCTAACACAATTGCCACAGTTCTTGTTCCTTTCAAGTCTCACGCACTTGAGTTTGTGAGTTATTTTCAATTTTAATTTCTTTAAAATAAAAGAGTATTTACTCCTTTTTTCTGTATAAAAATGATTTATCGAAAAAGGAAAATTGATATATTAATATTTTCAATATTTTCGTTTCAGATCTCATAATTCAATTAATAGAATAAATGGAACAACTTTATTAAATTTGCCAGGACTTCAACATTTGGATCTTACTGGTAACAAAATAAGTATTATTCATTATGGATCATTTCTCGCGCCGAATCAACTGAAAACACTGTAAGTATTTTAATTCCTCTATTTAGGAATTTTTTTTACTTATTTTCTTTGTCTCTAAATATTATTTCTTTCAGAAATTTAAATATGAATCAATTAAGTATTATCGAAAATAAGAGTTTGGAAAACTTAACGGCTCTTGAGGAACTTCGTCTAAACAAAAATCGACTTATTCAAATTAAAGATCAATTCACAAATCTTCTTCGACTCAGAATTTTGTAAGTATCTTAATTTTAATTTTAATTTCAATTCTAATATTTTAATTTTGATTTTAGTTTCAATTTTAAGATTTCAATTTTGATTTTGTTTTTAAGATTTTGATTTTAATTTCAAGATATTAATTTGGATTTTAGTTTTAGTGTTTGAATTAAAAACCATTTATCCTGATTATATTAAGAACATTAATAAAATACAATTTTTATGAAAAAATTTTTTTGCAGAGAATTGAATAGAAATGACTTGAGACAAATTGAAGCTTTGAGTTTGAAAGACTTGAAGAATTTGGAGGAGCTTAGTTTAAAAAGAAATAGACTTGAATCTTTGTACGATGGTGCTTTTTGGCCGCTTAAAAATTTGAGACTTCTTCAATTAGATTTTAATTTATTGACTAGCGTTAAAAAAGGCAGCCTCTTTGGATTGGATAATCTCGAAAAATTGACATTGTCTCACAATAAAATTACAACGATCGAAGCTCAAGCATGGGAGTTTTGCAAAAAACTTTTAGAATTGTTAGTAAATACTCTATTTTGTTTCTCGTTCTTGTAAGAAAAAAATGAGAAAAGTTTTAAATTCTTTCTTTTCTTTCAGAGATTTGTCTAATAATGACTTAACATCCATTGAACGTGGAACCTTTGAATATTTGGGAAGATTGGAGAAACTGAAAGTTGATCAGAACAAATTGTCATATATCTCTGAAGGTGCATTTAATAATACGCCGAATCTACAAATTTTGTGAGTTATTTTAATTTATTAAAAATCAAGAGATTTTTGAACAAATGAAATAATTGACTTTTTTTTGTTTCTTTAATTGACTAAAGCGATATTTAATATTTTTGTTATTGTTAATTTAAAATCTTTTTTCAGAGAATTGAATTCAAATAAAATTTCGTATATGGTGGAAGATTTTAATGGAGCTTTCGTTCCACTCACACAACTTATGAAACTTGGATTATCCCACAATCAAATTAAATCCATTAATAAAAATGCTTTCAAGGGCTTAGCACAAATTACGGAAATTGATTTAATTGGAAATAATATTACAACTATTCAGGAAAATGCATTTTTGCCTACGCCGAATCTAATAAAACTTAAAATGAATACAGGTAAATTACAGTTAAAAATAAAGTCACGGAATTCTTCCGTGAATATAAATTCGAATAATCATTCAGTATTCAAAATAAATTCAAAAAAACTATCTAGTATAAAAAATGAATTGAAAGATTCATTCACTATTGAAAATAAATTCAAAGATTCATTCAGTACTGAAAGGAAATTCAAAAAAATCATTTAGTATTAAAAATAAATTCAATTCTTGAAGAACTATCATAATGAAGTTTTTCGAAAGAATTCAAATATGTTCATAGAATTGAAAAAAATAGCTCTAAAAAATTCAATTATTTCGAAAAATTTAAATAAAATCTTTTTAAAAATTCTATTATTTAAAAAAATGTTAACAAAATTCTTTACAAGATTTAGTTAATAAAATTTCTATTTTAATAAAATTTTTCTATACAAATCAATTATTTTCAATGCAATTCTTTTTAAGAATTTAATTATTTTCACAAATAATACATTTTTTTTAATGGGAATTCAATTATTTAAAAAAATTCGAATAAAATTTTACCCAAGAATTCAATTCTTTTCAAAAATAAAATTCTTCTCAAGAATTCAATTCTTTTCCAAAATAAAAAATTTTCACAGGAATTCAATTATTTTAAAAAATTCAAATAAAATTTTTCGCAACAATTCAATTCTTTTCAAAAATAAAATTCTTCTCAAGAATTCAATTCTTTTCCAAAATAAAAATTTTCACAGGAATTCAATTATTTACAAAAAAATTTAATAAAATTCTTCGTCAGATTTCAATTATTTTCAATTTTTTAATAAAATTTAATTATTTTCAAAAAGTTTTAAAAAATTCTGAAAAATTCAATTATTTAAAAAAATTTGAATAAAATTCTTCACAAGAAACTAATTATTTGCATAAATAATAATATTTTTCTCTGGAATTCAATTATTTTTGCAAATAAAATTCTTCACAGGAATTCGATTCTTTGAAAAAATGTTTAATAAATTTCTTTGCAAAAATTCAATTATTTTCATAAATAACAAAACTTATCGCAGAATTTCAATTATTTTTTATACAATTTGAAATAAAATGATAGAAAATTGCATTTATTCTTAAAATTTTTTTTTAAAGCGTGAAGTTTTTGAAATAATTGAATTTTGAAAAGGGTTCAAATTAAAATCTTTGAAAATTTTAATTTATAGTTACAATATTCTTATATAATTGAAGATATAAAATAATGATTATATTATAGAAAAATAATAATGATTAAATATTTATTTAAAAAAGAAGTCGTGGATGTTTTCCAATAATTTTACAATTTAACAAATTCGTAAATAAATGTAATAAAAAATTTTTTTGAGTATCTAATAATTTTTGATTGAATCAGAATGTTCTTCAGGTTTAGGGAAAAAGTCAAAATTTTATCTGGAAATCAGGGAAAAACAAAATTAAATTTTTGTGGAAACCCTGATTTAGTATTGAAAATAAATTCAATTATTAGAATTAAAAATAAAATCCAAAAATTCCTTCAGTATTGAAAATAAATTCAGAAAAATGAATTCAAAGAAGTGTTAGAAATAAATTCAAAATAAATAAAATCAAATTTCCAATAAATGACGATAACTTGAAAAAAAAAATATTTCCAGGTTCATTGGTTTGTGATTGTGGACTTCAATGGCTCAGTTTATGGTTAAAAACTCATCGGCAAAGTGACGCAAAAATTCATTGCGGTTATCCTCATTGGTTGTTCGGAATGCCATTAATGCATCTACATCAAGCGAATTTCACTTGTGGTTTGTAGCATTGATAATTTAATGGTCGTTTTTCAATAGTCTGTTTTTTTATAATCATAAATTACATTTTTTTTAATTAGAATTTTTTTAAAATTATAATTATTAATATTATAAAAATATTCTAAAATAATGACAATAATTATTATTATAAAAATATTGGAAAATAATTACAATAATTAATATTATGATTGCAGAAGAATATCCAAAGCCCCGAATAATACAAGATCCAGAGAGTCAAATGAGTATCATGGGCGATAACGTGTCGTTGATTTGTCGCGCGACAAGTACTTCCGATGCGCCATTACATTTTACATGGAAGCACGATAATGTGGAATGGGATCCGAGTTTTCACAAGGACGTTGCAAGTTCTAATCGAGGCATCACTGAAGCCTCCTCCACATTGCAAATTACAAATATAACTCTTTCTAAATCTGGAAAATACCAATGCATGGTTACTAATAATTACGGTACTACGTATTCAGCGAAAGCAAAAATTAGCGTATTAAGTAAGTAAAATTAATTCTAAAACACTTTTTTAAAAAAATCATTCACGATTGTATTAATTTCTAACAAGAAAAAAAGTTAACATCAACATAAAGTTAATTAATCAACATTATTAATTGGAATTTCATTAATTTTATAATTATTTTATTATTATATAATTAACTTTTTATATTATAATCAACTTTTAATATTATAATCAACTTTTAATTTTATAATCAACTTTTAATTTTATACTCAACTTTTAATTACTATTTAATCAACAATTATAATAAAAATTTATTACTACTCTAATAAAAAGAATTGTGACTAAATCAAAAAAAATGTATTTTACAGTATATCCGTCCTTTTCTAAAATTCCTCAAGATAAACGTGTTAATGCGGGAAGTACTGCCCGTCTTGAATGTTCCGCTGAAGGGCTACCGGCTCCGCAAATAGCATGGCAAAAAGACGGTGGAAATGATTTTCCCGCGGCACGAGAAAGAAGAATGCATAAAATGCCCGCTGATGATGTACTTTTCATAATTGATGTGAAAACAGCCGATAGTGGCGTTTATTCCTGCATTGCACAAAATTTGGCTGGAATGATTATTGTAAACGCCACACTTACCATTCTAGGTAAATTCGATCAACAACTATTATCATATTTTACTAATAATCATTATTTGTCATCTTTAATTTTTCTTTTTTAGTCATCATCTTATTTTTCTTTTTTTAATTATCAGTAATTATTTTATTATTTATATCATTATTTTTATTCTTTCTTTCCTTATTTATTATTATCATACTTCTAACGAACAAAAAAAATTCTTGTAATTTTAAATTAATTTTCATTTCATGTTTCAAAGTTTAATTAAAAAGATTAATATTTTTCGGATATACTTACAAAAGGGTTGAATTCAATGTTTAGAGGGTCCATCGTTTGTGAAACCAATGGAGAATAAGGAAATAATGGCTGGCGGTTCGATTGTACTCGATTGTCGTGCCAGTGGTTCTCCACGTCCGAAAATATTGTGGCGCAAAAATAATAGTTCTTTGCAAGCAACTGAACGACATTTCTTTACTGCCGAGGATCAGTTGTTAATTATTGTCAATACAGTTGCAAGTGATGCTGGAGATTATGAGTGTGAAATCAGTAATACTTTGGGGAGTATCGTGGGAGCTACGCATCTTAAAATTAATCCAGGTAAAGCTATACATTTTCTTGCTATAATTTTTGTTTCCTTATTTTGTTTTCATAATTTCTCTTTTTAAATATTTTGAATTTTTAAATGAATAAAATTCTAATTTAATGCTTTCAAGATTAAATACAAACGAAAATTAATTGAACAGAATTGTTTTTAATCAAAAATCATAATTGAATTTTTTAAATTAATTCATTTTAAACTTTAAAAATTTTTATAAAAAAAAATATAAGTACTTATAAATTATTGTCAAAAAGGTAATCTTTCGAAAATAGTTTTCAAAACTTGAAACAATTGGAAATTTTGTCAAATTTCATTAAAATAAATTTTATATTTTAAAGAATTCAATTATTTTAATACAATTCTTCACAGAAATTTAACTATTTTTATAAATAATAATATTCTTCAAATAAATTCAATTATTTACAATCCAATTTTAATAAAATTCTTCGCAAGAATTCAATTTCTTTCATAAATAAAAAAATTTTTCAGAGGAATTTAATTACAGTAGAACCTCGGTTATCCGAGCCTCGATTATCCGAGATTCCGGATTATCCGAGGCACAAAACATGCTCGGATAATGCGGAATAACTCGGATAAAACGGATCGAGCGACTAAATTTGGAAAATAAATTTTACAAAACCACTATTTGTGATCATTGCATTTAAAATTTCGTCCATTTTTGTCATTTAATATTATTCTAACACTTTAAACACATGAAAAATAATTTAAAATTTTGAAATTTTCATTGGTTCCGTGTTATCCGAGTTTTCGATTATCCGAGGTACCTCTTCCCCACATTACCTCGGATAATCGAGGTTCTACTGTATTTAGGAATTTAATTATTTTCAGGATATGTTTATAAAATTCTTTATATTCAATTATTTTTTCAATTCAATTATTTTCAAAAATTTCAATAAAATTCTATGTAAGAATTAAATTATTTCAGATTTAAAATTATAAAAAGTTACAAAAATTACAAAAAGTAATTAAAAAATTATTAATTAATATAAAAGGTTATCAAAAATGTTGTCTTTTAAAATAGAAGAAAAAAACACATATTAACGCAAAATCATGTAAAATAAATAATGAATTTCTAAATTTTTTTGCAAAAATATTATCACAAAACGTATTTTCTAAATTTGAATTATTAAAGATTTGAACTAATTAGAACAAAAGCGATAGTTAAATTTTCCAAAAATTAATTTTTCAATTCTACATAGAACAAGGCATTTAAATAAATAAAATTCCATTTTTCTTCGAAAATAAATTCTTAAAAAATCGTATTTTGCATAAATAAAAATTATAATAATTTTGTAACTCAACTTCATTAATATTATTGAAAAAAATTGAATTCTTTTGAAGAATTTTTTAAAATTTTTGACAGTAATATCTTTTTTTTCAATAATTTTAATTGAAAATTTTTAAAGTAATTGAATTTTACAAAGAATTTCTTTCAAGTTTATAAAATAATTATGTTTGTTAATAATTGTAATTAAAAATTTCGAAAAATTTTATTTGAAATAATTGAATTCCTGAGAAGAATTTTATTATTCATAAAAATCATTGAATTCATGCAAATTTTTTCGACGAATTCAATTAAAATTGTATTGAAAATAATCCAATTCTTACATAGAATTTTATTAGAATTGATTACAAATAATTTCATTCTTTCGAGAAATTTTATTAAAATTGCATTCAAAATAATTCAATTCTTATATAGAATTTTATTAAAATTTAATAAAAAAAATTGAATTCTTTAGAGAATTTTATAGAATTTTATTTTATTTTATTATTTATTATAGAATTTTATTATTTATGAAAGTAATTGAATTTCTGCGTAGAATTTTATTATTTTTGAAAATAATTGAATTTTTTCGAGAAATTTTATTAAAATTGCATTGAAAATAATTGAATTTCCGCGTAGAATTTTATTATTTATAAATATAATTGAATTTCTGCGTAGAATTTTATTATTTATAAAAATAATTGAATTTCTGCGTAGAATTTTATTATTTTTGAAAATATTTGAATTTTTCGAGAAATTTTATTAAAATTGTATTGAAAATAATTGAGTTTCCGCGTAGAATTTTATTATTTATGAAAATAATTGAATTTCTGCTTAGAATTTTATTATTTATAAAAATATTTGAATTTCTGCGTAGAATTTTATTATTTATGAAAATAATCGAATTCGTGCGAAGAATTTTATTTAATTTTCGAAAATAATAATATAAAGTAGTAACGAATTAGTTAATAAATTATGTTTTTAAATTTTTAATCTGAAATTATTAAAAAATTTAAGTTATTTGAAAATAAAAATTTCGTAATTTATATAATAATGATGATAATTATAATTAAATTTAATTGTAATATAAAGTTGAGTTTAGAATTTAATCAAAAAAATTAATTTTTAGCACCAAGTTCGATGGTCAATGAAGATGATATGCTTGGTTTGATAATTATAACCGTCGTATGCTGCGCGGTTGGCACTTCAATCGTGTGGGTTGTAATTATTTACCAAACAAGACAGCGTCTTAAGGCCTCTCATCGACAATCCTTATCGACTTCTGTTCCAATTGTGCCAGAAACACAGACTCACTTGTATTTGGATACAAGTTCTCAACACAGTAAAGACAGCGGTACTGGCGATAGTACCAATCCCAGTAATGATCAATTGCAATTATGTTTGCCAGGTAATTCATTTTTTCGTTTTACTCACTGTAATACTAAAATAATTTATTTGAAACCACAAAGTCCAACAGTAGAAATATAAATTTTATTATAAGAAGAAGAAAATAATATGAATTTTTTTAAAAAAGACGAGGAAATAATATGAATTTTCTTTTTGAAAAAAAGGAAATAATATGGATTTTTTTTAGAGAAAATAAAATAATAATGAATTTTATTAATTAAGAAAAAGAAAACAATATAAATGCAATATTTTAATTCACAGAAGAACTGATGAATTGTGCCACTAATAATGAGGAAGACGTTGAAGCAGCGACTGGAGAAAATCCCCTTCTACGTTACACGAATCACGAACGACACATAATGCAACAAGAATCAGGTAATTAAAAAAAAAGAAAGTATAAAGTTATGATTTCAAAATTTTTTGTTTTGAAAATCATACCATAAAATAACGCAGTATTTTTTAATTGATTTAGCTTAGAATAATTTGTAACAGGCTTTACAGAGTTTTTTTTCTATTTTTGCTTCCCCAATGAAGGCAAAAATTCTCACATGAACACATTTTATTATCTATTTTATTTAGATATTTAACGGTTTTCGAAACCATAGCTTTTATTTTTATCCCAGTGAATTATTAACTGAAAGAAAACAGTTTCTAAAAATTTATTTATCGAATCGATAAAAAAAAGAAAATTTAATTCTGTGAAACCTGTTTAAATGTAGCTTGATTTAGAATTAATAATTATGGAATTAAAGTTATGACTGGCTGCAATATTGATAATATAAATATATATCCGCTGTCGTGGAACTGAATGTGTGAATACAGAGAAATGAATTTGTGTTGAATTAGCTGTATGTAGAAATTTAATGTGCCTATAAAAAGTGCTTCTTCAGTATAAATAGTATATTAAAAAAAAAACAGAAAGTTTTTTTTGATAATAAGCAAACGACTGTGAAATATAGTAAATAACAAAGCTCTTAAAAAAGAAAAGCACAATTAAACGAAACTGATTCTAGTAATCTTGATAATAACTTAATTGAGCTCTACATTTTTTGAAATGCAATGATATTTATTGACTATTACATTTTGTAATTCAGTGTCATTTCTATTGTTGAAAAATATTTATAAACAATAGAATTTTGTAATTAATAATGCGCGTAATCTCTATAGTTGTCTAAATTCACATTTAATCCTAGAGAAGTAATTAAATACAAAATGCTGTCGAATTTGTAGCATCAAAAAGTTGCCTTATGCAAAAAAGTAATGCAAAAAAAATATACAAAAAATACAAAAAAAAGCAAAATATAAAGTATAAAAAGTATTTACAAATATTTACAAATATTTACAAATATTTAAAAATATTAATCGTAAAAATTTTTACAAATATACATACAAAATTGATTTTCCTATTACAAAAAGCAATAAATCTTGAAAAATGTGAAATTTAAAGACTACAATTGTAAATAGTAAATAAGTTAAGTGCGATTAAGAAAACGTCTTGTTATTAAATTTGCTTGTACAATAAATCAAATTTTTGTGATCATTACTTATATAATTTTTTTTATCATACGACAAACTTTAATTATAGTACTTTTATATTTGACAGCAAACAATACAAAAACGAGCCTTATTTTGCTCTTATTCAGGGTCACCACAATGACAGGGAATTCAGAAAAAAGTTAGAGAATGTAAAATTGATGAGGGAAATATTTTGAATAATTTCAGATTCAAAATTAAAAAAAATTCATTTATTAACTAATTAATTACTACTATATATATATATTATCTTCAAAAAATTTAATAAATTTCTTTGCACGAATTCAATTATTTTCATAAATAAAAAAACTCTTTGCAGAAATTAAATTATTATCAAAAATGAAAAAATTTCGAAAAATTTGAAAGAATTCAATTATTTTAAAAATTCTTTAAAAAAATTCAATTATTTTCATAAATAATAAAATTTTGTGTAGAAATTCATTTATTTCTAATACAATTTTAATAAATTTGTTTGCGGGAATTTAATTATTTTCATAATTAATAAAATTCTACGCAGAAATTCCATTTTTTTCATAAACAATAAATTTCTTTGTAGTAATTAAATTATTTTCAATGCAATTTTAATTAAATTCGTCGAAAAATTTGAAAGAATTCAATTATTTTCATAAATAATAAAATTTTTTGTGTTAATTCAATTATTTTCAATACAATTTTCATAATATTTCTTGAAAAAATTCAATTATTTTTATTAAACTTTAATAAAATTCTTTGCAGAAATTCAATTATTTTGAAAAATTTTAATAAAATATTATATATAAGAATTGAATTATTTTCAATACAATTTTAATTAAATTCCTCGAAAAAATTTGCATGAATTCAATTATTTTTATGAATAATAAAATTATTCTCAGGAATTCAATTATTTCAAATAAAATTTCTCGAAAGGATTCAATTTTTCTCAAAAGTTATTGATAAAACGTTTTTTTATAAGAATTCAATTATTTTTTTAAACAATAAAATTCTCGTGAATTTAATTATTATTCTCAAAAGTGTTAATAAGATGTTTTATGAGAATTCAGTTGTTTTCATAAACAATAAAAATTTCTTTGCATAAATTCAATTTTTTTATAAATGTTAAAATTCTTCAGAGGAATAAAATTTTTTTGAAAAATTTGAATAAAATTCAAAATCCAATTTTCACAAATTTTGATCAAATTTAATACAATAATTAAATTTGAATTAATAAAGATTTAAAGTAATAAAAACAAAAGTGATAACCTTATAAAAATTAATTTTTTAATTCAACATAGAAGAAGACGTTAAAATAAATGAAATTCAGTTAATTTATAGCTTAGAATGTTAAATAATTTTACAAATTAATTTTTGTTATTATTTAATCTTGAAAAAATGAATTTAGAATTTTATTAATTTTAAAATCAAAACATTTAAAAAAAGATAATAAAAAATCAAATCAAATTTTTGTGATAACCCTGTCATTACATATTTAGAAAAAAAAAATTTGTTTGAAAAAAATATGTTTATATTTAAAAAAAAAATACATTTTAAAGACAAATTTAAGCATAAAATGAAAAGTTTTATTCTTAATTAAAATATACATAACGATTTACAGAGTTGAAAAATTGTATAGAACATTTTTAATTTAAGTTAAATACAATTATAAAGGAATTTCTTAAAAATATATATATTCATTCTGAGTAAATATTCAGTAGAACTGTGTATAATACTCAAAATTTGTACAGTGCCAAAAATATGCGAAATTTTTGTCAACAACGAATTAAATTTAATATAATTTAATTTCACTTTTATTTAATTAAAACGAAAATTTCATTTCCGGTCGTATTTACTTCATAGCAATAAATGTCAGCTATTAATTGAAATATTTTTTCAAAAAAAAGTTCTTTAAAAACTGATTTTAGATAATTTTATGAGAAATCAATTTTACGGTTAATAAATATTTTCATCAGTATACAATACAGTTAAATTTGTTTAAACAAAAAAAATATAAACTAATAAATCGTCTATTAATTTAAATATACATACAAGTTTATTGAATAAAGTTTATTAAATAAAGCCTAAATTATTTATTTTATTAATAATAATAATAATAATAATAATAATAATAATATAATTTTTAAAAAGAGATGTAATAATTCGTTATATATAATATGTACATTTAATCAAAATTTAAACTACCTGTTGAAATGCAATTCCTCTCAACACTTGTGTTTAAATTCTGAATTTAGAAATTTTAAATTACAATTCTTTATAATAAATTTATTTTTTCAGCCTATTTTGTTTAAAAAAAAGTCTCTAAAAAAAGACTTTTTTTTCTTTTGACGCAAATGCATGCAATAATTTGTTACGCTCATGAAAAAAAAAAATAATAATAAAACTTTTTACATAATATTCTATAGAAAAATTTGATATTATATAAAAGATATTTTTCTATCCATATTTTTTTTTGCGCAACAATAAATATTTATTATTTTTCTAGTTTATTTATTTACGCGCAATAAGGCTTATGATAGAAAAATTTGTGACCAAACGCTTAGTGGACATTTTTAGCGTTTTTTTTCCACACTCACATGTCCGTTATCGATTTTATGACACTGAGAAAATTATTTCACTTAATTATTTAGTATTTATTTCTTATTTACTATTATTTATTTATTTATTTGTTATTTATTTATTTACTATTTCTCAATTTATTTCTCAATTTTAACTTAATTAAAAATTTCTCCAAATTGAAAAATTTCAATATTGAAGTAAATAGACTGTGGACGTATTTAGCGAATTGTGGAAAAAATCTTAATTTCATTTTATAGAGTCATTTACGTTGAGTATTTTTATTTATTTTGCATTATATTGAGTAAAGTGTAATGTTTTTTTTGTACTTAATGCTACAATTATAATTTAAATACAAAGTGTTTATAAAAATATATTTCTATTCGATTGAATAAGAATTGTTTCATTAAATATAGTTAATTTTTTACTACTATTGTTTTTATCATTATTTTCATTGTTAATTATTTTAATTTTTACTAATTTTATTATTTGAATATTTACTGTTTTTATTATTTTAATGTTTACTATTTTTATTATTTTAATGTTTACTATTTTTATTATTTTAATTTTTAATATTTTTATTATTTTAATCTTTATTATTTTTATTATTTTAACCTTTATAATTTTTATTATTTTTTTAAAAGTTATTATTATTATTGCCATTGGTGGTGAAAAATAAATTTGAAATTTCTTCAAAAAAATGACTTCAGATAAAATTCAAGAAAATTTCCAACAATTTTGTCTCTTTCTCAGTGTAATATTCTTTTTTTTCAAAAAAAAAAATATGAATTTTATTTGTTTATCGACAGAAATTTTTCTTTTTCTTCCCTTATGAATATTATTTGTATGCAAATAATTATGTCACAATGACTAATACGAAGTTTTGTTGTCTGTCACATAATAAAGATGCATTTTCTTCTAGCTACAATAGAAATACAATATAGAGGTCGGACCAGCAGACTTTATAAAGTTTCTCGTATAATATTTTATAATAATTCGCGGAATATCGTGCACAGCACGAATTCCTTGTCTTTACTTTCACGGTGAATAAAATTTCAATTGCTATAGATTAATTTCAATTAAAATATTTAATTCAAATATTCAATTTAAATATTTAATTCAAATTTTCAATTCAAATTTTCAATTCAAATTTTCAATTCAAATTTTCAATTAAAATATTCAATTAAAATATTCAATTAAAATATTTAATTAAAGTATTCAATTAAAATATTCAATTGAACTATTTAATTAAAATATTCAATTCAAATATTCAATTAAATTATTCGAGAAAAAATACATTCTCAATAAAATGTGCGATAATACAAATTATTTTTCCTCTTAATTTTACAACTTTTAGTAACGGTAACAAATTATTGCTTTTTTAATATGATCGCTATGAATTTTTTGTCTTTTTTTCCTTCTTTTTTATCTTCTTTTCCTGTTCTACTTTAACGAAAGGAAAAATAATCTCTAGTTATAGAATTTTTTTTTCTACAAATTCTTTTTACTCTTTTAAATTGAAATAATCTGTAACAGTAGCAAATTTTTTGTTGTTGTCTCAATGGCCTTCTCTCTTTATTGAGAGACAAATGAGATGCAATAAAAGAAAGGTTTTCGATATTTGCTATATCTTTTTTCTTTTGTTTTCAACTGTGAAATGTATAATCTGAAGCATGATCCTCAATATTATTAAAATTCGTTACTCTTATAAATATATACACATTTTTTCACATATAACTTTGGCGATTATTACTAAAGTTTACATGAAGTTCTTAACAAAAATCCTGCATCATTTTAATACAATTTATGAAAACAGAATTTATCTAAAATTAGCTATTTGCACATTATTTTGTTAGAATTCTATAAAAAAAATATTTAAAACACAAAATTTTCTTTACGAAAAATTGACACAAAAATAGCAGTTTTGGTTTTTTTTCGGTAGGAAAAATAAAATTTGTGCCGCAATTTAGTCTTTTTTCATAATTAAAATTAATTAATATAAATTGAATCAAAATTAATTAATTAAGATTTAATTAAAAATTAATTAAAAATTACAATTTTCCAAATTTATTTTTTCTCTTCTTTCTTCCGAAAAAAATATTTTTTTTAACAAACAAATTAACTCTATTTGTCGCAACTTTTTTTTTCCAAAACAAACAAATAAATATCGACAAGAACTTGTTGGTACATTAATAGACTTGTAAATGACAATTCAAATAAATGAAATTAACGTCAAAAGAATTCACAAACATTGTGGCAAACAGCTAATTTATAATGTAATAAAAAATTACAAGAATTTTTCAAGTTTCGAAATCAATTTTTAAAATAATAGTCAATAATCATTAAATTTTCAATATATATAATTAGGTATTAGCGCCTTTAAAAATAAATCTATAATTACAATTCTTTAATATATAAAATCACAAAACAATACATTTTTCTTTTTCAAAATTATTGATGTCTGTTTTTCGTTAATTTTATTATACAATAATGTACTTTCGCTGCGGTCATTAGCTGGGTTTTTTTTTGTTATTTTAAAAAATTTATTTACAATTTGTCATCAAAATTTATAATGAATAAATTAATAAATAAAAATAAATTTTAAGTTATTAAAATTAGAAATTTCAACTTCTGTAAAATTAAAATAAATTTAAAAAATTCTCACAGCTAATGACAGAACAATTTTTATCTTAAGATATATTTTTTTTTCTCACAGTTTAATGATTGTTAAACTATGAAAAAAAGAGTATTATAAATTTGTAATTACACCTAAAATTCGAGTCATTGTCAATCGTTGCCCATGTCTCTGAGTTCCGTGTAGGCGATTTTTTTCCTGTAAATATTGCCTCCGTCTCCAAATTGTCTCTTGTCGTAAGTTGTCGCTGGTTCAAGTGAGAGATACTGACGTCTCTTGTAGATAACTATTCTGTAAAATGAAAAATATTTATTAATTTCCTCGTATTTATCATTTTTTTTCTTATAATAAAGTAAGTTAATTTTTTATTTAACAAGCTTTTTTTTTAATTTCAACTTTTTTGATTTTAACAAATTTTTCGATTACAACAATTTTTTCTTTATTTTCACAACTTTTTTAATTTTAACAATTTTTTTATTTTCAAGTTTTTAAATTTAACAATTTTTTACTTTCGACAATTTTTTTATTTTAAACAATTTTTTTTATTTCGAGTTTTCGATTTTAACAATTTTTTTGACCTTCTCTTGTAACATCAACTAATTTTATAAATAAAAATGAATAAATTGTAATAAAATATAAATAGTTATCTAGAAATAATAATAATTTATTTTACATATTATAATAATAATGTTTAATTAAATAATTGTTGAAATAAATTTTAAATATTAAATTATTTTTCCTGAATTATTAAAAGTTCATTGAAATCAAAAAATTTGAATTATTTTTTGATATTAGCAATAATTTCAGAATTTTCCATTGGGAGAAGAAAACATTCGTTGTACACTTAGAGAACATTTTTTTCATTTTTTTTATAATAAAATAGACAAAAAAAGAAAATATTATAAAAAAGAAAAATTATCAGGTAAATACGAAATTTTTTTCACAATACAGAAAAAGTTCTCCAAGATTTATGAAGAAATCTCTTCTTTATCTTCAATTAAAATTTAAAATCTTTATCTTTATTCCAACTTAAGGAATTTAAGAGAAAAAATTGTTATCTCTAAAATAAAATTTTCTATTCCTACTCTATTGTTCGTTTCTTGAAAGATTGACTGTGATTGAAAGAATTTATTTATTTTCGTTTGGTAAAATTATTATTACGCAACTGCATTCATTTTATTGTTAGAATTAATTAGCAATTAATTTTTCGTATCCATGAATATTAAATTTCTACTCGAAGAAAAGAGAATGAATTATTATTGTTAATTTGTAAATAATAATAATAATAATAATAATTCCCTCGTAAAACAAAAAAAAAAAATAATAATAACAACAATACTAGTAACGATATTAGTAATATTATTAGGAAGATTTGACACTTCCCTCGTAAAACAAAAAAAAAGTATATTAATAACAATTATAACAATAATAATAAAAAAAAATAAAAAAAAAATAATATAATAATAAAACAATTTCTGTAAGCCCGTTGATACTTAAATAAATTTTTAACTAAATAAATAAATAATAACAATAATTCAATATTAGAACTATAATATTACTAATAATAAATATAATAAATAATTAATTAACAATAAATTGTTATTATCGTCCATAAATAATTAACAAATATAATAAAAAATAACAATAATAATAATAACAATAATAATAATAATAATAATAATAATAATAATAATAATAATAATAATAATTCTAATAATGATAATAATAACAACAATATTAATAATAAAATAATTACATAATTTCGACAAATAATGGGTAAACAATTGTTTTTGTCGTATGTTAAATAAATTCGATATATTACAGCGAAATATCTAATTTCTAGATATTAAATAAATAAAATATTATTTAATTTCGAAAAAGGTTTAATTAATAAATTTAAATTAATTTTATTATTTAATTAATTTACTATTAATTAATATATTATTATTTATACATTATTAGTTAATTTATTATTAGCTAATAACTATTGTTAGCTAATAACTATTATTAGTTAATAAAGCTATTATTAGTTAATAAAGCTATTATTAGTTAATAACTATTATTAGTTAATAATTATTAATTATTTTAGAATAATTTCACAAATGTTGCAATATATTGTGTAAATTCGGAATTCAGCTTGAAATTTGAATTTCCTAATTCTTAGAGGAATTCCCTAATTAATGCAGGAACTAGCAATCACGAGAAGAATGGACTTATTGAACTTAATAGTCTCACGTCCCAATGAGTTAGTCCTTGAAGAGACTGTGTGACGTTGTCTATACGGTATCTTGCAAAAAAAAGTGAAATACTCAAAGAATAAATTTATCATCCAGTCTGCGCAGAAATGTTGACATATTTCTTACTTTTTCATAAAATGTTTAAAAAAAAAAAAAAAACATGCAAAATCAAGTAACGCGCAATTAAATTCAAATTGAATAGGATTTTAATCTATAATTCCTTTTTTCACCTTTTCATACTTACTTTGTAATTATTTTCCTTGAAATTCGTTTTATGAAAATATTTATTTATTCATAATTATGTAACTGAGATTAAATTTGTGATTTTTGACAGTGATTTGAGAATGTAATATTGAAGGAAACAATACTTGTTTTTTTACTAATTCGTTTGCGGAGTGAATCAATCGATTAATATAGGAAAATAAAAAATTGAAATATTTTTTTCCAACTTCGGTTTTTTTATTTTATTTTAATTTTTGATTTTCCTATATCAATTTTTTTGTCTTCTTTTAGTTTTCTTTAATTATTTCAATTTTTTTATTTTTCTATTTCAATTTTTATTTTCTTATTTTCCTATTTCAATTTTTTATTTTCTAATTAAATTCTTTCTAATTCTCGTATTTTTCTATTTCAATTTTTTATTTCATATTTTAATTTTCTTATTTTCCGCCTATTTTAATTTTATATTTTCTTATTTTAATTATTTTAGTTTTTTATTTTTTTATTTCAATTTTTTATTTTCTCATTTTAATTTTCTTATTTTAATTGTTCTACAATTTGTGGTTTTCCTTTTTTAATTTTTTTATTTTCTTATTTTAATTATTTTAGTTTTTGATTTTTTTGTTTAAATTTTTTATTTTTTCATTTTAATTTTTAATTTTCTTATTTTCATTGTTCTACAATTTGTGGTTTTCCTTTTTCAATTTTTTTATTTTAATTATTTTAGTTTTTGATTTTTTGATTTTCTCATTTTAATTTTTAATTTTATTTTAATTCTTCTCCAATTTTTGGTTTTTCTTTTTCAATTTTTTTATTTTAATTATTTTAGATTTTGATTTTTCTTTCTCAATTTTTTATTTTCAAATTGGATTTTTAAATTTTCTTATTTTCATTTTTAATTTTGTAATTTTCTTATTTTCATTTTTGATTTTTCTATTTCAATTTTTTATTTTCTAAATAAATTTTTAAATTTTCTTATTTTACTATTTCATGTTTTTATTTCCTTATTTCAATTTCTATAATTTTAATTATACTTTTTTAATTTTGTTTTTATTCCTCTTTTTAATTCAGACATTAATTTTCCTCAATTTCTCTACTTTCAACAATTTTCGATTTATTTTCAACAAAAAAAAAATAATGAAATCCAGGAAAAAAAATTCGACTTTAAAACTACGTCACCTAAAAACATGCACAAGAAAAAAATATTAGGATTTATAATCATATGGATTAAAAAGGAAAGTGCTGGTTCTATTGGTAGGAATTTTTATATATTAACTTTATTATATAAACTCATTAATTTCTTCACGATTAGTTCATCAGATAGTCAACAATTGAGTTAGTAAACTACGATTTGGGGAGTACATCACTACTTTCAAAGAACAACAGTTTTTGTAGGACACATGCATCAGTTTTAAACTTATTAGTATATAATTTTTAATTTTCCATGCAAAATTTATCACACAATTATATTTCGAGTCAAAAAAAAAAAAAAATTAAATTGTTTAAAAAAAAATTTCTTCTTCTACTTTTGGAAAGTTGAAAAATATTTTACAATATATCTCCTCTCTTCTTTTTACACTCTCTCAAAAAAAATGATCTTTTTCTGACAACTTGAGATATTTTTATGTTAAAAATAAAAATTTGTAGCATTAAAAAAATGTTTTTTTTATTATACTTTACGAGATGTTTCATAAAATACTCATATTATTATTTATAACATTGATATAAAGCTCGTGACAATTTTTTTCTTTTTTATTTAAATTTGTAGATATTTTAAATAACTCTTTATAATTATATTCTATTAATTTCAAAATATATAACAAGATTAAAATATTTTAAAACATGTAAAAACTAACAGTAAAATTATAACTTAATAAAATATTTATCACTTTCTTGAATTATTTATAACTAGACAAAAATTGTTTCTTTTTCATTTTAATATTTTGTAAAGATTATTCTATCATGGAAGCTAATTTTATCTCACAGAAAAACACACTTTTGTCTTAGAATTATACTTTCATTTTACATTACACATTCAGTATTGTTAACTTATTTTGATCATCTTTTGATCATCAGAATAAGTTGTCTAGAAAAAGTAATTTTCTCGTTATTTTTATGTTCAATTCTTTTTTTTCTTTTACTGAAGATGATTAATAATTTCATTGTAATGTAAAATTCTCGAGTTAAATACTTGAAACGCTGTGCTGAAGTAATAGCAAGTCACAAATTACAACAGTAAGGTATACGTCACTCGTTTGTCTGACTAGATATATCTACTTTTTTTTGTTCTCTTCCTTAAATATTTTACATTATTTACATGGCTTATCACTTTTTTCTTCTCGCAGAAATCCAATTATTTAATACTCTGACAATGAAAACATTTTTATAATAATTATAATAATAATAATATTAATAATAATAATAATATTTACGTATATTACTCTAACTATTCTATTTGAGATAATACATTTAGTTTCCAACTAAATAAATTTTTAATAAATATATCTCAAAATATACAAAATTTCCCTTTTTTTAAGAATTCGCGCGATTAAATACAATTTTTTGTTGTTAAATTGAAATTAGTCTAATCGAGATTTACTATTATTATTAAATACATCCTCTAGTGTGTGTGTGTGTGTGTTTAAAAGCAGATTATCTGTGAAATTTGTTATATCTACTGAAACAATAAAAAAAGCATTGAACAATTAATAAAAACACAAAAATGAAAATAAGGTAAGTTAATATGTATTAATTTTCAATTAAGGAACATGTTAAATTTGTACTTAATAATCGACCAGCGAGATATAATTTATAAATACAATTACCCTCGTAATACCCCATTTTAAATATTTCTACTTGAAAAAAAACCATATTTTTCATTTTTGATAAATTATCAACGATTTAACATTTTAAAAATTTTGTTTTCAAAACAAAATAGCAAATAATCTCAATATAAACCTGATTAATATTAATTTCATTAATTTCATTAACTTCATTAATTTTATAAAAAATAAATTGTTGAAAAAAAAATCATTTCGATTCTTATAAAAATAGTCTCTAAATAGTTGAAGAATTTAATAACAATGAGATTCATTATTACAATAATTAAGAATATTCTCCCATTGGCGTTAAATTCATTTCATTTTGTAAAATTCTGTGTTTGGAATATTTAGTTTCTATTCCATAAACGATAATAATTTACTAAATATATTGTTCTATATAAATGTATATATAAATATGTACACAATATTTACGTAAAATTAGTTATAAATCAACACTTGCCAGCAAGTGTGGATTTTTTTTTCTGTTTCAAAATTTTTCTTTCCTTTCAAAAATTTGTTAAATGTAACAATTATTGAAAACAGTGGCCAGCCACTGTTTTTTTTTCTTGTCTAAAAGTTAATAAAAGCTCAAAAGCAAAAAAAAAAACACTCACATAAAATCAAACGAAAAAATAAAAAGAAAAAAAAAGGAAAAACAGTTTTTTAAAAATATGAAATTTCTTTTTTTTGTTACTCAATTATCAGCCTTTGAGAATATTTTCTTTCTCTAGACTACGTCATCGTAAGTTTTTTTTTCTACTTGGGAAGCAATCAAAAATTATCAGCGTATATATATACTCTAAAATATCAATGTTTTCTTCTCAATAATACTTTTCCGTAAAACTTTTTTTCCTATCTGACTTATATCTGACGAATATCTGAAACAGAAAAATGGTACAATTTATTATTTATCGTACAATTAATTGGGAAATTTTTATTTTAATTCATTAGATTGTAAATTTATAAATTTCAATTATTCGGAATTTTTAATTTCAATTTTTAATTTTTAATTTTAATTTAAATTTTTAATTATCTACATTAATTACTAATTAGATTTATAAATTAAATTATCAAAATCTATTGTAATGAAATTTTCTTTTTTTGAAAATTAAATTCATGAGAGTGGAAAATAAAAATTTATGGAAAATTTAAAAATTGATTATTTAAATTTAAAAAATCATGAGTATTGAAAATTTTTTTTTTCGAAAATTTAAATTTAAAAATTTGTGAGAGTTGAAAATAATATTGTTGGAAAATTTAAAAATGGAAAAAAATGAAAATTGGAATTTAAAACTTCGTGAGAGTTGAAAATAATATTTTTTGGAAAATTGAAAAGAAATGAAAATTGAAATTTAAAAATAAAGAGACTTTTTTCAAGTAAGAAATGATTTTTTGAGTAGATAAAAAGTAGGATACACACCTCACCCTATAAATCCTACTGCTACTGATATTATGATGGCTAAAATACCAGTCATAAGTTGTCCAGCTGTGGAAACAGCCGCCACTGTTTGAGGTAAAGTTCGAGAATCATCAGTTGGTAAAAAGTAATCTTCTGCCGTAAGCTGATCACTGTACTTGTTTATTAAATCCATAACAAGTCCATTCGACCAACCGAATCCAAGTTGAACCTCGTATTCTCCACCGCCACCATGTCCACCAGATACTGTTGCGTCGTACTGGAAAAAATTAAGCAAACTCAACTAATTATCATCACTGAATTATCACCTCTGAATTTCGCTCCTTAGATTTAGTATTTAGTATTTATTTTATTTATTATTTTACTATTTTCTATAATTCCAAAATTAAATTGCTATTTAATTCTCTTTGAGCTTTTTTAGTTCTGTCAATTTTTTAATTCTCTCTTTTTTATTTCAACTCACTTTTTAATTCTTTATTAGTATTTTCATTGTATATTTCTATTGTAATTCTGTTTTTAATTCTCTCTTCCTATTTTAACTCACTTTTTAATTCTCTATTACTATTTTAATTCTCTATTCCCATTGTAACTCACTTTTTAATTTTTTTATTGCTATTTTAACTCTCCATTCACTTTTTAATTATCAATTACTGTAATAAAATTTTAATTTGAAGAAACGAATAAATTTCGTTTAATTGAAGGTTCAGAAACTTTATTCTAATTTTTTTTTCAATTTCATTCAATTAAATTCAATTCAATTTCTATTTCAATTCTGTTGTCAATTTTCAGGCTTCGAACTTGTTAATTGTTTAAAATATAAAATTTATTTCATTTAAATTAGATTTCAATTTTTTTTAAAATTATTTTCGAGAATTCGACTATCTTCAAAAACAATTTAAATACAATTTTTCAAAAAACTGTTTTTTCCAGAAATTCTAAATTAAATTAATCAAAACTTCAACAATTTTTAATGAATAAATATTTAAATGCGTATTGTTATTTATTTTTCCCAAGGATTTGAATATTTAAATAATTTCATTCTGAAAACGTTTTGAAATTTAATTATTTCCAAAAATTACAACTGCAATTCTTTCAAAATTCAATTATTTTCTAGAATTTTTAAATAAAATTATTTAAAACTTTTATAATTGTTTAGAAAAATAATAAATTAATAATTTCAAAAAATAAATACATAAATATTAATATCTTTTTACAGGAATCAATATTTTAAGATAATTATCAATTATTTTAAAATTATTCGCAGGAAATTTTTCTAGAATTCAATTATTTAAACACAAAAATTCAATTTTTTTTGTCATTAAAAATGCAAACTGTAACTTTTTTTGGTTTCTTTAAAAAAAACTTTTTCTAATTTGTTTAAGTATATTTTAAATTCCTTTTAAATTTTATAAAAAACTTTATTTTTAAAAATAATTGAAATTCAGTAAAAAAAAATTTGTCAATAATTTGAAATTAGTAAAATCTTTAGGAAATAATTTAATTTTTTGAAAGAATTTTTCCAAAATTATTAAAAAATAATTAATTTTTAAAAAATGTCTAATTTGAACAAATATGAAAATTCACTATGTTTGCAAATTATTTACAAATTTATAGAAATAGATTTTTTTATAAATTTTAATTTACTTTATTTTATTAAGATAATTCAATTTTTGAAAAATTCATATAAAAAATTCTCTTCTCTTAGATTTTTTGAAAAATATCAAAATTCATGCATAAAAATGTAAAAAAAAGACTAAAAATAATTTTACAGGAATCACATCATATTTTCTATTCTAATAGAAGGAAGGTGGGAATTACTTTTTAAAAAAGATACAAAATGTTTTAGATAAAACAAATTAACTTGTAAATTAATTGTTGTCTTGTAATTTTAATCAGTTGCAATTTTTTTTTATTAATATTTAAAATTTTATTAGTTTGAATTAAATTAAAGAATTGAAAAAATTTTTTTTAAATAATTGAATTCCTGCGAACAAATTTATTAAATTTGCATTGAAAATAATTAACTTTCTGCAAGGAATTTTATTATTTAAGACAATTATTGAATTTATACAGAAAATTTTATTATTTATATGTAAAATAATTGAATTTCTGTAAAGAATTAAAAAAAAAATTTTTTTAATTGAATTTCTACAGAGAATTTTATTATTTTGAAAATAATTGAATTCCTGCGAACAAATTTATTAAAATTATATTGAAAATAATTGAATTTCTACACAGAATTTTATTATTTATGAAAATAATTGAATTTCTGTAAAGAAAATAAATAAAAATAATTAAAATAATTGAATTTCTACAAATTTTTTTATTTTTGATAATAATTGAATTCTTGCGAAAAAAATTATAAAAATTTATGAAAATAATTGAATTTTTGCAATTTTTCTTCTAATTTAAAATTAAAATTTTATTGAAAATAATTGAATTTTTGCAAAGACTTTTTTTTTAATTATGAAAATAATTGAATTTTTGCAGAGACTTTTTTTTTTATTTATGAAAATTATTGAATTCGTGCGAAGAATTTGATTATTTATGAAAATTTTCTAGAAAATAAATATTAATTTTTTTATTTCAACTATTAGCGGATTTAAAGTAGTGGAAACTCTTTTTTAAAAAAGAATAGAGTAGCTTTTAGTGGCATGAAAGTAAAAAAATATCCAAATAGTAAAAAAAGTAAAAAAAAAGTAAAAAAAAATTAAGAAAAATTTTTAGTAGATAAATGAAAAGCCTGTATTCTCCTAATTACAATTTAAAAATTAGAATCCAAACGAAATACAGTAAAACCTGTCGGAAAGCAACTCGATTTTAAAAATTTTACTACAGTAAACATTCCTTAAAAAATTTCTTTGTAATTTAATTTTGTAATATTTGCACAATACTTTGGAACTAAGTGAAAATAATTATTGAAATAATTATTTTCACTTAGTTCCAAAGTTTAATTACAAATTTGTTTGTAATTTAATTTTGTAATATTTTTACAATACTTTGAAACTAAGTGAAAATAATTATTGAAATAATTATTTTCAATTTCAATTTTTTTTTATTTCAATTTTTTTTCTTTCTTTCTTTTTATTTTAATTTTTTTTGTTAAAAACAAATTTTTTAAGGATTGTTTACTGTAGTAAAATTTTATTATATAATTATATAATAAGTAAAAACATTATCGATTTAAAAAAAAAATTTTTTTTAATTTAGCGTTTCATTCCGACAGGTTCGACTGTAAGAGTGCTCTCACCTTTTCGAACATGGAGTTAGTTTCATTGAATGCCTTATAATTACTGCGCACCCATCGTTGACTCAATTCATAGGCCAATCTTATTGCCCAAGGATCGGACGTTTTATCAAGCGACATAATGACAAAATATTGCAATGGAGGCCAGGCATTTGGATAATCCCATTGTTCACCCGAATGTTCCAAAGTTGTCGGTATACCGCCGAGATTCAGCATTATTTGTTGTTTCTCAAGATATTTCAAAACTTTTGATACAAAATCACTTTTTTTCTCCTGATCGTAACAATTCGCCCAAAGTGGAAGAACATTTGTCGGATAAAAATAATCCCTCTTGTCTTCATTAATAATATCATAGTCTAACCATGTACCAACTTCATTGTGCCACAATACCGCCGTCACAGCATCCCTCCATTCGTCTGCCTTTTTCATATAATAATTAGCTTTTGTCTTATTGCCAATCATTCGATTAAAATCCGACAACAATTGTGCGTTTAAATATATTATTGAATTAAGGTCAACGGGAATTATGCTTCTTGCCTTGCAATTCGTCAGATTACCTGAAATATAATTTTTTTTTTTTTAAACTCTCGTGTCGAATAAATGACAAAAAAAAAAAATTCACAATATAACAATAATATTTTTATCTCGTAAAAAGTAAATAAATAACAACAGAAAAATTCTTTCTTCCTTGTTCCTTATAATTAATCGAGAGTTGAAAATGAGAATTTCTCGGAATGCGTCGATAATTTTTATGACACTGAATTACAACAAACGATTCTGTAAATTATCTAATCATTTATTCCAATTATTATTGTCGTCGGTGTCATAAACTTGAGGTTATTTTTTTTTAGAGGAAAAGTTTTTTTTAAGAAAAAAGAAAAAAAATTTTTGAATTTTAAAATCGCTGGAAATAATTTACCTTTGTTGGTACCCTCAAGAATAAACCAACGACTGGAAAAATCCCATCCACTTTCTGCAGCTGATTTCAGTTCAGAGTAATAATTATTTTTCTCTTCGGCAGTGCGGAAAATTTGACTCGTCAAATAGTCCTCTCTACATGAAAGAAAGTAATAAAATAAATATTCACAATATGTATTTATTGGCGCTATTTCATAAACAAGGTTGCCAGAAAAATTTTATTTTCCCCTTATTTTTCCAGGCAGAATTTTGACTTGAAAAAATTGATCTTAAAGAAAAAATTTTAAAAAAATATTCTGATGCACTCTAAAAATAATTAGATAGAAAAAAATTTGAATATTTAGAAAAAATAATAAAATATTAATTAAAATTTAAATCTTTAATATTGTAAAATTATTCAAAACATCAATAGTTTTTTAAAAATAAATATTCAATTATTATTATTATTATTTTTCCATAAAAATTAAGATTTTAAAAAATTTTTAATCTTTTAATTTTAAATTAATTATAATTTATATAAGAATCACTGTAACTTCCTCCAAAATTATTTTCAAGATTTTAAATTATTTTCTGGAATTTTCAAATGAAATTTTTTTCTGAATCAATAATTTTTAAGAAATAATTTCCTTGAGAATTCAATTATTTATTCAAAAAGAAAACAAAAGATCACTAAAAATATTTCTGAAATCCACTTGTTTATACAATTCAATTTCATGAAATTTCAATAATTTGAAAATTTTTTAAATGAATACAGATATTTTTATAATTTAACTAATTTTGAAAAATATGGCATACAATTTTTTAAAAAACCAATTTCTTCAGAATTTATAATTAAAATTTTTTAAAATTCAAATTTTTCAAAACTTTAATTTTTGAAACCTTTTGAAATTTAAACTATATTAATAATAATGGTTATGTATATTGTTTTTATTACTGTAAATCATTATTAATTCAAATTTAATTCTTGTATGAAATTTTATTAAAATTTCTAAATTCAATTTAATTGTTTTGAAGAATTTTATTAAAATTATATTCAAAATATTTAAATTCATTTAAAAAATTAAAATTCATTAAATTAAAAATTTTTAAAAATAATTGTATTCTTTTTTTAAATTCCATTTAAAAATGTATTGGAAATAATTCAATTGTTATATGGAACTTTATTAAAATAATTAAATTTCTGCTAATAATTTTGATATTTACAAAAATATTTGAAATTTTTGCAAAGAATTTCATTAACGTTTTTGCAAATAATTGAATTCCTGCGAACAAATCTATTAAAATAGCATTGAAAATAATTGTATTTTTAAGAAGAATTTTATTATTTATGAAAATAATTGAATTTCTGCAAAGAATTTTTAAAAAATTTTCGAAATTAATTAAATTTCTACATAGAATTATATTATTTTTGAAAATAATTGAATTTCTACAAAGAATTTTATTATATGTGAAAATAATTGAATTTCTGCGAAGAATTTTATTATTTACAAAAATATTTGAAATTTTTGCAAAGAATTTTATTAACATTTTTGCAAATAATTGAATTCCTGAGAACAAATGTATTAAAATTGTATTGAAAATAATTAAATTTCTACAAAGAATTTTATTATTTCAGAAAATAATTAAATTTCTAAAAAGAATTTTATCATTTATGGAAATAATTGAATTTCTGCGAAAAATTTTATTATTTCTGAAAATAATGAACAAATTTCTTAAAATTGTATTAAAAATAATTGAAATTCTACAAAAGGTGTTATTATTTATGAAAATAATTGAATTTCTGCAAAGAATTTTATTATTTTTGAAAATATTTTAGTGCCTGCGATTCCTGCGAACAAATTTTTTAAAAATTGGATTGAAAATAATTGAATTTCTACATAAAATTTTATTATTTTTGTAAATAATTAAATTTGTCCAAAGAATTTTTTTTATTGATGAAAATAATTGAATTTCTATACAGAATTTTATTATTTATGAAAGTAATTGAATTACTGTAAAGAATTTTTAAAATAATGGAATTTTTAACAAAATTTTTTATTATTTTTGAAAATAATTGAATTTCTACGAAGAATTTTATTATTTATGAAAATAATTGAATTTGTGCGAAAAATTTCATTATTTATGAAAATAATTGAATTTCTTGAATATTTTTTTGACTAATTTAATAAAAATGTAATTAAAAATAATTCAATTACTGTTATACGGATTTTTATTGAAATTGTATTTTATAAGAAATTAATTTCTGTGAAGAATTTATTAAATAATTTATAAATAATATTTTTATAATTGTTCGTCAAGAATTAAATTATTTAAAATAAATTCAATTTTAATTCTGTAAATTTCAATTATTTTTATAAATAGACAGAATTTAAATTTAAATTAAATTTTTTCAATATTTATAAAGGCTACTAGATAACAAAATTCATAATTTTTTTGTATGAATTCTAGAAATTTAATAGTTTTCCAATACTTTTGATAAAATTCCCTGACGTTTCTCTGATTTCCCTGGCAAATTTTACTTTCCTTGATTTTTCCCTGAATTTTCTGATTTTTCTGAACTGTGGCAACCCTGATAAAGAAAATTGTCCTTTTCAGAGCGTTGTCATCAATTTAAATAAAATTCGGTAGTGTAATTCTAATTATTAATACAAAGTTCCAGAAAATCAATTTTTTTTGAGCCAAAATAAATCAAAGCGGTAAAAAGATTTTGGTGTCAATACAGTAAATTCTTTGGATCAAAAAGTTAATTTTCCGGAACTTTACATCAATAAATTTTACTTTCATTTCAATAAATGAAGTTTATTGAATGAAAAGTTTCATTTAAATTGGTGAATGTGCTTCCGAAAAAGTTAAAAATTCTCATGAACCAGCACATAATTTAAAACCAATATTCAAATCTGTGAAAGAATCAAAAAAAGCAAATAAATATTTCAGTACCTATAAGATTCGGGTCTGGGACCTTCGGAATCTTCATAATATCTGGCAAGAGTATACGTAACACCATCCTTAGTCACTTGAACCGTTCGTTTAGTCATCCAAAATTCAAATTCTTTCTCCAACAACCAAAGATTCTCCTCCAACCATTCTCTATCATCAGTAGCTTTCAAATATTCATTAACCATTGGTATCAACATTGGTGGTTGTGATCTTTGCGTATAATAAATTCTCCCACCATTCGGTATAAATCCAATTCGATCGACAATTGACACAAAATTTGACAGCATTCCCCTAACAGTTGTTTTCATTTCCGACAATAAAAGGCCCTTGACAATCCAATACGAGTCCCAATAGTAAAATTCCCGAAAACGTCCACCGGGAACAATAACAGGATTCTCCACATAAATAATTGAATACTGCTCATGATTTATCTTAACATCGTCCTTTATTTTCCTTCCAAGCAATTTCCAAATACGATTTAAATCCTCAGCAAATTGCTTTAAATTTTTATCGCGAATCTTATCGAGAAACATTGGTTTTGCCTTCCAATCGACTGGATCCCATGCCTCAAATTCCGATCCAGCTGGATCGAATGTTTTATTCAAAAAACTTTCAACTTGACGTGATGTTGGCTTATTATCGGTATCAGTCATCAACTCTCGAAACATGGACATTGTTTTATTTGGTGAATATTTCATTTTCATATCGACAAAAGTCTTCGAGTCTTTGAAGATCGTCGCCATTTGTACTGTGTGCAATAAATCTCCATGGCAGAATATTTCGCTGTAAGGTATAAATTTTTTTTCTTGTGTTTTTATTTTTAATTTTATGATTCGTTTATACTGTTATATATTTTTATGGAACATCATGATTTGAAAAAGAAAAATTAATGCATTTTTATCTAAACGATTTACTAAAATCCGTTAGATAGAAATTAGCATAATGAATTTTGACGAATTGTGTAGTGCGACAACGACACTCTGGGGAAAGGGAGATTGAAACAAAAATTCTTTTGTTTCTTTGTAATCTTGAATGCGCGTCAAAAATGCAATTCTAAATTTTAGGTTCAAAATTTTTCTAAGGATATCAAGTTGAGACAAAAAACGAATCAAAAACGTTGCTTCGCAATATTTTTTTTTTGTCTCCACTTGATATCCTTAGAAAAAGTGTTACTTTACTTTTGAATAAAAGAATTTTAATCGGCATTTTTCGGCATTAGAATAGTTGGACATTTTGGAAAATGAAAAATCTGAAAAAATATATTATCAGCGAAGAATCGCCACTGATCTATGACCTCGTATAATATTCATCGACTTTCTGTTTCTATACATAAACTGGAAGACCTTAAAGTTTTTTTATCTTCCGGATACGCCCTGTGATGTCTACAAGCAGTGCTGATATGTTCATCTAATTACGGTAAATTACTATTTAATTCAATTATTTAATAATTAATCATCAATAGTTAACAATAATTCCTAATTCATAATTAACAATTAATAATTCCTAATTCATAATTCATAATTCATAATTAACAATTAATAATTCCTAATTCATAATTCATAATTCATAATTAACAATTAATAATTCCTAATTCATAATTAGCAATTAACATAATTAATATTTAATAATTAAAATTGTCTAAATTTAATTAACAGATTAAATTGAGATCCTCAGGTATCTTTAGGTATTTATGGTCAATCACTAAAGGCAATTTTTGCCATCAAGCCTAAAAGAATTTAAATCATTTAAATTCATTCAGTTTTGGGAAAATATTTCCAATTTCTTTTAATATTCTGAACTCATCATATTTTTCGGTGTTGAGAGTTTAGAATGATAAATTAACATTGCAACCCTTTTTTTTTATTACATCATAAAGAAAGAGGCCACATTAAACGGGGACATTAGTTGTGTTTGGATGAAAGCCAGAGTAACGCAGTGCGAAAGCTTCGACCAAAATCTTCCTCTTTATATACATTTATAACTCTACAATGAAAATTAAAACACTAAATTCAAATTCTCTCTCTGAAATTCTAATTCTAATCTTTTCACTTTATTCACATTTTTGAAATTAATATTCTAAATTTTGATAGCAATTAAACGTTTCATTTAAATCAAAATTGTAATTTTGTCAAGAAATGTTTTGGCTAAATATCTTCTCATGATAAATTAGTCACAAGATAAAGTGGTTCTTGACAGAAAATTGTAATTTTTGTTTCAAATGCAACTGAGTTTGTCCGATTGTTTATCGAACTGTTTCTTAACTGAAAAATAACTAAATGTTTACCTAATATTTTTACAAGTTTCAATTACTGTTTGAATTAGTAACTAATTGCTATTAAAATTACTATTAAATTGCTATTAGAACTACTCTTTAATTTCTATTAGAACTACCATCTAATTGTTATTAGAACTACCATCTAATTGTTATTAGAGCTACCATCTAATTGTTATTAGAACTACCATCTAATTGCTATTAGGATTACTATCTAATTGCTATTAAAATCACTAACTAATTGCTATTAAAATCACTATCTAATTGCTATTAAAATCACTATCTAATTGCTATTCGAATCACTAACTAATTACTATCAGAACAATTACTAATGATTAGCCAAATTTTCACTAGTCAAAAACTGAATTTCCTTTTGATTACTGATGCTCAAAAAATTCGACTACTTTTCGGTTTTGCAACAACAAAAATTAAAACAATTTTTTCAGTGTATTTCTGAAAATTACTTTTTTTTGGTACTACATATAACGAAAATTGGAAAAAAAAATAAATTTCGTTAGTTTGATTTAGAAATTGGACGAGGCTTTACCTCGCAGAATTGCTAACAGAGGCCAACAACATTGTCATTGGCACAAAAATCGACATCGTCATCAATAAAGGCGCGACGACGACGTCGAAGACGACGGTGATGATGGTGATGATGATAATGATGAAGATGCGTTCATTGGCGCGAAGCACGTGGACATTCAGTGTTAAGGTCATGTGCGCATCGTACTTGCGGAACACGTTAATTTAAAACCCTCTCATACATTATACTCTGTTTCATCGTTTCTAAGTTCAATATTAAGGTCACTCCAGTAAGATTATAACTACAATTCTTTTTTTTTCTAAACTTTCTTTGAAAAATTACCCTTTTTTCCAAAACAATTATTTTGTTGTAACTAAATACTTACAACTCTGGTATAAAGTTCACAAAAATTATCAACGATTTAGGAGAGAAAATATTTTTTACAAACAAATTTTTTTATGGATTTAGATTAAGATTATTTTTGGAAACGAAAATCCGTTTGGAAAATTGGTAATAATTTTTTCTCATCAACAAAAATTTAGATCAATTGATGATCTAATTTTTTGCAATTGTTTCGTTATAAATTGATAGCAAAAATTTGAACCAATATTATTGATTTAATCCAAATTTTTGTTACTGTTCTGTTGGTACAGTTTTTGACGGTTTTTAATATTGATAGCAAAAATTTGGATCAATTATAGATTTAGTCTAAATTTTGTATTATTGTTTTGTTACGAATTGTTAGCAAAAATTTGGATCAATTTATGATTTAATCAAAGAAACAACAAAACATTAACAAAAATTTGGAGTAAATCATTAATTCATCCAAATTATTGATGACAATTTGTAACAAAACAATAACAGAAATTTAGATTAATAATCCGATTTTCGGATTATGATTGTTTCAGATAAATTAAAGATTACTTTTTAACTATCTGAACTCAAAATTAAATTTTTATCAAATACTTATCTGAAATACTTTCTCTTTCCTTTTTTCCTCCACCTGTAAAATTTTCGATATGCTTCTTAGGTGCTTTTCTTCGCGACGCGTCACAATTAAACAATTTTGTTACTGTTTTAAATTGATAGTAAAAATTTGGATCAATTGACGATTTAATACAACTTTTTTTTTACTGTTTTCTTACGAATTGTTAGCAAAAATTTGGATCAATTTATGATTTTTAATCCAAACTTTTGTTATCAATTCGTTGCAATTTGATACTTTCAAGTTGATTGCAAAAAAATTTATTCAACAGAAAAGAAATTGAGTTAACAAAATTCCAAACCGAAAGTTCCAGGGAAAATTTGAATTTTTCAAAAACTACTTTTCCAAAGTATAGAAAATTCCCAAAATAAAATATTCCAAATTACAAAAGATCGAAATTAAAAAATTTCTAGTGCAAAAAAGTTGAGAGATATTAAAAATGACGAATTTTCAATTTTTTATAATATTTAAATTCATGACTATTTTTCTTCGTCAAAAGTTGATTAAAAATGTGAACTTTACAGCTATAAATTGATAGGTAACTTTATATATATATATATATATCAATTAATTTATTTACTAGGTATATTCAAAAATAAATTCATTAATTTATTTTTTTTACTGTTAGAAAATAAATTTATTTACGATTAGAAAATAAATTTATTTACGATTAGAAAATTAATTTATTTGCGATTAGAAAATTAATTTATTTACGATTAGAAAATTAATTTATTTACGATTAGAAAATTAATTTATTTACGATCAGATAATTAATTTATTTACTATTCGAAAATTAATCGATTTATTTACTTAATTAAATTAATTATTTTCATTCTAAACTAAATGTTTACTGATTACGCTTCCTCTTTCTCCCTGCGGGAAAAATTTGAATAAAATTAAACACTTCCGATAAAATTTAAATTCAATATTGTACAATGGAAAATTAAATTTATCAGAAAATGTTTCATGGAAATAATTTGTCAGACATTTGTTTTTTTTTTTGTTTCTCGTGATGCATCACTTACCTTTGACACGGAGGTGGTTTCTCTGAATTTGTTTCCTTGCCTGCTGTATCGGCGATAATTTGTAGGATCGTCAGAATGCCAATTGTGATCTGCACCATTAATGTCACAAATCTTCGAGAGCTTAAAGTCATTTTTTCTTTTTTTTTTTTTTTTCCTTATATAGAATAGAAAAACTCGCGAGTTAAAAAATTCTTAATTTTACAGTTAAAATGAGATGCAAGAAAGCTTTGTTTTTTTTTTGGAATTTTGCTCTTTGATTTGTGTATCTGAATGAGAGTCGCGTTTTTTTTTTTGTGAAAATTTTCTCTGTTTCTCCTGAATTCCTCAAAATCTTCAATCACTTTTTTGTTTTCGCACTTTCGCACTACGCTCGCTCCTTTATTTTCTGTCTAAGTTTATTTTCTCTCTCGATTTTTTTTTCAATTTGGAGAATTTTAATTTAATTTTTTTTTTTAAATTTTTTTTTTGGTCTGATTTTGAGGATGTAAATCCTTACTTTTTGCCAATTGGTTTGAAATGTGGACCCTCAGTCTTGCCAAGCCTGCGGGAGGGCTTTAACTCCAAAAACAAGGCCACATCTTTCCTGAAAAAAAAAAAAAAATTTTTTGTTAATTTATTTTATATAGCATAAATTTGTATATTTACTTTTTCATTTATTTATTAATTTATTAATTTATATTTATTCATTTACATTTTTTTTTTATTTCTATTTATTTATTTTTATTTACATAAATTAAAAGTTGTACTTTCAAGTGTAAGAGAAATCCGGTTATTAATGAATTCTTTATCAAGAGATATAAAATTGTTATCAAAGAATTCATCATCATTGGGAAAAATTTCATTTTGTAAAGACTATTTGAACTGTAAATATAATAATTTTATTAACAATGAGATATACCGTTAAGTGTGGTCTATATATCTCGAGATATAAATGTGTATTAAATTGTTGACTAAAGAACATAAAAATGGTAACAGGAACAATAATTAGGTGCAATAAATTTTTTTTCCATAAAAAAATAAATGATCAAAAACAGTTTATAAAATGTAGATTATTTTTTTAATATATCCGTTTTTTGTCTTTACAAATCATAATTTTTAATTAACTATTTAATGAAGATTTACCATAAAAATAATTTTTTGAATTACATATTATAATTTGTATTGAATAAATAAATAAATATTATGATTCACAAAAACAGAAAAAAATGTGGTAATAAGTTTTTTTTAATTTTAATTTCAATTAATTTTATTATCTATTCCTATTATTTTTGTTTTATTTTATTGTTTTCCGTACCTAATGGAAAATAACTCTTTTCTTATAACAATTATTTTATGCGTTATGGAAAATAATTCCTTACTAATGAAATTATATTCCACGTTAAATAAAATAATTTTTTATTAATAAAACTAATTTTTCATTAAATAAAAAAAATCCTAATAACAAAGATTATTTTCCGCATTAAATAAAATAATTTTCTGCTATTAAAAATTATTTTTCAGTAAATAAGACAATTTTTGTTAATTATGTAAATAAACGGCTTTTGTTAATAATGTTTTTTAATTTTTTTATTAATAAAAATTATTTTACATTAAATAAAACAATTTTTTTTTTTTTAAATTATTTTCCACATTAGGTAAATAAAATAATGTTCTATTAATAAAAAATATTTTCCATTAAAGAAAATAATTTTTTATCAATAAAAATTATTTTCCATGAGATAATTTTTTTGGTAATTATGTAAATAAGCAGTTTTTGTTAATAACATTCATTTGTTAATAATTTTCTATGAATAAAAATTATTTTCCATTAAATAAGACAATTTTTTTTTGTTAAAAAATTATTTCCCACTAGGTATAGAAAATAATAGTCCAGTTTCAGTATTGTAGAAGCAATTTTAATGTCGACTTTATAAAATCGTTTGGCGACGTAAAAAAAATTGGAGTTAGAACTTTCGGTTATTAATGAAATCTCTAATTGTTAAATAAGTGTGTCGCCTCACTGTACTTCATGATGTTGTTAGTTGTTTGTCGGCCGATTTACCGACAACACCTTGAATGATTTAACGTCTTCCTGTTTCATCAGCCTTGAAAAATGTATTGTATACTTTCAAAGCAATTCAAATATCGTCTACATTAAGACATATAAAGAATTATTATTACTTCTTTCAGCAAAATTGGAAAGAGAGAAAATCAATCACTTTTTTTTTCTTCATAAAATCTAGTTTTGCTCTATTAGAAAAAAAAAATTATTATTCTAAACTGGTTTTGATTGTTGGGCAAAAAAAAAAAAAATTAATTAAAAAAGAAAATGAAAAATTGGAGAGAAAAAAATAAATAAAAGCAAAAATGAAAAATAAAAGATTAAAAAATAATAATATTTATTAAGAAATAAAATAATTAAAAATAAAATAAATATAAGCAAAAGTAGAAAATAAAAAATAATAAAAAAAAAACAAAATTGAAAAAGGAAAATAAAAAAAAGAAAAAAAAGTAATAATACAAAAAGAAAAAAGTAAAAATACAAAAAGGAAGAAAGTAATAATAGAAAAAGAAAAAAAGCGAAAATACACAATACAAAAAGGAAAGAAGCAAAACGAAAATAAAAAGGAGAAAAAATGCAAAATACAAAGAAGAAAAATTCAAAAGTAAAAACTAAAAAAAAATAATAAAATTCTCCGAAAAAAAATAAATCGAAGCAAATAATTAATGAAAAAAAAAATTAAATACACTTTTGAAGGCTAAGAAACATTCGTTTTCCCCTAAATCCAAAAACTACTCACTTTTTCCAAAAAAATTTGTCAACTCATCAAACTTTCAGCCGTATTTTTTTGAAATATGGCGTATATTATCGAATGAAAGAAAATTGTTATGAAACAGAAAAAATGTATATCATTTTTTGCTATTTTCATTTTTTTTGCTCGACAATCCAGTTATGGGTAAATAATTTTCTGCTATTAGCTATAATAATACTCGAGCATTCTCGATTAGCACTTTTTGTTTATATTTCACTCACAGGTAATTTTTTTTATTTTTATTTTATTTCATTTTTTTTTTTTGTCTGAAGAACGTGAAAAAGTAAAAGCCTAAGAGTATCTGCGAGAGTACTTTAAAATCGGGTGCATATAATACATGTGCTACCTGAGAAACTTTGAGTAGTGGGAGATGTCTGGGCAATTGAAACATTGCGCAGTTCTTATATGTATATATATAATATTAAACTTATCACCCGAATGGTGTGTTATGATCATGTAAAATGCACGGACATCATTTAAATTAAACTGTATTTTCCTTTACTTATTCCACGTTGTCTTTTTTTTTTTTTTTTTTTTTTTTTTTTTTTTGAAATGAATACAAAGAAACGTTTGTTCGAAAAAGATGTTTTGCAAATAATACTGTCTAAAGTACTATAGTTTTGAAACTATATTTTTATAATTATACTATTATTAATAATAATCTTTCCATAAAGTATTCTTTGTTATTTTTTTTAATAATTTATTTTTAATTTTTAAAATTTTTATGTGAATTTGTTTCTTATTTTTATTTTTAGTTTTACTTCATTTTCCTTATTTTTATTTCAATTTCTTTTATTCTTATGTTTAATTTAATTTTAGTTTTTTTTTTATTTAGTCTTTTGTAATTCATATTTTTAATTTCATTTTAATTTTTTTTCTGCTTTCATTTATACGTATTAATTTTAGTCTATTTTCTTTATTTTATTTTTATTCTCACAATATTTTTTCTTCATAATAATTTTCCATTAAATTGTGAATTTTAGGACCTTTTCAATCAACAATTATATGGGAAAATATTTTTAATATTATTTTTCCACTAATTGCGAATTTTAAAACATTTTCAATCAACAATTAAATATGAAAAAATATTTTTCTATTTAAATTTTTACATAATTATATTATATTATTGTCTAAACAATTTTTTTTTTTTTTTGAAAAAAGCTTCATGATCGACAATTAAAAAAGAAAAAACAATTCTTTTAAAGAAAATTCTCTAATATTTAATACTTGGAAAATATTTCTTTTCTCAGTCATCGTTCAATAAACTTTGTAAATTTCGCTGACGCAATTTTCCTATAAAGTTAAGAACGTTCAAATAAATAAAAATTCTTTTATAAAAAAATTTTTTAAAAAAATATTTTACAAAAAATAAATAATAATAATATTTGATATTGTCAATAATAATTAATAATAATAATAATTATTATATTAAATTATATTATTACATTAAATAATAATAAAATAATTGTTAATAATAATTATATTATTAATAAAAATTATTATTATTTAAAGTTACCATAATAATGAAAATTATTTTTAATTACAAAAAAATGATAATTTTCCTTTTCCATTTGTATTTGATATAAATCAAAATGGAAAAGTTTTTTTCAAAAATATTGAAAATTTTATAATTTATATTGGATACAAAAATAATGAAAATTATTTCTAATTACAAAAAAATAATAATTTTTCTTTTCATAAAATTTTTTTTTTTTTTTTTTTTTTTTGTATGAATCAAAGTGGAAAATTTTTTGTCAAAAATATTAAAAATTGTTTAATTTATATTGCACATTGTAGATTGAAAATTGGCATATTAAAACAAATCACAAAATAAATAATAATTGACAAGGAATTTAATTGTGTAAATTTTCCGATAATGACTGTAATGTAATATTGATACAAATTTGGATGTATAGTTACTTTTTTCTTATTTCTGTTGAATCATTATTGAGAATTATTTTTCCGAAATGTAATTGTTTAAAAGAAATGAGTTGGCATTTTTAATCACATATTTAGTTTCTTGACGCAAAAGAGACGCATGTGTATATAAATATATTTCACTTTTCTCTTAACATTTTTCATCTTTTCTTTTTTTTATATATTCATGAATGATGTTGAATAAATTAAAATACTTCACAATCATTCTACTATATTCAAAAATGATTTTTCAATAAAGAGAACTAAATAATAAAATTTCTTTTTTAAAAAATAATTTTCTTTTCTTTATGTAGAAATCTCTCTTTCTCTCTTTTTTTTCATGTAATAGTCATTCAAATATGACGCAATTTATTGTTATTTAACTTTTTTTTTTCTCTATTGTCTTAGTTTTCTTTTTTGTTATTAACTATTATTCATTTATTTAATTAGGATTTATTGATTTATTATTAATCGTTTTTATTTTTTTTTAATTTAATAATAATAATATAATCATTTTTCTTAAATTAAATTAAAGAACAAAATTTTCTTATAAAAATCAACAACATAAAGTAAACACTTTAAAATTTTATAAATTATTTTTGAACACATCGTTTTTTTTAATTTTTGTATTTTTTTTTTTATTTGTATTTATTACTTTTGTAAATTTGCGTTTCTGTAATTTTTATATTTGTGACGCGCTCCAAAGAAAGGTCCCTAAGAAGTAAATCATTTTAAGGTTATGTTTGTAGTATTTTTACTTTAATTAAAAGTTTCTGTGTTTAATTTAAAACAAAAATCAGTTTTTATGAATTATTTTGGTTGCAATAAAGACTTAATCATCAACTGTTTATACCAAGAGTTGTTCCCCTTTATT